CGCCATTTCAGCTTCATTTGTTAAAAACAATGCTAGTTAATTGGCAAAACTAATCTTTTTTTTTTTTGAAATGTTAATTAAGGTGTCCACTTACATATTCGGTTAATAATTTTTATTTGTTTAAACGAAATTACTTTGTTCCGATATAATATTCTAATACCAAAAAAAAGTACTTACGTAGCGTGAAAATATCTTTTGTGATGTAACTCATTCGAAAGTACATAAAAATGGTTGCCAGCAGGGGTGTACATGTAGATTTATTAAATGCACCTTGTGCTCCACCTAGGAACCAAATCTAGAGCCAGACACTCGAAATTTTTGCTCTGTTACAATCGTACCCTGTTACAATTGACCCCACTCTCCCCTACCTTTTCAATAACTTAAGAGCATGGTTAAGGAAAAGTTTCATAGCCAGAATTTTAAAAGATTTAATATGGGATTGAAAAATGTTATTATTTATTCTTCACATAGTTTTTTTTTTTAAATTTTGTAAGTTGAACGTCAAAAATCTTTTGATTCGTAATGTGGGCTGTGATCTAAAAAATGTTACATTGAATATATGTGATTAATGATATGAATAGCTTATTAAAGGTACAAGCCAAAAATCTATTCTGCGAAAGAAAAAAAATTCTTGTTGAGAACAAATATAATTACTGCAAGTATACGAATGGAAAGTATCATCATTCCTAAAGATTTAATTTTTTAAAAACTATTTTGTTCATTTATTATTTTCTTTTTAAGAATGTGAAAGTTCCCAGTTTTATTTTATTTGAAGAAAGAAAAAAAAATTTAATTGTCGGAATGAAAAACCACCTAAGTTGGCCACTCAAAATGCAGGAATACGAATTTATTTTCATTGTCATGTAAGTTAAAAATTTTATATTTGTTTCTTTTATTTGTGCACTTATTTCAATTTAAGACGAATATTGTTGTTGTTGTAGCTCATTTACGTCGCACTGGAGCTGCGCAATGGGCTATTGGTGACGGTCTGGGAAACATCCCTGAGGATGATCCGAAGACATGCCATCAAGAACAAAGTAGTCTGNCTGCGCGCGAAGTCGAGCACTTTACGGTAGCACAGTTTAACGAGGACCAATACCGCACACCCTCGGTCCCTACGCAGACTGATCCAAGTGGTCACCCACCCGCACACTGACCGCCGCCAGTGATGCTTGACTTCGGTGATCTGCTGGGAACCGTGTCTTAACGATCAGTCCACTCCGGGACTTAAGACGAATAAGCACGAATCTTGTGCTAGTGAAAAAGTTAATAGACCTAATTTAACTTAACATTAACCTTATATTCTGACTCTGTAGCATCATGCATAAAAATTTTTATTCTCATGTATGAGCTGAAAAAATAAAAACGCCAAAATACAGCCCTAAAAATAAAGCATGAGAAAGAAAGAAATATCGAAAAAAAAAGGAAGAAAAAGTAAAGAAAAAAAAATCACTTAGAAAAAAAGTACGAAAAAAAAAAAAGAATTTCTTTCGTGATGTAAAACTGGGCACTAATTTTATCCCAATGTAATTAAATGTTATTTCAAAAATTAATAAATATAAAAGAATTAATTTGATTTTTACGAAATATAGCTTTTCACATTTCAAATATCTTAACTAACTATTGATAGCTAAGAAGACTGCTAATTTCCAATAATTGTATTTGTGGTAATGTGATAATATAATAATGATTTTCTAGAATATTCTCTCATCTTTTTTTTTTTTTTTTCTTTAAATATTTTTAACTTATCACAAGATTAACGCTCTGTGAAACTATTGTTAATTCGTACATTAAATATGATAATATCACCATAGAAGATTAATGAAAAAGTATAAAATTTAAAAAGTTTTTTTTCCGTAAAATTTAAACAAACTTTCGTATATTAATTAATTTTTTAATTATTTAATTACAGTCGAATAAATATTTAATTACATTAAATTATAGCGAATCGAACCCCATTAAAAGGCTTATGTTGTGATATAATTTTTAATGCAAACTTATCACTACTTTATGTGTCAGTTTAGCATTGATTTGCTATTTTAAAAGGACTTTTCAATTGATTTTTCTTTTTAGTATGTTTTATACTAAATATGGGGTAATGAGGGAAATGCTTGGGTACTGGGCATCCCTAACCTTCCTTATCCACTTACTTCTCTAAAGGAAATTAACGTTTTAAACAGACACATTTTCATGTAATAAGTATTGTGTTACGATTATTATGTTGAGATTATTATTATTATTGTTATGAATATTTAATTGATATAAACATAAAAGCAAAGATAAAATGTTTCAAACATCGAATCCCTTGGCTAGAAAACGAGTCCTGTAATGATTTGGAATTTTCAAAATTGGGATTTTAGACTTGAAGTAAAACATAAGTTGATTTGCTACATTTTGTTAGTTAGCGCTTGAAATATCTATTTTTGAACCTGTTACTGATTCTTTTTGTTTTAAAGTAACCTATCTAAATTCAAACATCATGCAGTCTTTAATTGATCACATTCAAATATTATAATTTAAATACTCCGATTATTCTATATGATATGATTACTAGCATAATGATGTGTTGACTAATATGTTTCAATTTTGCTTAATATTATTCAGTTGTTGTTTTTGAAGGATAGTTTATGATCATTGATCTGAAATTGCTACAAGTTAATAACCTTATTTTGTGTCGATACTTCCGAGAGCGAAAATTTATAAGTTCTTCCTATTTTTAGTGAGCGAAATTGGTCGTTTCTTTTCATTTTCTTTCATTTATGTCATAAGCTCCTGCGTATGGAGGGAGTAAGATTTCCTTTTTATCCAATTTTATGACCCAAGCATTCGTTTGTACCCATAATTCTTCCTAAAGCTACTGCGATTCATTCTTTTAAGTCAATTTATTTTGTGAAATAATGAGAACTGTTCGGTGTTCAACTGTTGTATTAAGGAAGAAGCTTTTAGTTGAATGCATGATTTTGTTATCTTTATATATTTGATCATGTTAGAAAAATAATACTTTTTAAGCAAATATTCAAGATATTTTTGTCTTAATATTTGGTAAGTCATGTTTATGCTATTCATAACTCAGAGTCATTAATTTGGAACTACTTCTCAGACCATCAGACTAGTACGGACGGCTTCTAAAAAGATATTTAAAAAATTATACCTTTTCATTCATCAATTAAAGAAATTCAAAATCTTATATATATTTTTTAAATGTTACTGAGTTATTGTCTCAATAACTTTTTTATTTCTGCAAAATTAATTTTTAAATTTGATTTTGTTGAATAAATAATAGACCAATATCTTGTGCCCTTTAAAAAATGTAACTAAAGGGGCTCAAGGACAATTTTAAACCGCTAAAATACAGCATAATATTGAAATAGTTGAAGAGAACTTAGTTTTATTCATGGAAAAAAATTATTGAATAACTTTTGTAGCATATTATTAATACTTTACTATAAAATACCAATCACTATTAATCGCACCCAACACTAATGATTTCGAGTGGAAATAATTTTTTTAAAAATAAACAAGCAAATAATTTTACGAAATACTAAATTTGAAAATAAACGAATAAAAAAGAGACTTTACAAATGTTGCTGTCATTAGACTAACCAACCCCTAAACGCCAATTTCTGGAAGAGAAAAAGAAATTATTTGTGAAGTGAAATCTCGTTGAAAAAATCTCGTTGAAAAATGTATTTAGCAAAAAATATGTTATTAAAATGTTATCTGTTATGTTATTAAAAAAAATATCAAATCGAAAGTTCCCTATTCCTCCTTACGCTTCCCTTATAATGGAAGAAAAGCTTAAAATTTACATTACGCTTAGACATGAATAAAAGAATTTCCTTTTCTAATCAGATATTTCCAATAAGAAATTAACGAAAAGAAAAGATAGTTTTTCACAGTATCTGTCATTTATGTAATTAAACTCATAAACCTCTTTTTTTGTTTATTTGCAAATGAACTAAAAAATCACCATAAAAATGTATTCGGCAGAAAACCAGCATTGTGTTAGTGAAAAACTAATTTCCTTCAAAACAAGTGTGGAGTTGTGCTGCTTGCAATTTTAGATGAGTCCAGGTTAATTAGTAATTATTATTGCAACAATTATTAGTGTTTAATGAAATTAAAGATATTCATGTAATTATAAGTCAGACTTTTCGATTATCTTTCTAAACAAGTCTCAGGACTTTATTCAAGAGTAAAATTATAAATATTTTTGTAATTACTAATCAATCTTTACGATTATTTTTTTAAACTAATCTTTAAAAAAAACTTAGATATAGGATTTTTGTTTGTTTGTTAGACTAAGACGACTTATAATTTGGTATTTAAATTTCATGGCAAACTTTTCAACTTTAATCTTCGTAATAAACCGTTTTCCCACGCCCTAACAAAGCGCTCTAGGTTTGCTCTTTTTTTTATTAATCATATCTCTACTGAACGTGTAAATTGCAAGCAGTTTTTCCTCTTGTTTCATAGGCAACTAATAATTCTTGGGATTTGTAGAACGAAACCAGTTTTTCATTTCGGCACCATACTTCTGTTATCTATATTTGAATTATTTATTATTCTGGAGTCGTGAATCTGTTATGAAATAACTGAAATTATAAGTTAGCTGTTATTCTTTTCAGACATTTGGGAACTCGAAACGCAGATATCTCAGAAGGGTACAATTCTGAATTATCCACCGAGACAGGTAAAAATAATAGTTGTCTTTTCTTTTGTTAGCATTTAAAAAATGAGAGATATTTTAATTTTTCTAATAAGTATTAGTGTTTTAGTTAAATTGTTATTCGAGAAAGATTACTTCAATATCATCTGTAGAACTATTAGAATATATTATTTTATTACTTTTGTACTTACGAGAAAAATATGTCTCAGACTTGCAAGTAACATGTGAAAATTTCTTGTCTATTTCGAATATTCGAAATCANTTTCTAATAAGTATTAGTGTTTTAGTTAAATTGTTATTCGAGAAAGATTACTTCAATATCATCTGTAGAACTATTAGAATATATTATTTTATTACTTTTGTACTTACGAGAAAAATATGTCTCAGACTTGCAAGTAACATGCGAAAATTTCTTGTCTATTTAGAATATTCGAAATCAGTTATAAATTGATATGCTGTTTAAAACAGTGAATTTTCTCTGCTAGAAAAGCGAGGAAAGACTTTTGTTTCCAAATTTTGCACACTATACAAAAATAAAAAAAAAGAATAAAAAAATCTGACAAATACGCTATATTTTTTAAAAACCAAGTTATTAAAAACATAATATTTTTAAGAAACAAAATCTAAACTATATTTTTTCCGCAGACAATTTCAAACACATTATTTCGTAATCGTTTTCAAACTTTCGAACAGTTAATAAATACAATGGTGATTTTTAAAAAGACTAAACAAACTGAGTTTTAAATGTTATTCTGTGCATTTTTGACCTAACAAATCGCTTTTCTAACTAAAAGGGAAAAAAACTAACAATATCTATGGCTCTGTTGAAATATGTTGATCTATATTACTCTGTTTCGATTAGTGTTTTTTAAATAATTTAAAAATCATCCAAACAAATTATCAGTCATTCAACTCTTAAGGGAACTAACTAACTCACCTTGATGTCAGGGAGAAATAATTTCCGATTTCTCTCGGTTCCTAACCAGTTGGAAGTGGAAGATGGGTTTTTGAGCTCGAATTAAATGTTTGGTTTCTCCCGTTGATACCAAATGTTTCCATATCATTTCTAAGCAATGAACTTGTCTGACTGAGAAGAAATTAATCTTATACGCCTGAGAGTGTTCCTTTGACAATAATTCCTAAAAAAACGCAATATAATTCTTCTTAGACAATAATTCTTTCTTTCAATTCCAACCCCCCTTTTTTTTTGCAAATATCTATACTACAATTTAAAATGTTATATTTCCATGATCAAAATAAAATTGGTAAGTCTCTAATTTGATTCTGCGAGTAACACTGTATAATTTTTATTTACAGTGAAGTTTTTATTTACCAGAATCGATTGATTCCAGTAGAAAAATTCACAACAGAGAAAACATCATGATACGAATTTTAAATTTTAAAGATTTTTGCAGTTATTTATAAAATAAGTAAATGTCTCAAAATCTTTAGTAGGTGCGATAAGTTCAAAAGCATAATTTGAATTTTGACTGGGAGTTTTTTAAATTCTCTCAAATCTTCAGATGTTCAGACACTGCTTATCGAAAACGGTCAAAAAAGTTTAATTGGTTTTTATGTTAGGAGAAAAGTTAAGATATGACATCCTATCCTTTAAAAAAAAAAAAAAAAGAAAAAAAAAAGAAATGATATCAGAACGATTTCGCAATAAAATTGAGTTATATTAATTCTCTTCAAAATGTTTTTTTTTAATTTTTTTTTTTTTATTATAGTTCGTTTTTCTGATCGAACTATTTTTTAAATATTGATAAACGAATTATTATTTAATAAAAAAAAAATGATGCTACATAAAAACTATGAACTGGATCGCTCGAAAAGTCGATTTTTAAAAGTGGAATGATTTTGCAGTGTGTTCCAAAAGCCCATTGTCACGGACCCCTCACCCGCTTTTCATTTCATGGCGTTAAATTTTATTAAAAAATGTTCTCATTTTAAAGTGAGTTGAAAATTGACTTTTTCCCATTTTCTTCTATTATTCCGAATGATCGAAACATTTCGGTCCAAAGTAATTCCTTATTCTAATTTTCAATTCGTTTTATAGAAAATATTTTTAATGTTATTTAACGTTCTGATTAAACACTTCGTATTAAGGAGAAAATTTTCGCTGGGACACTCTTGCATTTATTTTTAATCTATTATTACTTTTTAAATAAGATATAGATTATGTCTACTTCTAGAATGTTTATGTTTCTCAGTTTTTTTTATATTGTTTTTCAAAAACAAAAAGTTGAATAAAAAATATTTTAGTTAACAGCTCTCACAATTTTGTCAGCTATAAATTACTTTCGGTGAGTTTTCTTGTCACATCATTCTTTTAAGTAGAATTTATATGAAATCAGTAGTCAAGTTTCTAGCCTCCACAATTACTCAAAATTTTTATTTCTCTGTAAAATAGGATCCTCTTATTTTTACTCCTAGCGAAATTTCTGAAAATATTTCTCTTTCTTAGCAATTTTTAATAAAATTACAAATTCGTTGGTTTTTCCTCCTAGGAAGTTCATGCAAAGAAAGATAATTTAAGTAGATTAATTTATTAAATAAATACTCTTGTTTAAAAAATCATATTAACTGTAAACTTGTAGCTTAAAAAGATCCAACAACAAATCAAATAATGAACTTAAAAGCTTACAAAATTGTCCTACAATCCATTTATCTTGAGATATAAGTCCTTTATTATTATATTATATTTAGGTGTTATTATTATGTGTATTTAAATGGAACGAATTATCAACTGATAGTAGTACCAAGATTTTCCCGACTGTAATTTCCTTGCTCCTTGTAATTTCTTTCTAGAGGAACCAATATGCTCATGTTTTGAAAATCCTTCTAAAAAATTAAATAAAAGTTTACGAACAATAAAGGTCACAAATTAAAACGAGGGAAAAAAAGTACGATATGAAAATTTGATGAACCACTGGAATAAACATCAAAAGCAGTTTGTATGAAACTCGATGAAGTTTTAATATTCGAATTTAATATCCAGTTGATTCTGGCAACTAAATAGGTTTTAATGATTTTAACCTTGCCGTCCTAGTTAGTGATTAGTCAGGTAATGGAGATAACTGTTTTTTTCAGCGATTTAATATTAATTGTCAATTTCCAGTGTATTGTTTTTTTTTACTTCGTTTTAAACATTTACTTAAAGTTATTAACTAGTTGAGATATATTGAGTGTCTCTTCGATAGGTTTCGAGGGAGCTGTAATGGCTCAGGGGATAGAGCGTTCGCCTTCCAATGAGGTGAACCGTGTTCGAATCCCAACGATGGCTGGTCGATACGAATTCCGCATCCCGCTTGCCGCCAACCACAGTGCTGACGTAAAATATTCAGTGGTAAACGGATCATGGATTAGAGTTCCTTTGCCTTTAGGCTAACCGAGGGAGGTGTTCGTGGTTTTCCTCTTCCTGGAAAGCAAATGCGGGTGAGTACCTTCGAAGAGTCCTCCACGAAAGCAAATCTCTCCCAATACTTGAATCAAAAGTTCCTTGTCTTCTGGATTGGATTCACAATTACAAGGCTACGGAGTAGAATATTAGCAGTCGTAAACCCAAAAAATAGGGTCTTCTGTTCAACGACGGCTATAAAATAAGAAAATAGGTCTTGAGGACCCGTGATGTTTCAAGGAATAGAGCGTTCGCCTTCCAATGAGGTGAACCGAGTTCGAATCCCAGCAATGGCTGGTCGATACGAATTCCGCAGTCGGCTTGCATCGACCACACTGTTGACGTGAAATATCTTCAGTGGTAGACGGATCATGGATTAGAGTCCCCTTGCCGTCAGGCTAACCATGGTAGGTGCTCGCAGTTTTCCCCTGCATGTGACGCAAATGTGGGTTAGTTCCATCAGTAAGTCCTCCACGAAGGTAAATTTCCCCCAGTTCTCGACTACGGAGTAGAATTTTGGTAGTTATAAACCCCAAAAATTGGGTCGGCTGTTCAATTACGGTTATAAAATAAAATAAGATAGATCTCGTGCCGTGATGGCTCAAGGGATAGAGAGTTCGCCTTCCAATGAGGTGAACCAGGTTCGAATCCCATCGATGGCTGGTCGATACAAATTCCGCAGTCGGCTTGCATCGACCACAGTGCGTGAAATATTCTCAGTGGTAGAAGGATCATGGGTTAGAGTCCTCTTGCCGTCACAAGCTAATCATAATCATGGTAGATGTTCATAGTTTTCCTCTGCATGTAAAGTAAAAAAGTCCGCCGCAAAGGCAGATATCTCCCACTACTTGATACAGGAGTTTCCTTGACTTCTGAATTGGGTTCAAAATTACAAGACTACGGAGGTGAACATTAGCAGTCGTAAAACCGAAAACTGGGTCGGCTGTTTAACAACTGTAATAAGATAGGTGTAAAAGTATTGATGGAAGCCTGCAAAAAAATTTCTTGTCTTGACCATTTCGAACCAATTATAATGTTACAGGTTGATTGAATAAAGCTAAAATACAGGATATGTAGTATTATTTTACTGAATAATCTTTATAGAAAATATTTATATATAAAAAAATTATATTTCGCGATGNGAAGCCTGCAAAAAAATTTCTTGTCTTGACCATTTCGAACCAATTATAATGTTACAGGTTGATTGAATAAAGCTAAAATACAGGATATGTAGTATTATTTTACTGAATAATCTTTATAGAAAATATTTATATATAAAAAATTATATTTCGCGATGCCCGTAAAAGAAAATAAATTTCTAAGTGGTCCCTTGAACTGTTCAAAGTTATAGTAACATTTTCATTACGAGAGAAAAACGTATTTAACTATTTCATGAAAAAAAATAATAATCAAGTAAAAACACGAATCTTAAAGTGCATTGCACCGTTATGATTTTTGTTAAAAAGTTTTGCTCCAAAAAACTATATCAACTCTAATTTTCTTTTAAACTGCTCCTGCTTATGATGTTAAAATTTTAGTCGCATTTTCATGAAGGAAAAAAACTGCCATGTCGAGAAACAATAAATCAAAATCCACAGTGAATAGCAACATATCTGTAAATTAGTATTGCAAGAAATACTTCAGTCCAAATATATACTTTTCATGGAGCTTATTTATGAACTATACCTTATAATAATGGTAAAATTTTAATGATATTTTCACTGAAAAACTAGAGACTTAACTGCCATTTATTAAAAGAGGGAAACTCAAAACCAGTTTTTCTTTAAAGTATGACCTTTGTTGAAAATAAAATTCTGTTAAGAATGGTAGATTTTACGGTGATAATATAATTAATTTTTAAGCTGTCCTTTGTAATGTTATAATTTTAGTCATAAAATGTAGCCAAAATTCGATTAATAAAAGAATCGAATTTTGGCTACATTTAAATCTACTAATTAAATTTAGCTTGATTTAATTTTGATATAATTTTTTTAAGTGGAGATTCAAAGTTTGAAAAAATTCAACGTTAGAATTCAACTTCCAATTCAAGTTCGTCAGGCAGAACTGTTTTCTTCCTTTTTAAAAGAAATAAGAAAAAAAAATTTCTTTTTGTGCTAACGGAAATGAAAATCGGTAATTTAAAAGTGAGGACCCTACAAGACAAGGTGTTCCATAAGGACCACCCTTTATCGATATTTTTAGAATCCGTGTTAAAAATAGAGTTTAAAAACACTCATTAGAAATTACAAATAATTATTAAAGGGATAAAAAATCAAAAAAAAATTTCAAAATCTAACGTATCACTACTAAGGAAGGCATGATTGAAAATATCAAAATTTGTTTTATTGTTGGAGGAAACAGAGTAGTAGTTAAAGGGGGGATTGTTAAAAACGCATGGGCAACCAAACTGGATTTTTATCTTGTCTTCCTCTCCAGTGATTAAATTATAATTAATGTGTACACTTTGATTTAATTTTTATTAGATTCTAAAATTATATTATATAAAAATTATATACATTGTCAGTAATTAGTGCTAATTAATTTGCACATTAGAAGTCTTTCGAACTATTAAGATGGCACCTTAGTACATGAAAATCTGATAAGATAAAAGCTATTTTAAGTGTATCTTTATTATTTTAATAGATTTTAAAATTTGTTTTATAGGCTAACCATGTTATACGATGTCTCTACATTACTGTTTCTGCTAGCGATAGTGGCTGCTGACACAAATTCTCATCAAAGACTTAAATCAACAACGAAGCCAGACATTTTAATCGAGAGACCGTTGTTACCCAAATCATTCGATCCACCAACACACATTAGTGAGTTTACAGATCCTGACACAGGTCTCAATCCTTTCCTTGATTTAGAGGAAGGCCCCACTTTCATTGGTCGAAATATAATGAAAGATGAAACTCGACATGATCCTCCTTTCATGGATTTTAACATTATGGAAGGAGATGGATCGAATCGCCAATGGCTGGAATTAGGCGTCCCAAAGGAACCTATGGAAGAACCTATTTCCAGATGGGTCCCTTTTGAAGAGGAAGTGAAGCTGGAAGATTTTAATTTTCAGACAACATTGCAAACATATCCTACTGATACTGATCAAATGATTTCATTATCACCAACTTCTGATTATGAGCAGGTGCATGATGATGAAATGTATGAAGATAATGAACAAAGAGTAACTAAAGAACTGCAAGACTCGGTTTTTTCAAATGTCACAGCAATTTGTGCTACATTGGCAATAATTATTTTAGCAATTGTTCTTAGTATTTTGGGCGTTTGTTGGTGGAGAAAAAGGTTTAGATCAAGGACTACACGATCACCCACAACGTTAGAAAATGGAGAGTTAAAATGTTGATGTAGATAAAATTTATTAAGTATGTAGATAAATTTTTTAAATGAAATCAACAAATGCTTTTATAGCTAAAAACTTTGAATCCTGTCTCCCAATTGAATTACACGGGCTAAAAATAGAAGTTCAAAAAATTTCATAGAACCAATTTTCTTTTTATAAGTGCATGGACTAAGACGTCAATGTTTCATTGGGTATTACAAGCATGTACACTAAAATAATCGATTACAGGTTGATTAAAACAAACATTTATTAAATTTAAAGGGTTTTTTTCCGGTTAGAATATGTATTTAATTTTACCACAAATTCTAAACTTTAAATAGCATTAAGTGATACATATTAGAATCACTAATTCCCTGATAACCAAATTTTTCATCTTCAGTGGAATTTTCTATATTATTTTAATAAGTGCTAATTAGTTAAGAGATTTTTTTTGGGGTGGGAGGAATAGGTTGATAATTATTGTAGACATTTATTTTTTATTGAAAGCTTGTTTAGTTAAAGACTTCAAAGATTGATTTTTTAGTAACTTAAAATTGGATTAAAGTGTTTTAAAATGATGTAGTAAATACATTCAAGCTTAGTGTTTCTAAGATGTGGTATGACGAGCAAAATGCACAATTTTTTTTAAAATTTCATTGAACTTAGTGCAGAATTGCATTCAAATCAACAAAGGACATTGGAAAATGCATCTAAGATTAACTACTTCGACAGAAACACAAATTAACTCTCTGTTGTTTGAGACAGATTTGTCCACAAAATTAATATCATAAAAATAAATTTTTTATTTTATTTTTTTTCATCCATAAAAGTAGCAGTAATGAGATTCAGACAGTTAATATGAGCACACACCGATTTTTTGTTCACAAAATTTCCATAATTTGGAATTCAAAACTGGTTGATATGATTTCATCTGTAAAATATTTGTTTAAGAAAGGTACAAGGTTATTATTTTTTTTTTAAAATTTAATTCACTACTACTAGCTGACATGCAGTAGGATGGAATGGAAAGAGGGAAACTTTTTGAATAAACAGGATGTTCTGTAATGACTATTCTTAATAGATATTTTAAGAATTCTGGCCAAAAATGAAGTGGCATAAGTATTTTAATGTTTAAAGAAAGGAGAAAACAAAACACTATCAAAATTTGATTAATTATAACTGAAGAAAGCAGGTCCGAAAATATCATTCAGAGAGTAACAAACAAAAACAGAGAGGAGTGGAAAACTGATTCTTAGAAACACCTCCAAATTATATGAGGCAATCAAACTGGTTTTAATGTTTTTAATTCCACTTGTATAACAAAATATTTTCCAGCTTCCAACAGATTTTTAATTTTTACTTTAGCATACAAAGTAAAGATTCTATTATTTGCATTTTAAGATGCATACTATGTAGTTTTTAATGAAGCACAGAGAAGTAAATGCAATTAAAATGTTCTATTACTTTTTTTTTGCTCTTGTGGGATCTTAAGATCCCACAATTAAATGAATTTCCATATTCAGGTTAGTTATGGCTGCCTGCATTACAACAACACTTTGTTCATAATATGTTTAAAAATTATTTAAATATTCTATTCAAGAATAATGGCGAATTTAAGAATTTTATTCTTGAATTACATAACTAAGTATAAGTCTTGATGGTAATTAAAGGCTTAAACTGGATCTGATTGCAATGAATCACAAATTTTTTTATTTGGAGATTGATAAAAAATAATCTTTGAATATGGCACATGTATTGTAATTTATGATTTATTAAGAGACATTTGCCACAGGGAGTGTAGTTTCAAGTAACTTTTCTTTCAATCTCTTTTTTTATTAAGAATTACTAATTGGTAAGCAGTCAATTTAGCACGAATATAGTTAGAATGATTACACTTTTCTGTTAGTTAAAAATTTATTTTAAAAATCGATAATTGTAGATTTGTAATTTAAGATATGTTGAATTAGTGTAGAATAATTATGAAAGTATTTTGATTTTTATCATTTCAAAATTAAAATAAATTTTAACTCAGGAATATTTAAATGTATAAAATAGGAAACTACTTTTAAATTAATATAATAAAACATAATTTGTTTCAAAACACTCTGTTTTAAGCAGAGCGAGTTATTGAACTAGAAGTGATCTTTTTACCTATAAAATGTATTATAACAGGCTTAATGGCCTGACTCCTCATAATGATGTATGAATTTTATGGCATGGTTGTTGCATTCGATATTCTTCTGTACATATTTTCTCTCTCAATATTAAACTATATTATATATTACAATATTTAATGTATGCAGGAATAACTTTTATTACTTTTTTTTTATAATTTCACATCAAAATTCATGCAAATTATTATAACATTTTGTACATAAAGTTCACTTTGTAAACTTTTGTTTCCTATGGAAATAGCTACATGAACTCATAGTATTTTTTTAAGTCTAAATTATTATTATGAGCTAAATGTGTCAAAAAAAATTATATTTGTATTAAATAAATTATTTGGTAGAAAACTTTATTTTGAAATAATTTGAATAAACTTATACTTATAGAGGTAGAAAATTATAATTTAAATTACACATAGTAAATATTTAATAAGTTCACTTTTTTACGATTTGTTTAAATTTTAGCACACTTTCAAGTTTAAGTTATTCCACAAATTTTTGAAATTATTATTGTTATATTATTTTATGCATTACAAATTGGAATATTATTAAATCTTGTTACTTTATTGTCTTGTTTTCTTTTTGTTAATAACAAATTTCATCTGACATTTTGTTACAATTTATTATCCAACTATATAATCATATAAATATTTCAGTAAAGATATTGACTTTAAATAGACAATTAATTAATACATTTGGACTTTTTAATAACATTATTATAGTAAAATTATACTTCTAAATACAATTAATATTTATAAATTTTTAATTTTAAAAATCAACTATATTTGGAATGTTGCAATATATCTAGAATTTGCTCTAAAAAAATTTCAAGACTGAACTTATTTTTTGATTAATTTACACAGTCTAGCATTGTTTACCAGAATCTCCAAAAATTTATAGCTGACTGCAAAATGCACCAATCCATGATAATGGCTTGTGTATTAAATCAATAATTTGTTTTTTTTTTCTTCTAAAAAAAATAATTTTTTTTTTCCTTTCTATTTAATTACTTTTTTTTACAGCAAACAAAACAAAAATAAATTGTAGCCAACCTCATTTAACTTTTCACACTAATCACCAAGTTAAAATCACTGATATAAACCACTAACTTTTTCTGAAAGCCACTCATTTCTCTATTTTTCCTTTCACAAATATATTTTTTCCCTAACTGGTACTCTATAAATTTCTTTTCTTAATAATAGTAATTTAACTTAGACTAGCATTCCAAAACATCAGGGAAAAGTGTAAACTAAATCAGATTTATATTGCAAAATAGCACAAATTTTGTTTATACAGCAAATGTTAAAGTTCAATCCCATTCTTTCATTGCAATGTGACATTATTTGATCATTTACAATAAATAGCATTTTCATTAAAATTTATTTAATTTTTGTTAATTTAAAAAAAAATCTCATATTTTGAAAAAAAAAATAAATAAATAGAAAAAATAATTGGGAAAGAAATATTAATTGATGGGATTTAGTCCACAGATTTTTTTCTCAAGACTGATTTCAGTCCCCAGGACTGAAGAGTGACACCCATGGCATAGGAACAAGAATACAAATATTTTCACCCATGTGCTATTTATTTATGGAGTTAATGGTTTATATGCTACTAAAACTTAAAAGGGTAAGAAAACAAACAAAAAACTGTTTGCTTGCTTCATATATTATGGAAATCTGAAGTATTAAAAAGTGAAGTTAAAAAAAATATTTAAACTGTAGATAAATTAGAAACAAAACCACATTAGATAATTCATACTAAGAATAATTAAAGATTGTAACCTTCAGTTGATCAGGCAAAATCGAAAGCATCAATCGACTGGCATTATTTATCAAAATTCAGGTTTTTATTTTTGAGGCATTTGCTTATACCTCTTACGATAGTTGCACGGCGATTCATCAGGAGGCAGAGATAATGACTATAGTTTAATTAAAAAAAGTTCTCACTATTCAAGATCACAATTTATTTTTCATTTTTAATTTGAAAAATTATTTGATCACACAAAAACAAGTTTTTGTAAAAGTACACCAGGGAAATTGAATCTACTGAAGTTAAAGTATTGGCAACAAAGTAAAGCATAAGTTTAAGTGAATACAGAAGATTTCTTCTACTTCAATTTTGAACAATTTATTCTACACTCAGTCTTTAAGTGCTAAGATATTTTCACCCTACTTGATTTGGCATCTTGTAAACATTCAGTTATAAAATATACTAAAGGATGAGCATAAAAATGTTAGGTAAGCACTTCAATAAATAAATAAGTACTCATAATGCTGCCACTAATAGTTATAAGTTTCCAAAGAACGAGTGGGTAGTTCACAGAACAAATAACTGATACATTGTATAAATGTGCATGACTTATAATAAGTTTTCGATATCTTAACAAAAAATTTTTCATAGCAAGTTCAAAATTCTCATGACATACTAGAGGGGAAGAAAAAGACTAGAACATATATTCCTAACATAAACTTTAATGTTTAGGTTTATGTACAACAGAATAGCATAACATGAAACAAATATAGTGACACTTAGAGCTAAATATGGTATGTAAATATTAAGTATGACAATGATTATCTTATCATTTGATTAAAGAGGTAAACTTCCAGTCTTTTTAGCAGCAGCAATTGCATTTTCATTAGATATAATCTGAAATTCTTGAAATCTTTGAGATATTCTTTGGTTCATTTTCATATATTTTTCCATACAGTTGAGAGCACATTTATCCTGTTAAGGAAATTAGAATATTAGACAAATATATAAAACAATTTCAATAAGCAGTTTTAAATAGTTGTTGGTTGCTTTAATTGATAAAAGAAGATAAAAGCATTTATCTTTGTATTAATATTCTAAAATCTGTTCTTAAATCAAAAATGTTTTGTCGTTCATTNATTTAAAAAAAAAAAAAAAAAAAAAAAAAAATTAAAAGGTAAAATTTACAAGCTACTTGTTACAAAATCAACAAAATTTAGGCTTACACCTACTTATAACAACATCAAATGACATAAACCCATAAATTTTTTGCTTTAATCAAAATCCTTTCTTCTCATCATTTAAATTATAATTATACATGAAGAATCTTATTTTTTAAATCTAAAAAATATATTTGGAAGCAAAATATTTTATTTTTCAAGGTGTTCATACTGTTCAACAATAATCTTTGATGTTACATTGTATTTATTCATCACAGCACAGTACTACATATCACATAATACATTTGTTTGACACATTAGTTATTTTGTGGAATTCAACAATATACATAAATTTGTTTTGTAGTATTAATAATTTGTATGTCTTTGCCTTATAATTAACATAACGAAGACTCACAAATGTTTTGGATGTTATGTTATTCGTGGGCAAAGACAAACATATTAATGATTTTGAACATGATGCAAATTAACTTTAATTCTAATAAAAACATAAAATAAATTAATGAAATAAATTCCAAATATTTTAATTTTAGAATAATCAAGACTTATTAAAAGCTGAAGAGTTTTTAAAAGTAATAGAGAATGCATATCTTTCAAAACTACTAATTTCAAAACAGCCAAGTTGTAATTATATATACAATAATAATAATAATAAACAAAAGAAGATTGCTACAGGTAAGCAATGAAATTTACAATGTTTTTTTCATTGAAATTATTTAATCTGTTTTTTGCAGATTGATTCATCCAGGATTAATTTTTAATTATAAATATAATAGATAAATAACTATTAAGATTTTCAGTGTCACAAAAAATTATCCCGTAAAAAATTCATAATATAAAAAATAAAAAAAACAGCCATAAAAAATTATTGTAAAAATAATGACATAAAAAATTATCTTTAAATGTAAGCTAATTTATTTATTGTAAGACCATTTAAATTCAGTATAATAAAAACCATTTCTCCTTTTTGAAAAGAATATTATGAGTTTTTCTTAATTTTGTAATCAAAACATTGCATCAATATCATTCAGAAAGTTTAATAAGATATGATCATGTACAACTAAGAACAAAAATATTTTTTGATAACTCCATAACACATTGCTATCAACGTTAAATAACTGATTTTATGAAAGCCTTGATAAAAAATGTGATATTTTAATGCACAAAGATTTGAAGTCATTTTGTTGAATAAAAAAAAAAAAGAAGGGGATATTAGCTAGGAATTTTTCAATTTTTATTCAAAATATATGATTGAATCAGTTACTTTGATTTCAATTCAATATAAAATGACAATAATATTTTGAAATATAAAATTTGAATCATGGAATAGACATATTTAACTTAAAAAAACTACCCAAAATATTGATTTTTAATAATTTTCATGCATAAAAAAAAAAGAATTGATTCAAAGAGGTATTTGTTGTGGGTTACAGAAAACATATTTAATGTGTGAGAAGTTCTAGGTATCTTTTAAACCTTTGAGATTGGGACTTCGAAGCGAAAAAGTTTCTATTATCAGTTGCTGACATCAAGCAATAATCATTTTATTACAACATAAAACAACATTTAGGAAAACTAAAACTGGTAAATAAAATCTATCACAAGCTTACTTCTTTATCTCTAACATGCCTTACAGTGAAATCATGAATACAGTCTAGGAAACATCTTTCAGAGAGCTTGTTGTAGGAAATAAGAAATTCTCTAAACTAAGAAATATACAAATATTTTAATACTTTATGAAATATAAAGGCATAGAACTAAAATAATATTTAAAAATAAGGTATTTAGGTTGAAAGAAATAACTTGGCAGGTTAAAAAGCTGAGTAACTCAACAGGATAAAAGTTTATTAGCAGATAAGTATTCAGAAATTAAACTAGTTAACTTAAATTTTCAATGTAAAATAATTTTTTAAAATCAACTTAGAAGTGAGTTTAAGTGAGTATATTAAACAGAAAATAAATTTTTTTAAAAAACCTTTTACCATTTTAATTTTTCGAATTTAAAAAAATTTTTAAATATAGTGAAATAAGAAGGAAGTGAAATAACACGGAGTAGTGAGTATAATGAAATAACAGGGCATAACAAGGAAGAGTTTAAAAGATTATTGAAGTTATAAAGAATATACAATTCCATTTTATCAAAAATTCTGATTCTTAAGGATTTTTTCAAGAAATTTTTTAAAAACATTTATTTCCATGTTGTTCTAAAATAAATAATAATAATTACGAAATGAAACTGACTTGTTGAATTTGCTCTGCTTCAGTTGTGGGTTGTTCTCCAGGAAGCGACATGACTCATAAAGAATAGTAGAGAACTTCTTAATATGCGAGAACTATCTACAAAGAACATAAATGAAATATTACACACTAACATCTCACAAAAATATATTGAGTTTATGACTCACTGTAAAAATATAAAGTTATTAACATGTATACTTGATGGATTAAAAAATGTACTAAGTATTATTCTGTTTGTGTAAATTTCAATCAAGTTAGTTTCTAGGTAGAGCAGTTTAGGTTCAACAGGTCTAGGTATTTCAGATACTTTTCCTTAAATATTTTTTTTTAAAAATATAAATATTTCAAGCAAATAATTTTGGCACTTCGGTGATTTCAGTAACAAAAACAGATACAAATATGGAAACCAGGGTTGGCAAGGTTTAGGACAGAATGGATTAATCCACGGTTTAAACCGTCCTGTCCAAAACCCTTTTACTCAAATAATGTCACAATTTTATCTGAACAATATTTAAGAGGTAAAATAAACATAGAACTAATAACATATTGATAATTAAATATACTAGAGAATATTTGTTTTTAAAAGTATAATGTTTTATTAATATTGTTTGACTCTTCAATTTAAACAAAGGAAGATTAATCAGTAATCAAGTTCAATTGGTCCTCTCATTCAATAGTACATAACTGAAGTTTGGCCTTGCCATACAGGTTAAAATATTAGGGACTAAGTGCTTGGTTCGTCATAAACAGGTTTATTTATCTATAGTACTATTCAAGAATACTTTTATTTCATTCATGTTCAATTCTTTTAGCATAGTGGTGATACATCACCAGTGTCAGTAACTGAAACTGATGTTATGCCCTTCAAAACTGTTAATACATTTTTCAGTTATTTTGTATTTTCAATTTAAACTAATATATTTATATTTAAAAACAATTTTTTTTAAAAATAGATGTCTTTTTTATCATCCTGTGATGCAGAAATTATAACATTTTTTTAAAAAAATATTGTGAAAAATAAAAGGTTAATTTTTGAACAAATTTAGTATTTTTTTTAAGAAAAATTATTATTTTTTAATATTGCCATATTTATCCTTATGCAAAAATATTATTTATCAGTATTAAAAGCATATTTATATTTAAAGGATTAGGTATTCACTTTTGTTGTTCAATGAATTGTGGAGCTTCAAAAATTATAAACCTTTTCCTATTATATTATTTTCTTTTAATAAGTTATAGTAAATTGTATAAAAAATATCAAATATTTATTGATACATGTAATTATTATATGTACAATGGTTACACCTATAGAATTTTTACCTTTTACTTTAAGACAGTTTTACCCAGTTTAGGACAGTTTTACCCAGTTAAGGACAGTTTTACCCAGTTTAAGACAGTAAAACCCACGTGTCCTGTCCAAAACTAGTTTAGGACGTCCAAAACCCCAACCCTGATGGAAACATCTCCTTTTAGAGTTTTATAATATTCTAGAAAGAAAAAAAATCATTTTACTGCCATAAAAAAAAAAGCTGGAGAATACTATTACAATACACAATTTAATCAAAGAGTCTTCTAATGTTATTTGCTAAATTTTTCAGACTACATACACAATTTCATATTATATATCATGAGAATAAAGGGCTTTTAAAAGTTAATACTTGAGAATAAAGGGCTTTTTAAATTGAATTATAGGGTCAAGTAGGCACATGGGGTATCTATAAACATCTATTTTCTCCTTTTAAATTGAGATAATTTGTTTAACATTTTTAGAGATATTTACTGAAATTATGGCACGCATTTTTATTAAAGTTTTAAAAGCTGATAAAAAATTTCTTATTTGCAAACTATCTGTTCATGATCAATTTATACAGTACATTATTTTAAGCTGTTGATGAACTTTCTTCTATGATTAAAAACTATTAATTTTAATTCAGCATGCTAGAGGAACAATTAAAGAACAGCTCTACATAGAAATTTAAGAATAAATTTAAAGATTCAATTCATTATGATTTTCTAAGGTGGGGTTAAGTGGGTATATAGTTAGGCTTAGCTAAGTGTTGTATGATAAGGATATTTTTTATGTCTGTGTTAGTCTAAAATAGTATTTAATGCTCTATATTTTATAATGAAAAAGCAAAAAACAGATAAATATATATAATATGAAAAAGCTATGATATCCAAAATCAGGTAAATACGAAAATCGATGTTTGATAATAAAATCGCTATTTTAAAAACGCGTTAATACAAATTGCGATATTGGATTTTTAAATCTCGTAAATAAAAATCGCTATGTACAATATTTTAATTGCATGAAAAAGAATCGCAATGCGCAACTTTTAAATCAGATAAATACGAAAATCGATATTTGATGTTAAAATTGCATGAATAAGAATCGAGATATTAGCAGATTCTGGTCTTGGGATTTCTATAAGGCTTGTTTGTATTGTTTTTGTTTAGCCATCATAAATAAAAATGTACAAGATTAATTGAATGAGCAAATAAATATTTTCACCGCAAATAAACCACTATTTTTTATTATTATTTCGTTTGCTTTTGCGCCAGTAGACAGGTAGCAGCGACGTCTGAATTACGAAAATACGAGCCATCTGGCAGGAGGGTAAAAATACGAAAAATCTTATTTTTTGTTGGTAAAAGAGGAGAAAATAGCTACAATAAGCAAAAATGCAGAAGGGTTGGCAGCTACATATTTTGAATTTTCTGTTTATCTTTGAAATTCGGACTTAAATATAATCATTTTATTTCAACGCTTGAATTTTCAGAAAAAGCAGAATGTTTATAACAAAAACCTTTACAGAATCGGAGTTTTTGATAAAAAGGCAGAAATTTGAGAGACAAAAGCGAGAAAAGCGGAAATCCGCTAAAAAGCAGAAAAATCTCATTCCTGTAAAAAATAATTTTCTTGCTTGATTATAGCCCTACATTGTAATTTATACACTGAAAATAACATTAATTATTGAATTTTAATTTTCACTTTTAAAGAGAGAGAAGATCGGGGGAGGCGGAATTACAATATGGATGGTTGACCATGTAAGGTTAAGCACAAATGGTGTTAAAGGTTAAAATTCCTCATGAGACTTCTGGGTTACTTGTACTAATTGATTTTTCGTCTGAGCTTGAAAAAGCATGCCGTCCAATATTATTATAACTTGTAGTGGTTTTAATATAACATGTTCTTTCAATTTAACTTTCTACAAAACAAACAACAAATGAATTCGAAAGACTCTGCAAGCTTGCTATGATGCTATCCAAAAAATAACAAACAGCGATATTTTGCACAAATATATTCAAATAAAGGATAAACTTAAAACATGGCCAACTTTACACTTTATTCATGTTGTAATATTAATTTTCTTAAATTTGTTTTAGGCTCATGATCTGCTAGGATTTATAAATTACAGAAAACTCTTATGAATGGTAAAATGTATGCATAAATTTAAATTCAAATCACAATAATAAAATTTCCTAGGATATTAAGGCTGTTCACGCATCACCTCGTAAGCATAACGTAAGAGGAGGGTTACACTCGAAATTTTCTAAATTTGTTGAGGTTTCAGGAAGTTGGTTATTGTTTACATTCAGTCAACCATCCATAATATACAATAAAAAAAATAAAAAAAATTGGCATAATGGTACAACTTAGTGAGCATATTTAAAGATATAAATCAGTTTATCATGCATGTTTCTGCTTTTATAAGACAATTTTTTTAAAAAGTCAAAACAATTTCCTTTAAATAACTAAATTAAATAAAAATACATGTTTGCAATAAATAGTGAAAACACTTTAAATTGCCATAGATATTAAATCAAATAAACCATAAACTATTACAGCTTTTTTGTCTTCTGACGAAATTTTTTCGAGTTCAGCAAAATACTGCATCTGATGTGAAACTTAATTTTGACAGCCAAGGACATTAACTATTAAATTTAATAATATGAAAAAAATTTATTTTTCAGCGCTTAGTTTTTTTTAAATATATTCAGAATACATTTATTTAAGAGCATTTGCATTTCTAAAACAATATTTACATGTGTTTTTCAGTAAAATATATACTAATTTGAGAACTATATCCACTATGGGGAGATTTCTGTAATGTGATCTGAGGCAGAATAATTGCCAAGTGTTGGCAACTTCTGGGTAGCAGCACAGGAGAAACTAAAAAAAAACATCAAAGGGACCAACTCGAAAGGTATATCTCGTAGCCACCCCAGGGCAAACATCTACATCTTTTTTTAAAAAATTGAAAGTTTAAAATCTATTTGGTACCTTGGTGATCAACGTTGATGCGGCAGAGCACAATACAGAAATATCCCTACCTCTATCAGGTAAAGTGGGTCTATCAAAACATGTTCTTTTGAATGCATTACTGTAACAATCGATAAGTTATGTTTAATATTTAATCTACATGAATCCAAGGTATATAAAATTTTCAGTAAAATAAATTTAATGGTTAGGTTTTAGAGCCTTGAAAAAAGAAAAAGAAAACAGGATTCGTTTTTCTGATTTCTGAAAATCTAATTTTTTTTATTTAAAAAAAAAAATCAGATTTTTTTAAAATTTACATCGCATTTCTTTTATTTCTATTCAAATACACTGTAAGAACTTTGATTTATGATTAAAAAATCTTTATAAATGTTTAATCAAACTTAAATGAATATTAAAACTATATTATAACAATGTTTTAGAAGCTCTAACTATCTAAAACAATTTTTCATTTAAATACATAGCTTTAAATGCATAGAACCATTTTGAAACAAATACATGATTCAAAATTAAGGACTAGATGAAATAGAGAATTTAAAGAATACTTTAACAATTAAAACTAAGTTTCAATTAGCAAACCATAATTTTAATTTAAAATTGAGATATCTTTTTTTCTTCCTCTTGATTTTTAAAATGTCAAAATAAATGAAACAGATTGTATTTATAAATGTAGTCATTCATTAAAAAAATAAATATTTAATCTATATATTTTCATATTAAAATATTCATTTTTAATCCTATATCGAAATAAATAAGTTAAGCTAAAAACATTTTCAGAAAATCTATATATTTTATGTACTCATTGGAATTTTATTTCGCAAAATTTCTTTATAGAAAATACTGAAAAATATATTTTCCACCAATAAAATATAATGTAGATCTTAATTCCATGCTTTTTCAATCAAAAGGTAGAATTTTAATTAACATTATTTGTATTTTTTTTTCTGAAAAATTAATTACTTTCTACAGCTATGCAAATCTATAATAAGACATCATTAAATGTTTACTTTAATCTGTACTTTCAATCTCAAGAATCAAAATATTTTGAAAAATGCAATTTCAAATGTGTTGGAATTTAACACACACCAAGAAAGTAATTTCGTTAACTAAAATTAATTAATGCAGCAATTTATTTACAATAAATTTCATAACTAAGAAAGTAAAATAATAAAGGGTTTGAGGATTTAAATCCACAAACCCTGAAAAAAACTCGATTTTATACCTAATTTACCCCACCTGACCCTATAGCTAATACATGAAAAGCATGAAGAATTAATTTAATTGGGGATTGGTCCCTGCGAAATCAAGAAAATTCATTTTAGGTACATTATTTTTACGAATCGAAAAAAAATTATTAGAATAATGCAATCCAATAATTGTAATATACAATCTGAAGTAAGAACTGATGACTGTCGTGGAAATAACGAACAGTGTTGATAGTTGTTAATAAGGGTCATTAAAATTTAATAAAATGAAAATTATCATTAAAAATTAACAAGCAATTTTTATTTGAAAATGGATTGATTGCATTAAATAAATTTGAGTTGTCTAATGGAATGGATCCTGTAGCATACACTCTTCAGAATTTCACATAAATTATTAACGATTTTTAAGAAACCGAATACCTTTTGCAATTATCAATATTAGTTATAATTTTTTTGTATTAATATCTGAGATATATCATTAATCATAAACTTAAAAAGCATGTCACTTAAATTTTGTTTTGACTAGGAATGACCTTGACTACAACTAATTCTGTTGATCGGCTTTGTCTCTAATGTAGAAATCTATAGAGAAAAGTTTTTGTAATGATGAATCGATGAATCAAAATAATCTTTATCGTCCATTGTTACCCCCCTCCCATTTAGGACGAGGTTCATGTAATGGCGGTTGCAACGTTGTACGATCTGTTTATAATGTTGTTGTCATTATGCAATTTTATGAATAGATTTGTGTAATTTGTCTTCATGCCTTCACGATAAATACAATTTTGATTATGAAGTCAAAAGATTTGATGGATTTTGTTGAAAATTTTTTCTGTTGGAAATGTGTTCCAATTTCTTTGAAATGTGGATGCTTGCTTCAACAATTCGAGCGAAACAAATGAAAATAAATATATTGTAATCTGACGAATAACACTAAGTATGTTGTTAAAATCATTCGTGTTTAAAATCTATTGATTTATTAATCTTTTCACGTTGATTAAATAATTTAATTTTGCTATGTTTGCTTAGTGTTTGTTGTTATTACGTTTTAGCTTACTTTTCCATAACAAACAATTAACAAGTTCTCAATTTTATTTTTCATTCTTACGGAATATTTCAGTCATTACGTTATGAAAGTAGATGAAAATCTCCTACACTGATATCTTTTTACGTTTTGAACAGTAACCAATTTACTTAGCATTAGTTCTGTGTTTTGTAGTGTTTTTCAACAAAGTCGAATTATGATTTTTTACGTTGCAATTTTATATCATTGTTGATAATATTGACTGCTTTAATAAGATGTATTTCTATTATCCAACGAAAATGTAAATAAATTTTTGGCTTTTTTTTTTGCCATCTGAGTAAACACTTAAAACAACATTAAGGAAAAAATGAGCACTTAATAATAGACGGAACACATGCCTAAAGTTGTCCTGCAGAGTTTAATTTCTTTTCTTACTTTTTTTTTTGTTGTATGCATATTAACTCATCAATGAATTTATAAAACAAAATTATATTTGCTTCTAAATTTTTTTTTGTTGCCCAAAACAGTGGTTTAAATATTGTCTTTTGAACTTAAAAATTTTTTTTTTTACAATCAAAAATTCCTTTTAAATTTTTTCCCCTTTATTTTTATCTAAATTTTCCAGCATAACAATATATTTAAGAATAAAATTTTTACAAAAAATGTAGTTTTGATTGAGTTTATTATTAATTAATACTGTTTAATATATTAAAAGTCTATTTTAGAATGCATGAAATTATTACAATTTAATTATTTATAAGTATTACAACATTGAGAGAGAAAAACATTCAAAACCAAAAATATATGCATTCTAGGACTCACTCTTTGCTTTAAAAATAATTTTGAGTGAGTTAAAATTTATTAATTGTTTATGATAGTGACAAATTACAGTGTGCTTGAATATGAAATTGAATGAATTGAATATTTTTTATGCAAATAATTTCAATATGAAAAAGACTACTTAACTTATATTTAACATTTAAGTGTTTTACAAAATTGACTTCATATTTCTTCACTTTTTCAAAAAAGTAAAATTTAAAAACATTTTTAAAAAATATTATGAAAACATAATTTTAATTAAGCTATAAATTTCTTTATGTTGGTAAAGCTTAATGTAACTTAATAAACACAGAAGAATAAATTAAACAGAGATCAAGGATTTTCAGATAAATACATAGATATTTCTTCTCATTTTATGTATCATGATTTTTTCCGCTAACTACAATCGCCAAGATGCCAAATAGATTTTAAACTTGCAAATGTTTTTTAAAAACATGTGTAGATGTTTGCCTGGGGGCGACTACGAGTTATGCCCTTCGAGATAATCTCTTTCTGTGCTGTCTCTTTAGTTTCTCGCAGGCTGTTGCCAAGACTTGGTGATTATTCTGCCACAGATCACAATACGTAAATCTCCTTTTTAAAAGTTATAGCTAAGCAAACGTAATAATCTCCTTTCAATTGAAACATAACTTATGTATTCTATGATAATACTGTCTTGTCACATCATTTTATACCTCTTTTTTCTGCAATTAGGATTGAAAAAAAGTTTTTTTTTTCCTCCATAAAACTAAAAATCTAGTCTCTTTGATTTAAAGATTTTTTTGGTTTATGCTGTATTTTTTTAAAAAACAATGTGTCTCTTTATATTTTAAGCCTTTAGTTGAAATTAACAAAATCATTCTAAATTATTTTACATTATTTAACTATTCCCTTTAGCTATTAATTGTTTTCAATAATAAAAAAATATTCACTTAACATAATAATGAAGAACAAACTCAATGCTTCAATTAATGATTTTATATTACTTTACAATTGCACTGAACATGTAATGTAAATAAATACTTAAAATTTAAATTTTATTTTAGTATTATCTGTTGAAGAGTGATTTCTCCCTTTGTTTGTCTTTAATATTAAAAAGCAATAATTCAGTATTATTTATTTAGTTTCATTATCATTATATCATATTCATTGCATCATATTCATTACATCATTTTATTATATTTTATTCACTTCATATCATTATATACTATTTTTTTTATATTAGTATTAAAGTTTTATGAAATGTGCAAGCATTAAGTTTTTTTTAAATATATCTTTCTTATATTTTTAATCCATTGAATCAATTTTATTTTTAACGCTGATTTTATTATACATATTTAAGGCAATATATTATACATATTTTATATTAATGAAAATTGAAATTTATTTTTGAAAATAATGGATTGGTAAAAGGGTACAAAAATGACATAGAAGTTGCAATATAAAATAGTAAAAATAAGTTTTAGTACTAATGGTTTAATAATAAATAAAGAGTAAACTATCTTTTTAATTTATTTAAACATAACAGAGCTTTAATTTATTTAAACATAACAGAGCTTTAATTTTTAATATATCAGAGTTTGTAGTTACCTTGAAATCTGGAAATTAATTTATCTGGAAAAAAAAATTGTCCTTTTATTTTATTATTTGTCCCTTTATTTTTAGCTTTTTATCCTGATATTTCTGATTTGTTTATGTTAAGAACATCCCATTTTTTATGAATACTAATGAAAATAAATTATTTGCAAAATAATTAAATTCAATAATAGAAAGATATGGATTTTTGGTCAAATATCTTTTTATTTTAATAAATAGTTCACCTTGAAAATAACTTTTAAACACAAACGCTATGACGTATATTTGCTGTGTTTTCTTTTCGAAATTTTTTGCAACCCCAGTAAAATATTTGATTAAAGGAGTCCTGAACTTAATTGAAACTTTTATATAAATATAGCTATGAAGGAATATTAACCAATTTATACTGACAATTTTTTTAATGCTGCAGTACCATTAAAATTTACTAAATATTGATCTCAAACTTTCATGGGCTGCTCAGAGCTCTATTAGCAGAATTTTGCAGGAAAAACTTTATTTTTTCAGAATAAAGTAATTAATTAAAAGTTGTAAGGCATTAAAAATTGCGAGTAATAAATTAATATATCAGTTTTTTTATTATTTTATTTTCAGATTATGTTGTAATACGTTTTCATATCATTTGTTTGTTTTTGTATACATTTATTCTTTAGTATGTAGATTATATACATTATTGCTGAATGAAAATAATTATAATCACCAGTTTTCTTTTAAACTTATTTTGATATGTCTTTATATTGAGGAATCTGAGGATCCGAGTCTAGAAAATTGAAGTTCTAAAATTCTTCTTCGTTTCTAACTAATGTATGAAATCGCACAGTTTTTTTAAAATCAGTTCTTATCAGCTAGTTCCTATCCTAATTTTTTAGTTGAAAATTTTGGATGTAGCCCTTGTTTTTTTAGTTTATTTTATTTCTTTATTTTTATTTAAAAAATGTTGTGTAAGAGTTAAAGGAATATGCTGCACAGAAGAAAATTACACTTTTTTAGCTCTTCGTTTCCTCCTTTTAAAAATGGTCTAGAATGTATGCATTGCATTAAAAATGTCCTGATTTTTATTTTTTACCACTACGGCCTTGACTGTATCACATGTAAATTACACGTATTAAATTGTCATATAAAATAGAAATGCCTGCTATTTTTCCTCTGAAATTCTAGTATTTCTAAATTTTCCATAAAGTTAACCCCTGTTTTGACTTTAGTTACAAAAAAATCATTTACAGAAATTGTAATATATCTCTGTCTTTTCAGGAATCATATATTGTACACAGCAATGAATATCTTGATAAAATCAGACAATTTTTAGGTCTAACAGTTTAGTTTCAACAGGTCTTTGAATTTCTTTCAACAGGTCTTTGAATTTGAATCGGTCTACCCGGTCTTTCCCCACTTTCCTCTAAATATTTTTTTTATTTTTTGGTCTATAAATTATGTAAAACTGGATAGTTATGGGAGATTTAATTAATTTTAAATTATTAAATTTTTTTGTTATTACTTTTAAATTTTATTTTTTTTTAATGTAAATTTAACTAAAAATTTTGTTTAAATTTAATTGAAATTGTCAATCAAAACAATTCAGATATACTAATAATTTTCTTATTACATTCTTGCTTTCAGGTGCAGAGATGTCAAGACTTGGGACAAAAACTTACAGCCGTAAGACAGAATGTAAGACAAGTGTCCAATTTGAAAATTTGTTAACTGAGAAAGGCAATAAACCATCTACTGCCAAAGTATCTGTGGCTGGTGTTCACAGATGGGGTATGACCACGTTTACCTCTTTGAGGAAGTCACGAATTAATGGACAAAAAACTACAACTTCTGGTGAAAGTGTTTCGGTTGAACCAGTTAAGCGAATTAAACTAGAATTGGATGCTCCACTGAGTTGTTCTGATGACCCGTTTTCATTTGAAACTGATAGTGAGGCTGTGCATGAGAAAAACATGAGTTCTTTAGCAGCTCTTAATCCTTCTGGTTTGAATGTGGAAACCAAACCAGTTGTACCAAAGCCAAACAAGTTTTTTAAAAGTGGTTCACGCGGCTCTAAAAGTTCAATTACAAAAAATAGTGATTTTGATGCCGTGAGACTTTCAGTACCTCCAGCTTTTAACTCTTTGCAAAAACCTCAATCTTTACCTAAAGATTCTAATGATTTCCAAAGACCTAGGTCTGTTAAAGAACCTAAAAACTCTCACAATTTTCAGAAACCCAAGCCTTTAAAAGAACCTAAAAATTCAAATAATTTACTTTTAAATGTTAACACAAATGTTATAAATGATTTTACTCATTCATCTGACGTTTATTTGACCAGTGTCAATCCACAGATTACAGATATGTATGCCTCTCCGTCTCCACGTGAAATTAAGACTTCCAATGCTTCCAATAATCCACATATGCATTACATAAGTTCTTTAATTCAGCCTGTTGCGTCAAATGATGCTTCATCTCGTGCATTTGATGCACTATTGACACTTGATCTTCCTAATAAAAACAGTGAAACAGATGTACTTACACAGCTCGGTACTGCAACTGAATCACTGAATTACATTGACGATAAAATGCTAAAGTATTCTAATTATGATTCTGTGACTCAAAGTGTTCTCAACAGTCAGCATATAGACTCCTTTCCTTCTCATGATAATTTATTTTTTGAAAAGAGTTCTGATTCTTTCAATGGACAGAAAAATGAACTTGGTATTCCAAGTCAGTATTTAAGTGAAAAAACCATTTGTGATACAAATGTACTGGACGATTTTGTGTTAAATGATACAGTTTCCAAACCTGATGCATCATCACAAGAGTTCACCATGTCATCTTTGGAAATCGTTTCATCTCAAGATAGTTTGTCTACTAAAGAAAATAATTCAACTCAAGAAACTGTTCTTTCTCAAGATTTTGCATCATCGCAAGAAAGTATTTCATCCTCACAGGAAAAGACAGACCCTAATGCTGTTGCAAAACAGAGTTCAAGAAGAAAAATATTTAGCTCTTCTTTAAAAGTACTATTTTATTTATTTTGTGGTAGTAATGTTTCAATTACAAAAATATTTGATTATTAATTTTATTGTTTTTTTCTCCCTTGCAGTTTAAAGCAAAGTACAACCATCGACATTGGCATTCTTCTAAAAAAGGAGATGAGGTAAGAATTTTGTTCTGTATTATCAGGAACCAATATATCATGGACACCGGGTTGTCCAGGAGATAATGAAAATTCCCTTGGCAAAATTTTTTTCCAGCATGTTATTCTGCTACTTATGTTTAAATTATCAGGGCTGATTGTGCTCCGGAAAAAGTCCGGATTTCCGGAATTTTCGCTAACAGTGATCCGGAAGTTTCCGGAGATCGAAGGTCCAGATGTTTAAAAAAATCATTGGTCACAGAAGTTTCCGGAAATCAAATTTTCAAAAGTGGAACTTAAAAGCACAGTTTATTTTATTTGTTTGTAAGGGAGAGCCAGAGAGATACTTTATAAGCTTATATTCATGATTAATATCAGTAAACAGTTTATCAGTAAACAGTTGTTATAATCATAAACTCAAGAAAGAAAGACATATTTGTAAATTTTAATTACTTCTCCAGGTCATCATAGGTATGTGTAAATGGTATAGGTATGTGTAAAATTTTAAATATATTTTAAGTAAACTAAGAAATATTGAGAAAAAGGAAAAAAAAAGCCTTGTGTAAATTTTTTTCAAATTTTTCAATTTAAACAGTCTTTTTTTTAAAAATTTTTTAAACTCAATTTTCTGGAATTTTGACTTGTACTCACAATTATGCCTGAATTATTATAAGCTAGAGAATTTTTTGGGAAAAAGAATTTTAAAATAATAGCTTTTTATTGGCCCGAATATCGAATCAATTGATAGATGGTATTTTAACGTTAAAACTTAAAGGCAGCATTAATGTATATATCCATTTAATGTTTGTATTAAAATTAATCTTAAAATTTCCATACTCCTTTAGTTTTCATTTCAGTTTGTTTTATTGTTATAGGAATTTGTACAATTTTAAGAAATTATCAACAAGTTTTATGTTTTACTATACCTTTGACTGGTATTTATTTAATATCCATTTTAAATGCTGCTTTCAAATATATTTTTCTATTAAAAAGAAGTTTCAGAAAAACAATATTTTCAAAAATAAATATCTTGTTTTTTGAATTTCAATGAAAGTTGCATTTGGGCAATTCTTTGACTTTGCTGGTGGCATCTGAAACTATAATTTGTTACCCAAATTTGATTGAAATTTTCCACTGATGTGAACAAAGATGATTGTGCTCCGGCAAAAATCCGGTTTTCCGGATTTTTCGCTAGCCGCAATCTGGAAGTTTCCGGAATCCAAGGTCCAGAAGTTAAAAGAAATCATGGATCATATTTATGCATAAAAATTCTTGTATATTTTATTTAAAAATATTAGAACTAGAATTTATACTTGGCATCTCTTTCATTTGTAAATATTTTTTCTGGTAGAATAATAAATGTGATAGGAGTAAACTTATACATAATTATTCATTTAAATTATGCTGCTTATAATTTATTTAGGATTTTATGTTTTAAAAATATCAATGATTTAAATTTATAAAACATTAATTTTTTGAAATGCATCATTAATGATTATTCTCAAGAAATTTTCAGGATTTTTGAGTTGGGCTCACAATCACCCCTGTGTGAAGTTACAGATTAAACTTTAATTTGATTATACGTGGTCTATAAATTTATTTTTAATTTTTGAAGATTAAATTTTCAAAAAATGAAAAATTTACTTTGTATGATTTGGCTTTATTTTTTTTTATTAAATTATTTTTAGAGTTCAAATGATCCAGAGGCTTCTTCCTTAGCTGATGAATTTGACCAAGAAATGATTAAAGAAAGCTTTGTTGATGATTTAATACCCAGTGTCTCTAATACATCGTCTGGTGATATTAGATCCTTTAAATGTCCCAAAGAATCTAAAGAAGTATGTATATTTCATTATCTCAATAATAAATAAATATTTTCTATAGTTATTAGGTTAGTCGTACCAAAGTAAAATTGTTTGAATTGTAGTAAATTTTGACTACCATGAGTTCGTCTTGAGCAACTACGTTCTGCCAAATGATAAGAATTATAAGGATGAACTATTGAAAATATGTTTGCAATCAAATGATGTAAGGCAATTGGCAAGAAAAAAAAATGAATAAGAAGTTGGAAGCAGTTTAGTTTCATTGTGCTAGGATATGTTTTTCAATTTTTTGCATGATTTCTTAGTGTTGTACAGCACTGATTTATTGATTATTTCTTTTTTCATCCTATACTGTGAACTGGCATTTAGCTAGTATTTTAATAGGAGTAAGACTTTTAAGTGACATTTTAATGAAATTTTTGTTTTTATTTGATAGCATAGGCAGACAATTGATTTGCAAAGCAATCGCAGCACTTAACAAATTTTAATTTATTAATTCATAATGAAAATATGGTATTATGGATAGCTTGAAAAATTTACAACTTAGTAAACTATAAATGGTGTTTTCTACTCTAGGGTGCCCTGCAAACTCGTTACTGCATATACTTCCGTGTTACTGTTTTTGGTGTATTTTGAAGCCATTTGACTCGCAACGTACTTATTGTGTTTTGAGACTCTTGAGTAGTATTTCTTGTATAAGTGTATTTGTTACCTGATTTATTATTTGTGTTAAAAAGAATCGTCAATTGACGACTTGTCATTTCAAAATGTAAGAATTGTCATTTGAAAAAAAAAAAGAATTATTTTATATAACGTTTCTTACCTTGTCAACAATATACTAACTTCGAAATTTAAAACTAAATGATAATTTGTAAAATGAATTTAATCTTCCTTCTTGAACAATATGCTAACACTAACGTATGATGGTGCACGGCTTGCAACAAGAACAAACAGTAATAAATGAGTAAAAAAAGACCAGATCAAGTCTGCCAAAAAAGTGAGTTCTTTCTAAATCTAGCAACTATGTTACTTTTTTTTAACAATACATCAATAAATAACAAACAAATTTTCATCTGAAATGCACCAGAATGACTTAATATCCTATGAAATTTGGCGGATTTAAGCTCAGAAATTATATAATTAATTAATTTTATTTAAAAAAAAATTTTCTTTTTGAAAATATCACCTTGCAGAATAAGCTGTAGTAAACAGCTGTATACTTTTTAACCGGAATTAGAGCTGGTCAAGAGCTCGAGATTGTTGTTTACATTTATATTGAAATCGCCATCCATATTGTTTTGGTCTGATGAGTGAAATAATTCATTTTATATATTTTCCAGTACTATACGGTTGTTAAGAATGTCAAGCAAGCTTATCAGTGTCATGAGTCTGGTGAAACTCAAGAATTTAATGATGATATTGAATATTTGTTAGAGTGTGTCCAAGAGTGTAATGCTATAGGTACCAGATGTTTAAGGTACTAAGTTTTTTTTTGTTTGTTTGTTTTATATTTTGTTGTTTTTTATTTATACAATTGTTTGCTGTCAATTAAAATCATTTGCTTACTGTTCACTTATGATTTTAATAACTGTTAGTTTGATTCTGAAAAAAAAAAGAAAAAAAAACTTAAAATTTTAGAGTTGAGAGTCTTTAAGATCAAAGTGGATTCATGCATTTAATGTTTCAAAATAATTATTGAAAGTTATTTATTAATGTTATTAATTAATGTTATTAATTAATTGTGTTTCTGGCAGTAACTTGTGTAAGGTGGATAAAATAAAAAATAGTGTGGCAAATTTGACTTATCACTAAAAGTTTAATAAGAGTTCTCATTGATATTATAAATGTTTTATAGGGCAATTTTATTTAGACCTCCTAATCTAGATAGTATTATTTGAATCAGAGATACCTGAGATGAGTATTATATTGCAATCATTACTTTACATTTACTTTGTACAGCTCTAATATGGCAGGTAGTAAAAAGTAAGATTTTCAATAGACGTAATATAAGTAGTCTCTTGTAGATTAATACTCGTGTGCATTGCCACACTTAAATAATTGTTGTACAATATTTGTTTTAATTTCGTTTTATGTAATATAAATGAATAAAAATAAATGAATAAAAATAAATGAAATTACCTTTTAAAATGTGGTTTAGCTTAGAAATACTGGAATTATTAGTTATGTTTATTATCTGAAATTGTAGCACTACATTTTTAAATTTTTTGATTCCTTTTTTGTTTATTTTACAATTATTATACATTTTTCTTTAGTGTGTTGAATCTTGCTGCTAAATGCATGGGACCTGCCTTTCGCATACATCTTCGTGCCCATGGGACGATGCCTAAAATATTTAGTGCCTTAAAAGATGCTCCGGACGATCCAGTTAGTTAATTTTGATAAAATATATTGTTTTGACTGTGTAAAATGATGTTTTCATGATTGTATAAATTTATAGTTTTAATTTCAAGTAAATGCTAAGTAACTTGCATAATATAAAAATTTGTGTTAATTGATTGACTGTTTCATCAAGGTTTTATAAATGAAATGTCGATAATGACTGTTGAAAAATCACGTTTCCAATAGTTTTTCTCAAGAATCCGCTGTTGGTCAATTTTGTGCGATTATTTTTATAATGTGAAATTTTGTGAAGGGATAGTTTTTACAAATTAGATTTTTATGAATGGGCCGTTTTTTACAATTTGAGTGTTTTGAAGAGACCCAGATTTCTACCTGGATTGATTCTTGATATTGATTCTAAATTTTTACTTATTTTTTTATGATAAATGGACATTTATATTCCATTTATTGTTCCTTTATTTTTATTTCAAGTTATTTTATGTTTTACATTTAATGATGGTAGAAGATAGTTACATAATTTGCATTTTCCTGTATGTTTTTGCTGCCTTGTTTTCACTCTCATTCATGATTTTTATAGCTCTAGTTTATTGTTTATTTTATAATAGAAAGTAAAATAAATTTTGCTTTTTTTTTTAACATTCTGTTCTACTTTTCTGTTGTTTCTTGTTGTTTTACTCTTTAACGTACATCGTGTCAGCTAGATTCAAAGACAAAAGCTTACTTTTTGGATAATTTTACTTTCAGTTGGGTTAAACCCCTATTAATTTTAAAATTTTTATTAAAAATTTTGGAATGTTTTTACTTTAAGTTCTCTTATTTAGTAAAGACATAAATTTCTAATAAGTTTTTAATGTTGTTCTCCCTGTTACGTTTGTGTTTTGATTTTTTTCTTTATAATAAAGGGTCAGATATTTTTTTATTTGCTTTCTTTTTAACAAATTAGCTTTTTTATTTTAATCATTGTACAAATAAAAAAATCGAAGTGGGAAAAAATATTACTAACTGAACAATCCTATTCAGTTGTCATATTTTGCGTATTTTATTTAGTTGAGTAAATAGGATTTTAATTACTATTGAATTCATAATGATTATATACTTATTAGTTTCTTTTCTGAGATGAATTAGTATTTTTAAAAATGTTTTTTTTATGAACTAGTAACTGTGATGCCAAATATCTATGTATTGCAGAGATACTAAATAATTTATTAATTACTAAATTTTAACATTTATTTTTGTCCACAGCAGCATTTATTTGAACTCTTCCAACATAGGGGGTACCCGCAATCTGGGAAGTATGGTTCCCATAGTTTGGTCGTGAGAGTGCTCCAAAGTTTTGACTCCCTGAAGTTTTTTATTTTTTTTGCGTATTTCGCCATATTTTGAGAACATTTTAACCATCAAAATTCAATGTAGTCATCTGTAATTCAGTTAAAAACACAAAATACGGCTTGTGCAGGTATTGATCTTAATTTAGCTAATTAATATTTAAAGGCGTATATCAAAATCAAGCTACAGTCTGTTGACACAGAAACAGCCCAAGCAAAATATGCCAAATATTAATACTAAAAAAGAGGCTGTTTTTTTCTTTTAAGAGTGATAATTTTAAATGAACTGAGTTTTAATGTTTCTTTTTGCTTAGCTAGGCATAAATATTATCACTTTCAATGATTATTAAATTATAGATTCGTTGAAAGTTAGGTTGTTATGTGATTTTTCTTTGAATTTATTATTTGTGATAAATTTTTTATATAAATTACTTTTGCACTGTTGTAAATTTCTATGATAACAGAGTTGTGTTAATATTTTCCTATATAGATCATATTAATTAATATTTTGTTGAAAAATTTAATATTTAAAGTTTTTTTTACCAATCAATTTGTTATTTTTTAGAATTTAGCTTTATGTACAGCAACATTGATGTTTGTTTTAAGTCAAGATAGACTTACTATGGATATAGAAGCAAGTACTTTGTCCTTAATGCTACAATTACTGGAAACTGATCCTGAATTGAGGAATCCTGACAAAGAAATTGATTTGATATTGAAAGATCCTGCTCTTTGCGCTATGCAAGACAAACACAGGGAAAAAGTTTATCAATTGTGTGAAGAAATGCAGCAAAAGGGACATGCTAAGCATTTGAAATTGGATAATATAAATGTAAGTATTGCCTTTATATTTATTTTAAAAAGGATTGTGTTTATTGCGTGTATGTAAGCTAAAGTTATATTTTCTCTTTCCTAAAGACGGGTATTTTGGCTATGGAGACACTGTTAAGTTTAACATCTAGAAAAGCTGGCGAATGGTTTAAGGAAGAAATGCGAACTCTACGAGGCTTGGATAGGATTGCTGATACTGGTAATATATTCTCTGTTTTCCGTATCATGCTTATTTGTATTCTTCACTTGAAAGTGAGCTCGGTTTCTTAATAAATATGCTATGAAAGTAGTTTTAATATAATTTATCTTGAAATGAAATTTTTTATAATTCTTAATTTAATAACTATAAAAATACTTGAATATTTTAAAATATTCTGATGTTCCAAGAAACATGTTAATTTTTATTTATTTATAAACTTTTCAGAAAAAGTCATTATTCAGTATTATTATTTATAGAAAGGAAATAATAATACTGAATACAAAAGGAGTATTATTATTAATCAAGGAAACTGCTAAAAATTAAAATAAATTCAAGCTGCATGAGCGATCAAGATAGAATCGACAAATTGTCTAATAAGAGTTTTAAGGGAAAAGTATGTACTGTCTTATGGATTAGGTTGTAAGAATTTAAATTACAAACTGACAAGACATCTAATTTCTGCTGTTTGATTAATATTTGTGTTAGTTAATTATTTATGTGGAATAAATAAAATAATATTAAGTTAAGGACAATTTTTTATCATTTGAGTCTTATCTTAATTCTTTATTTTTCTTCTGTAGTTGATGATTTTTTTTCTGTATAATTTAGTTACCTCATCAGCCCATATGTTGACTCCAGATGAGAATGAAATAATTTCCCATCCGACCGATGTTCAATTGGATAAAATTAGAAAAATCGATCGATGTCTAAGGGTTATAGAAAATGTAAGTATATTGTTAGACAAGTAATATTTTGTGTCAGTAGATTAAAAAAAAAAAAGCTAAGTGTTTTTATTATTATTTTGTAAGATATCTTATTGAAATAATTTTTCATCATATTAAACTACTTTGTTATTAAATTAGGCTTTAATATTTCTCTTTATATTAGCTATTGGTGTTTCCCATGATTAATAAGGTTGTAATATTTAATAAGGTCATTTGAGGTCACATTTACTGAAATAATATGTTACTCAAATCCATTGTATGAAGCTTATTTCCTTTATTTTATCATATGTTGTGGAGTTTTCTGACTATAAAAACTTAACCTGCACGGCATCAAACACTTGAAATTGTAGCCCATTTATTGTTGAGTACTTGAAAATGTGACTTTTTTTAATAGTCTTGTATCATTAAAGGTATTTTATTTTAATGTTAAAGTACAGGACGTTTGCGGTTATATATTAAGCAAAATTTCACATTAGCTTTTAGTACTGCTCAATTCACATCAATTTTCAGGGGAACAATCATTAACTTAAAAAATATCTTGGTTGTGCTTTATTTCATTAAATTAAAGAGCAAAAACAATGTGTTTTTTTTTTTTTTTTTTTTTTTTTTTGTAGATAAGAACAGGGTTCCCACAAGTCAGGAAGAACTGGGAAAACCTGAAATTGCCAGGGAATTTTATTTTAACTCTGAAAATCAGGGAAAGTTGCAATTGTTTTTAATAAAAAACCCTGCAATAATCCTATATCATATCTGGAAAATAAACAGTTTTAAAATTGTCAGTTACAGCAATCAGTTATTGAGATTCGAGTTAAATAATTCTAATATCTATTGCAATTATTTGTTGTAAAAATTTCACATTTTAGTCAAATTGAAATGTTCCCTTCCTTATTTAATATTTTTTTACACAGAAAATCTTATATTTCACTTTACAAATAAAAGAATCAGTTTTCTGATGAAAATATGGTCAGAATTATTATTGAAATTTTCCTAGAATACCTGGAGAAGTCAGGGAATTTTTTTTCTGATATTGAGCGGGAAATGATTCTATAAGTGGTAATTTTTAAAATAGTTTTCTAACTTTTTGTGCTTTCAATGCAAGAGTAAGATGATTTATTTTGAAACAATTACCATGAAATATGAGTTAAATGCCCCGAATTTCTTCAAAAAAATTAGGGGCGGCTTAATGGGATGTTACAAGAAAATTTAATCTAAATCTTTAGAAAAATCAAAATTATTATCAAAAATTATGTCTAAACATTTATCGTTATATTAGCCCTTTTGTAAGCTGCGACCTTTGCGTCACTAACCTGTTGTTGAATGGGCATTTATTTAGTATTGATCAGGGGCTTGTTTAAATTTGTTAAAAATTGCAGGGAGCATTTCATCAATTTGGGAGGCTTATTAGGTATAGTACACTAAGTAACAAATTATTTTGTAGCTATATATTATAAGTTGTGCAAAATTTGAAAGTTTATTATGCCATATTTCTTACAAAAAATATGAATACACAGTTTTTCTACATGGCCACTAGAACATGGCTGTTTTAAGTGATAAACATAATTTTTTAAATTGTTGTAAGTAAAATAAAGTATAAAAACTATGAAATCGTTGCCTTCCATTGTGTTTTTACATTAACGTTCCTAAACATGAAATGCTTCCTTTCTTTTTGTATTTGTATCTTTTAAAATAATTGCTTTGCGATTGGTTTTCTGAATGAATCTTTGTACTAATTATAGGATTTAAAAGCACTAATTTTATTTACATGATTTCATCTTTTTGTTAATTTTTATAAATTTGTTTTCACTAGATTACACATATGAATCCTGAAAATCAAGAATATCTTATGCATTACAAGAATTCTTCATTGATTTATGCTGCTGTTAAGTATGTTTATTTTTTTTATAACCTGATTAAAACTTTAATAGGGAAAATTAATAAAAGTTATCTTATTTTTTAAAAAAATTATTTCAAAAATTCCTTTAGTTAATTAAAGAAAATAAATAGTAATTTTGACAATGAATTTTCCCATAGGTCTGCCGATTATATTTCAGTTGCATAACGCATAAGTTTTTGGATGGCTCAAATTATTTGTAGTTGACATAGTAATCTGTTGGTGCTGCTGTCATACTGCAGTATTTCTGCATCAAGTTTATAATTTTATATTGTCTTAAGAAAGAATTTTTTTTTATTCTTCTGAATTTTTGTTTCAAAGTAATAAAAATTCATTAAATTGAGTATACATGTTGCAGATCAATTTTCGCTTTCATTTCATGTGACCACAAAACATTACTTTTTTTAACCATCTGAGAATTAGTTAAAGCTTTTTATTTTTTTTAAATTTCATCAGTTAACTAAAGGAAATTTTTGAATTTTAAGCTGCAAACTTTTCTGCAATAAAAAACCAGCTTTTCCCTATGTTTTTCATTGGAAAAGTGGTGTCTAGCAGGGAAAATTCACTTTAATTTTATCCAAGAATTTAAAGTGTAGTGGATTTAAGGAAAAGAAAACTATATTCATAGTCAAAATTTAGTTATGTAGAACGTAAGAGGAATACTGCACTTTTTGGCATTTATCGAGTTTCTTATTGACTGAGTAAATTTCTTTCTTTTGTTAAATGCATATTTTTTTCTTTCAGCCTTATGAAACTTCTTAAATCTCATTTACTGGAGCAAAAACCTGTTGAATTGGATATTTCTGTTAATGAAGAAGCAGCTCCTAAATCTAACAAAGAAGAGTCTCCAATCTTGTCTTGTCTTCTTAATCTGCTGAAAATACTTAGCAACATAACATACAAAATAGGTAAATTTAAACGAAGTCATTGTAATATTGCTCATTATGTGTTGCCTTATTGTTTTTTAACTAATTTATATATATATATAATAATAATAATAATAATAATGAAAATTTTAAAGCTAATTTGAAATTTTAGAAAAGGTAAAAAAAAAAAGTCGAATCTTCAGTTATAAGAGTACAGGGCTGTTAAAAACTTTATATTGTAATTAATTTTGCCTTTACATTGAATTCCAAATCTATCAGTCTAAACTATTTTATTACTCAAATATATAAGAACAAAGTGAGATGATAATTTATTTTCAGGCATATACATAGCTACGAAAAAAATCATGCCTCTAATAGTTTTTTGCTAAACTGGATTATGTGATGCTTGCAATTTTAGTATTAAATAACTTAGAAAATAATGACCAGATCAATAACATTTTGATATGAAAATGCTCTTAAAAAAGTGCAAAATTTCATTTTAAAGATAGATATTCACAAAAGTAAACTTCAATATCCCTAATAAAGACAGGTCCAGACAGGATATAATCCAAATGCAAAGCCTGCACTAAGGACATCAAATATAAATCAGTAAATTAGCCAAATTTCCAAATATTTAGCCGAGCCATTTTTCTGATTAATTTTTCCTCATAGAAAACTTAAATATAAATTTACAGTAAATTTTACAGTACAGTTAATTGAAAAATTTTGTAAAATTCAAGTTCAAATCAAGAGTAATTATACAGTTGAGGAGAAGTAACTGAGAAATTAATGGGAATGAGGATGAAAAAATGTAGGTGTTGTTTTATTGTCTTTGAGGAAAAGAAATAGGAATAGGTTGGGGTTAATTTTTGATAACTTAGACTAGAGCAGTAATTTAAGCTGCGTTACACTATTGTATATGAAAAAATACAATATGTATATGAGAAATATTGTATGTGTATTTGAAAAAACATATTTTCTGCAAAAATAGTTGGAGCAGAATATGCACCTGATTACCACTTAATTCTGTTTTATTGATGCTACTTGCATGAGAGAATTTCATCATGCGATGTCGCATTATTCGGTTATCAACAAGGTAGTCTGTATTTTATGGTAGTTTGTCTTGTGCTTATGTAACCTATCTGATCACTTACATTGTCTAGATTTAATATAATTTTATTGGTTGTGCGACGTAACATATCGAATGGAAATTACTGTAATCGAATAAAAAAGAAAACAGGATTTGTTCAGAATAATTTTTTTCAGGATTGAGAGAAATATATTTTTTTCTTTTCAATAGGAATTTTTTTGCCAAATTTATGGCAAGGTGATGAATGTTTAGCTTGGGCTCTGCAAATGATGAAATAGGAAAATTTAAAAATGAAATGTGGAAAGCAGGATGCATCAGGAAATGTTTTTTTTTTTTTTTTACCTAACTTTGCTTAGTCTCAGCATCATTAGATTATGTTTCTCATCCATCCTTATATCTGTTTGTCTAGACTAGTGATTTCACTGTCAAATTTTGATATATTTGTCATAATTCGCTGCAGTGTAACTTTGAAAAGTTGTGATTTAATTATGGTGTCAGAAGTTACAGTGAAAGATTTAGTTTTTAGACTGCACAAAAAGCTAAATTTTCAGTAGACTGAAAATGGTTACTTATGATCAGGGTCATCAAAAATATAAAATCCTTTTTTTCAAAAAAATGTGTTTGCTATTTCAAATTTTTTTATTATGTTGTACTTTTTTTACTAGTATAATTATTTTCTTTATATCATTTGTTAGTGGTTTTGTGAAATTTAAAAGATTGATTGCTTTCAGGTGTTGAAATATTAATGTTTATTTCTAGGGGAAAACATATTTTATTGTTATTAATTGCATAAGATAGTTTTTGGATCTTTCAAACTTTATAATTCTTTAATATTTTATTTTCAGGATTAGATGATTCACAATTCCCTCCTGAGGAAGGCCTTATGGACCACATACTTATGTTGATTTTACAAGTTCCAAGGGCTGTGCCCTGTGAAAAACGATTCGATCTTTTAGTTTTGGTGAGTTTTCATGCAATTTTATTTTAATATGGTTGAGTGTCATAAAACGATTACTATCTCACTAAATTATATGTATATACACTTCCCTACCATAATGGAAGTGACACTTTCAGTTTTTAAAATCTTGTAAATATCTCAAGAAACACTTAGAGGATTATTTTGTAACTTTAAGGGTTAAAACTTAGAGGTTTCAGGAACAGATAATAAATTACGAAGGAAAACAAGTACTCTTGAACATCCTATGCCAGAAAAGCAATAAAAAAGTTAGTAACTTATACCAATTACTTTGGTTATTAGTTGAAATTACTGCATAAAATTTCTTAAATCTAGTTTAGATATTTATTGAAAAAAATTATTTTATGGAAAAAAAACTAATTTTTTTATCTCACGTTTTTTTGCTGTAACTTTCAAAATATGGAATAAAATTATACAAAATTTTTTGTGCAATTAAAAAATAATTACAAAATTATTGTTTTAAAACTTGAAAAAAATAGCATGAGGTATGACTATTTAAAAAAAATCTTTTTATAATTTTGTAGTGAATCGTATTTGGCAGCAATTAAAAAAATGTCTGATTTGAATATTCTAAAAATTTGAAGAGTTTCAAGCAATTTTCCAAGTAATTTTTGCACTTTTTGAAAGAAATCTCAAAATGATAAAAGATTTTCCACAAATTTCATTTGGTTCTATTAAGCAAGGTTTACCAAAAATGACTGTCATTGTGGGGTATCATTCTTTTGCCTGTTTTCTTTCCTTATTCCATCACAGTTTGGTGTCTGAACGATTATTGTAAGGCATTGCCGTTTTTTTTTTAAATATCTCTTACGGTACAAAATGAAATTTTTAGGAAACCTCTTATCATTTTGAGCTTTTTATTATTTTTATTTTTAAAAAATACAAAATTGCTTGAAACTAATTAAATTTTAAGTCAGACTTCTTTCATTAGTTGCAAAATATAAAAAAATAATTTATATCAAAATTATGAAAAAATAATTTAAAAATTTTTCCGCACTTGCTCATTACAAAAGAACTACCTTAAATAGTCTTTTCTTGCACAGTTTTCAACAATTTTTTTTCAAATTTTAGAACAATAGTTTTGTAATTAATTTTCAATTGCTCCAAAAATTTAATTTAATTAAATATTTTTAATGTTACAACAAAACAATTTAAGAAAGAAAAAAATTTCTTTTTTAATAAAACTCCATATCTTCATAAATATTTAAGTTATGTTTTTAAAATTTTATGCAGTTATTGCAAGTAACAACCAAAGTAATCTGTACAAGTTCATTGCTTGTTTGTTTGTCTTAGGGTATACAAAAATACTTGTTTTCTTTCAGAATTTATTGTTGGTCTCTGAAACTTCTGAAAGCTTTAAACTTTATTGCAATGTATAAAAAAATTGCATGAACTAATTACCTCTAAAATAACAAAATAATCCTCTAAATATTTCTCAAAAATTTTTTTAAAAAAGGTTAAAAACTGGAAGTGTCTCTTCCATTATGTGGATGGGTAGTGTGCATGTTTACATATATATATATGTTTACTATTTTATTATTTTTGTTTTATAGTCCCTTGGTCTAATGATAAATTTAGTGGAATACTGTCCTGACAACAGCGCTAAATTCATAGAAATGTATGGCTTGGGCTCATTTGATACTGTGAATGATGGTTATGAAATGCCTGCCTCAGAAGCTTTTGTTGAAGTGAGTTTTATTTATGAAGAAAGTAGAACTTTAACCTCGTGTTTCGAGATTTGCAGATGATTAAAAAAGTATTGTTTTGCATTTAGTTTAAATCTATTGACTTTAAGCTTTAAAAATAGCGTAATTTGTGTTTGCATTTGTTTATAAACAAGCAGCCTTCAGGATGTTTATTTTTTATTTCTTAGAAAAATGTTGATTTTGTGATACTGATTCATTTTAGCTTTGTCCATTCATTTATAGTTTTCTCATTTTGATTTCATTTGACTTGTTTTATTACAATTTGTTTTGTTTCATTGACTTTGAGTATGCAATGGAATTTGTTTTTTGCATAGTGTAGCTATTCTGAGTTTTACTGTTCGCTAAACTCTACATTTAATCAGAAATTGCGTGTGTGAGATTTAAACACTTTATTATTCATTGGATAGTCTTTTTTTTTTCTTTGCTTCATATAAAGTACTTTGTAGGAACTGTTTTTAGGATGTATTTAATGGTGTTGTACAAAAATATAATTATATATTAGAAGAATAAAAAATTAGTAAATAAGGATAACTAAAAACTTATAACTAAAACAAGCAAACTCTTTATTGACTAATACGACACATTCTAAACAGTTATTTTTCGCAGGCATATAAATTAAAAGAAAATAATTTATAAATATTTTAAATTGTTGCATTTTCTTATTAATATAAGTTTCTTTTGGAAACTAATAACTTGTTACCACAATTACAGGATTGTCACTCCACAGGGAGAATAGGGAAAACCTGGAAAATACAGGGAATTTTAAAATCACCTAAAATAGCAGTTATTATAACCTAAAATGCAGGGAATTTTGAGTCTTTCTTTACAAATTGGGAAAATACTGGGAATTTTGTTTCTTATTTTCGTCTGTTAAAATATGGTGACCACTCAAAGCTATGGGATATTTAAAGACGATATTTTAGCTCTACTAAACTATTTCATTTACTATAGCATTATTTGTTGTAAGCATATTCGGCTGTTCCTTTTTCCTCTTAAGTTTTTCCAGCAATTGAAACTTGATAGTTAGCCCAGTGTAGCTGACATACGAGCACAGTCATTTTGTGTTTTCTCTTAATATATTGTGTATAATATGCACAGGAAAATTCACGATTGTAAATATTTTCTCTTTTATTAAAGTTAACTGTTTTGATGTAAACATTTCAGCTTATGTTGTCAAGATTAGATGCCGCTAAGCTTTCTGAAGAACAGGCCGATGAGCTTTTAAATTCACAAGAAGAAAAACAAGCTGCTTCAATTGAAAAGAAAGATATTGAAACTGCAGTAGATGATTTGGAAGAAACTCTCATGAAAAGTATAATTGGCACTTTTTTGCTTTTTTCCCTGCTTTGAATTCACGCTAGAAATAAATAAAAAATATCAATAACTTAAGCTTTCCTGCATTTTAAATCTAAAACTATTTTATATAAAAAATTTGATTCCTCATTTCTTTTACTTTTAACATGAAAATAAATCTTCAAAATGAATTTGAAATATACTTTAAAATTAAGACTAATAAGGTTTTAAAAAAAATGAAAGTACAATTTTTTTTGTATTTATGATGCACCATTTTAATAGATACCATACATATATAATGTATAACTCATTCTAACACCTTTTTTACTAAACTAAAAAATCATAAATGTTCAGAAATAGAAAATTTCGTCAACTACAGTCAAAACCCGCTATAGTGAACCTTCAAGGGACCGACATTTCGGTTCACTATAACCGGGAGTTCACTATATCCGTTGCACAAGCAATTTAACTAATGGTTCCGTAACTCCTCCCCTTTATTACACATTATCCAAATGAATGACTGAAAAATGTTATCTTGTAGCAAAACATGTGTTATTTTTTTATTACACTTCGTCTTGCGTACAAAAAAAAAATTAGTAATCTTTAGCTGATGAGCAATTCTCAACATCAGATATGGAAACACTTCCCGACTCTCAGATAATTTTTCCTGAATTTCTGTTATTCCACTTTTTAAACCTGTCTAACCTGCCATTTTAGCATTTAAAGCACGTCTCATAAAATCGCTTAGCAAATTCGTCGACATTTGTTTAGATACTGGAAGATTGTGACTTCTTCCAATGCTGGGCCACTTCAGTAATGCTTCAAACGATCTGCTTTTCTCAACTTTTTTCTGGCAACTAAATTTTGTTCTTGAGCAGAAATTATTAACTGCCTATTTTTCCATATGTTACAAACTGCACATTTGGATAGTTTATATTCTCTGCAAATATCAGCTGGATTGCATCCATTTTCAGTTTTTCTGATTATGCCCATTTTATCATCAATAAAGATCGTCTTACATTTACTGGTCGCCATAGTTAAATTTGAGATACTTTTTTGCCGAATTTTTTTAACTGATCTGAGAGCAAAAAGGAGTTGGCCTTGGAGAGCAAAAGGAGAAATGAGGGCCTTATCAACACATATTAGTGTCCAACCCTTTGACCAATAATGACTCATTCCCTCTGACAGAAAATGCATAATGATCCAGCTGACACCTTACTGGTGCATCATCTGCCTGGGTTGGAAACATCTGCTTGGTTTGTTTTGGGATGGGAAAGTGAGATTAAAGAGGCAAAGAAGAAAAAATTCTTATCTCTACATTCCCCTCCGTATATGGTTTTAAAAATCGGTATAGGTATTTATTTTGAAGTAGAAATTTTAAAATGATTACCAAAAAAAATGAAGAAAAAAATCAGTCGAAGACAGAAAAAAGTTCACTATATCCAACTTCCTCACTTTTTTGGTTCACTATATCCACAAAAAATAACATTATACGTGTATAGCAAGGCACGAAACCGAACATTTCGTTCACTATATCCAGAAGTTCACTATAGCGGGGTTTAACTGTATTAACAATGTTTCAGTGGCTCTAATTGAAATTTCACATTATAAAAATACATTAGATTTAACACACATTTTTATTAAGCTACATTAGGGCACAGTTTATAATACCATCTGAAATAGTTGGATTTAATTATGAAAATTCAAACGAAAGTAAGAACGTGTAGGCTTTTACAGCACCGTTCTTGTAAATGAGCGACAGATGTACACATGTGACGTCAGTTAGTGAATAATCACGTGACTCCCTGCTTCAGGTGAAAGCAAAGGTAAGCGTTTTTGCTTAAAAATAACTTAATAAATAGCACGCTTAGGAAAGAAATAAAATGTTATGTAGGAATTTTGAGGGATTCTGAATGCATATAAAACAATAAAATTACATATGTAAAAATTTTGTTAAGAAATTTCATTATAGTGCCTTTCAAAGATGGCTTTCCCATGTTAAATTATTTTTATGCTCCAAATTTGATTTTTGCTTGCCATTGCATCATAATTGAAGTTTATCTAGTAACGTAAGAATCTGACATTAGTATGTGCAATATATTTTTTTGACATCTCAGGTTTTTAATAATGCAGAATAGGAAATTTATAAGCGTGTGATGTCTAAATTATTCGTTTTAAAGGAATTTTTTTTCTTAATTTTGTCATTGTGGTATGTATTTTTTTAAGTAATGAAATTATATTTGTATCCTAATTTTCTTTTAGCTCTGCAAAAAGCTGGAAAACATATGGAGCATAGCATTATTGCTGCATACATTGTCATTTTACTTGGCTGTGTTGCATTAAAGAATCCTGTAAGTAGGCTTTACTTATATAGTATTATAACTTATATTTGATTTAAAAAATGTGTATATTTATTAAAATAAAATTATGATGCTTGTGAAATCTATTCTTTTTTAAAATAGCATTATCACAAGTTTTTTTAATCCTGTTTCATGCTTTTAAAAACAAAGGGAACTTAAAAACTGTGATGTATTGAATGTCTTTAGTAACAACCGAAGCATCTGCTTTTCAAAAATAAATTTAGATTATTTAAAAATTTTATTTGTTATGATAATAAGATATTTTAAAATTCTTTTTTCATGTTTAAACTTCTTGTAATTATAAATAATTACTATTGACTACTTTAAATAATTTTCTGAGTTAAAGTACGACAAACACTGTAATGTTGCACTAGCTGTTGAAAGTTTTTACATATCAATCTAAAAATTATATGAATGTCTGATTGAGGAAAAAAATGAGTATTGTCAATGGTGACAATCAGGTTTTAAGGATGTTGATTATTTTTAATTTAATCAGTAATAAATTTTATCGTTTAAGAATCAATAATAAAATTCTCTCAGATATTGCTAAATTAGCATTAAAATGCAAAAATGATTCAACTTGAATGCAAAGCTTCAACTAATCTTTTTATGTTATTCCTTTATTTAAATCTTTTTCTTAAATTATTTTTCAACATTAAACACTTTCTCACAATTAAATATTCACTTCTTTTCTTATTTTATTTTTGGATACAGTATGCAGGGGTCTGTCCAGACATTTTGTGAAAGGTCCGTTTTTCGTGAAATTGTGAAAAAATTACTCACATTCTTTCAACCAGGGTCCGCTTTTATGAATTTGTGCAAATAGGGTCCGTTATTGCAAAAAAAAACTTTTTCAAGGAGTTTTTAAATTGTAAAGACATACAAGATTATGCTCAACACTGTAAAATTATAATTAAAAAAATTAAATTTTAAAAAATAAACAACAATTGCTGCTTCTAAATTAGAGATGCAACATACAAATATTTGGTATTTAGCCTATACTGCTGAACGCAGAATATTTATTTCGGACGAATAATGGAAGAATCGTCTGCCGAAGACAAAACTTAATTCGTTTACATCCATCTTTCTTGTTTTCTGCCCTGGAAAGGGTTTATTTTATTAACAAAATAATAATGAATATAAACAAATTTGTGAAGCGTCCGATTAAAAGAAGAATCCTTTTGTGAAGGGTCCGTTTTTAAGTTGAAATATTTTGTGAAGGGTCCGTTTTTATGAAAAGATATTTTGTGAAGGGTCCGTTAACGGACCCAAATTTCTTCTAAACAGACCCCTGGTATGTATAAATTAACATTTTGGAGTTTCCCCTTTAATTGAACCATGAGAAAGATTTTATTCCCTCCACCTGTTTAATAGAAACATATTACAGATTTATTTTTCAAGATTTCTATTTGGGAGCAGTTCGATTGGTGTGTAACTTGGATTTTTATTCTCTGATTATACATGGCCAATCTTTTGGCAATTACATACACAATACTGCCTTTCTAAATAATGTAGATATTTTTATATTAGTGGATCTCATTATAGCAAACTTTGTTGTAAGTTTACCCATTTAATTGACTAGTTCTTAGTGTTGGCTGAAAAATTAAGTATAGCTATTCTTTCAATTTTTTCTATTGCTTCCCAATTTTTTTCCTTCATTTTTTTTAAAGTTTTAAAACTTAAAAAGAAATTAATCCATTAAATTAAAATTTTTTATTAATAACTATTGCTGTAATGTTAGTACTTTTTCACTTAGTATTAAATGTGACTTGACAAAATAAATTTTCATTACATTGATTAACAAATTTTTGCCTATATAATTAAATTCAATTTCAAGACTTATCCAAAGATACCTTTAAATTATTTGTATTTTCTTATTTTTATTTAATCTGCTACATAGACTTATATTTAACTTTTATCAAATACAATGTAAAATAGACCATGTATCTGTGCTAAATTGAACATTTCTAAATACCATCAGTTAGCATTGCATGCAAAGTATATTCTTAACTTTTTTTTTCAAAATCTTTTTCATAATTTTTAGGATTTCATTGATATTTTGAAAGATTATGTGCCAGATGGAAATCTTGATGTCATGGTTGAAGTTCTAAAAAAATTCAAGAGCTTTGTGACTCTAACAGTAAGCTTTCATTTTTTGTTACTTACTGCAAGTTTTAAACATATTTTACCTACTAAAATTTAAATGTTTCACTATTCTCTAAAAAATCCTTATGATAATATAATTAAATGAATATCATTAGATTAATTAAAAATTTTAATTTTTTCTTAGGGCTCAGTGGGCAACAGAGAATTGGTATCTATTCAAAGTGTGATTCAAATTCTGGAATCCAGCTAACATGAAGTTATTTCCAAATGTGTGTAGATATCTGAAAACTTGATTGTATCTAATATGAGAGAAATCAGTTTCAACTATAACCTATGCAGTTAAGAAACTATTCAAACCACTTATTATTTATGCCGTACTAATTTTCTAAAAAGATGTGTGGTGGACTTGTACATTTGTTAAAACAATTCAATTGCAAATATTTGTCTTTGAGCTGTAAATGAAAATCATTTATTTTAACAGTGGCATTGAAAATGCAGTTTGTATACATTTAAAGCAATATATATAAAGCAAGTAGATAAATTGAATTGGATATGTGCTTGCATTTGTTCACCATTTCATCACTTTATTTTTGACATCAGGTTAAGCATTGAACTTTAGAGTAGTTGTATACTTTTGCTTGTCTTTTCTTTTTTTTCACAAATCATTAATGCACTTAGCATTGTAATTTGCCTTGTTGGATGATTTTCCATGAGATTAAATTATTCAAGGTAGGTTCTGTCCGCTCATTGTATATGAACATTGTGTATAGTAGTCAACACTGTGTTTCTTAGCTGGCTATATTGGAACCAGCAAACATATTAAAAACTGTGCCTACGCAAACCTGATAAATTTAATTTTGTTTAGGACTTGATATACTTATCAAATATATTAATTAAAAAAAATGCTAAAAAAAAAACTATATATATATAAATAAGGTGAATATTGTTTTATTTTAAGCAGAGCACTTTTTATTTTATTTCCTGACATACATGCACTTGTATTCATTTTAAAAAAAAGATATTTTTAATTTATAAGTACAATGTGGCATTCTACAACTATATAATGCCAATCACTCCATGTTAGTATGTGTGTTTGTACGTGACTTTATATTATATTGAAAAATGCACCGAATGTTTCATTGCAGTATCCCAAAGATTTGCTCTTTCATTATGTACAAATTGCATTCATTTGTGTGGTCCTGTTGAATTTTATATTGTGTTACTTGATGAAAACTGTTGATTTGTGATAATCATTTGTTAAATTTAAAATGAATAGTTTTCTCAAATTCCTAACCCTGTTTCATCACTAAAAAATACTTTAAACTATTATCCATTCTGTTTAGCCCTGATATTATGAATTGTTAATTATTTCTCCTGTATAATGTTAAAGTTATTAATCTCAGTTGTTTGCTGGTTTGACACTTTTTAAGATTTTCCTAGCAATTGAATTAAAACCTGTTAATTCTTTTTTTAAAAAAAATTTAAGGTTCAAATGAATTAGACAATATTATATGTTACATTTCATTATTTAGTGATGTTTCATAGCTTAAAAAGTGAATTATGCAAGCATGAAATCTAACATTTGTAAATATCTCAAATTTTTATGAAATAATTTGTCATTGTGATTTTGGTTTTTAATTGAGATTGAACAGATTTGTATTTGACGAATATGTAACTTATATGAGCATTGAATGGGTAATAAATTTATTTTAAAATATTCTAAATTTTTTTTCTTTAGCTGCTACAGTTATGTCTTAATATGAAGAAACTGAACAAAATTAAAATAGTTTCAGTATTTAATTAACTTTTAGTAGTATAATGTGGACGATCTATATTATGCTATTATTCAATTTAATTCATTATGATCCCAATCTAATCTCTTATATATAGTTTCTGAATCTAATCCAACTTTAAACTAACTGATATAGCTAGCAGAAAGTATAGAAATGAAAGTTTTATTTGCAGGATAATTAGAGGATTGAAAGGAATTTTTAGGTTGGGTAATAAACCAAACATTTTAAATTATATATAATTTTGTAAGACTTTTCAAAAAGAAAAATATGGCCACAAGATTTTTTGTTCCAGTTTTAGTCTACAAAAATGTAGTAAAAAGGTTTCGATAGTTTCCACAGGTTTCATTTTTCAGTTTGATGAAAGTATTTTCTTCAAATATCATATATTAAAAAATTTACAATGTCATATTTAACTAAGCATCAAAATTTTTTTTTCCATCTCTTGCAAAAAAAAAATATGTTAAAATTTTTCAAAAATAGTGTTTAAAAAATTTATTATTTATTTTAGCCTTCACTAATAACTAAATAAATGGTTGTCAATTATAGAAGAAAAACTTTTCCAATATAAAAACATATTGACCTTCTCTAAGGGTTATTATAGTGGAATCAAATAAAATTTTATTCAGATGCATTGTGCTTTTATCATTTAAAAATTATTATTATTATTTTTTTTTTACAATATATAAATATACATAGTAAAAAAATTTTTTTTCTTTTCAAATATATGAATATACATATTATAAAAATTGCTGACTTGATTCGAAAAATATTTTTTATTAAAAATTGTAATAACAAAGTACAGTGAAACGTCTCAGGAGCGACCACTCTCTTTTCTACAGTAAAATGGTTGTTAATGGAGGTTAGTCATTTTTAGGAGTTAGCTCTATTGATTGATGGTACATAATTTTTTGCATACGATTTTTAGTCAGTAATTATTTTTTTGGTTCAGAAATGCCATGTGTTGGCGTCGTGAAAACTGATTGATGAATAAAATTTAGTGTCATTAAAAAGATCTTTATTGATATAATTATGTGTAAAATTTTTTTTTCGTATTATGCATGATAGAACTATTTTAAATAAATAAACAACTATGTTTTTTGTTTAAGTTTGCATTTAATTTTATCATAAAAAAATGAGAGGTTTAGTTTGCTTGAGATGCTTAGTTTTTACTAACATAACTTATTTTTCTTATATAACTTTCAACTCTAAAAATAAATCATTGGTAGCATCATCTTTAGTGCACTCTGACTGCAATATGAGGTTGTAGATCTTTTTTAGAGATAATTAAAATGAGCTCTCTAAATAAGAGCCTCACACCCATATTTTGCATAAATTTTAATCTACTTTGTTTTGTTAATATTTTTTGTTTTGATATTTGTTTGTGTTTCCTTATTTGATCTTTTCTGCACATGGTACGAAGGTTTACCCGGTCGCTGGGAGGGGTTTTGATGATCTCTCTTAAAGGATTTCTTCAACATAAAGTCTATGGAAAAAATTCCTTATCTTCCAATTGTGATCGTAAATGTCATGATATCTTTATAAAATTTGTTCCAGTTTTTTCAATTCTGCTGGCTCATCAAATTTCACTTTCTTATTTGAGTTTATAATTTGGCTTTCACTTTTTCGTTTTTTATTCACGCTGTAAGATTTGATTATCTACCTCATCTTCTCCAAAATTATTTTTAAGAATAATATTCTACAGATATAGAATGGAATAACAAGCTCTATGTTTTCCATATCAATCAAAATTCCTGATTCATCAGGTTCTTGCTGAAAAGTATTTAGATCTTCCAAATCTGAATCAGAAAATGTTTCTAACAAGGCCATTGTTTGTTGTATCGTTATGTGTCTCTTAGACATGGTGTTAAGAGCAAGAAAAATTTGTAAATTAAATAAATAAAAAAAGGAAGCAATTTTCTTTAATTCACTTAGTAACAAGTGTACCACAAAAGTAAAACAAATCCAAAGAATCAGAAAGCAAAATTATCAATCCAAGAATCTATTCAATAATATTGTTGAGAATGAAAAACCACTTTAATGTTTTAACTCTATCATTATCAAATAAAGCAAAAAAGTATAACAACCTGAAAGCTTATCAGGAAGAATTTCTTTCAATTGTTTGAATTTCAAGTAAAGAGAAAAACACTAAGAATGGGATTACTTTCTAAGTTTTCTGTCACTATTCATCTATTATCAACCTGCCAATTCGCGTCAAAAGAAGTTAAACCTCAACATATTCTATTAAACCATTTTTTTCCCATTCAAACATTATTTTAAGTGTCATGATACCAATTGAATGAAATGCACACAACATAACTTTCTGAATCACTTGAAATCTAAAAATAGAACCTTTGGAATGGTAATGTTCCAAAAATGGAACATTTAGTTTTAAACTAATATTTTGACTTTAAAATTTTGACTTTGATGTCTAACAGGTTATATTATTCCTATAAAAGCTTACAAGTATTGTAGTTGTATAATAAAAACTTGCTTGTAATATAATTTACCAAAAATCAAGATAAAAATTTACAAATTATAAAAATTTTTTAAAATTCATAAAAAATCAAATCAAATAGAAACGGAATCGAACTAACTACAAAATATACTACATAGTGTAAATTTTAAATGTATGAAAAATAATATTATGCAGACTTCATAAATTGTTTATTAAATTCAAACTCTTAAATTTATGTTCAATTTTTGGAACAATGGCATATAATTGGTTAAAGAGTGCTTTTTCAAAAAAAATTGAAAGCAATATATCATTTTGTAAATTGTTTTTCTCTATGTGCTTATAACATTTTGATAGATACCATTGAATTTATTTTTAAACATAAACCATTTCATCATATTACGTAGTTAAAGAAAATCTTGATATGAAAGAAATTTTTTTCCAACTTATAGCTTTTTAAAACAGTGCAGAATTTGATTAGGTCATTTATTTTGAAGGTCATTATTATTCTCAAATGATTCCTAAATTTTTCTCGAAATGTTTCTTGCTGCATAAAAGAGAGTTTTTTTTTGTATTTTTTGGGTTTATGTCAGAGGCAGCTATATTTTTCCCCACAAATTCCATCTGTTCTTTGATTTGTATTTGAAGGGTATACATTATTTATGCTAAGTAATAAATGCAGATGATACTTTAAACTATGCCATCCAACTAACACTGATTAAACTTTTTTTTTTTGTACCCTAGATCGCAACTTGGGAGGAATATGGTTCCTTAAGTTTAATCAGCAGATCGATTGAATAGCTTCTGAGCAATAAAATTAATCTAAAAAACTACATTTTAAAATAATTTTAAAGACATTTATTGAAATGTAATTAAAAAAAAAATACATAAAATCAACTGACAGAATAGTATTATATCTACAAGTAATACAAAAATAAATATAAATAATTGAAGTATGACTAGAATAAGTGCACTTGACTTTCTATTTTCTTTTGTTTCTGTTTAATTAATATTTCATTTCATTAAAGCTTCGTTGATGTTTTTTATTTTTATACTCCAAAAGTTCCTGAAAAATAACAAACATTCAACATAAAAGTCTGAATTACATATAATGAAAAAAGAGATTTTTTCAGCATATAAGTAAATAATATATTGTTCGCATCACACCAAAATCACAAATCTGCTTTTGCAGATTTATGATTTTGACATGGTGTTAACTGCATAATATTAAATTAACATTTTAATTGAGTATAGTGATTCCAAATATGGAGGGTAGGTAGGGTTTATTATTAGGATTGAGATTTCTATGTTTGAAAATGTCATCGTACACCACTAGGAGTGCCTCACTCTTATGAGCACATTTAAGGCAGTATTTTAATTATTTATCTAAATTAGCTTAATTTTTTTGTTAAATTTATGTTTTATTTTCTAGTAAAAATTATCAAAAACACCATTTAAATCGGCCCAGAAAAGCTGTTATATCGTTATTTGGTGAGCTTGACAAGTTAGTCCCCAAATCATTAAATTGCATAAAAAAGTTACTTCTGTGCCTATTTCAATAAAATTTTTGATAATAATTACTAGAAAATGTAAATTAAAAAAAAAAAATTTATTGTAAGTTAGATAAATAATTTAAATTACAAGTTAGAGCATGAACAGCTTCTTTATAATAAGGAGGCGTTCTAGTGTCACACAATTTCTGGACATGTGTTGGTTTGCAATTCTCAATGCCTCCCCCTCCCAGTTTATAACTGCTGTACTAAATCATTCTATATATTTCCCATGACTGTGTATCGCTTATGAATGAGGTTAATGTTAAAAGATGTTGCCAAGATTTGAACGATTGTTCTGACATAGACAGGGTGCGTAGCGTTTGTAAAAAGTACTTAAAGGTGCTTTTTTGGGGATTTCGTTTTNTTACTGTGGACAATGATTTTTTACAGATTTATGCTTTTTGTAATTTAGATAAAATTTTTAGCCCAAAATTTTACAATACCAAAATTATTTTTGAGTATATAGGGAAAAATATATAGAAATAAGTCATAAATGATATTTATTTGTAGTGACAATTTTTGAAAATATTTTCTTCCTTTACCATATTTTTGTGTTGATTTTTTAAATATAATTTTTTATTTGCACTAATTATGTCTAAATTTTCACAAGATAGGTACCTCTTAAAAAAACCCAGACAGATCAATGATTTTGCTCTTTCATAAACGACACACCTTTCCAAGAAAACAAATATTATTATCATTTCAAAAAAAGACTTTCTGATATTTTTCACTAGAGTTACATTATTTTTAATTTAACTTTTGTAACTTAGTGATAATAGTGCTTGAAAAGTTTTTAAAAAGTGCTTATTTTTGATTCAAAGATTTGGCTACGCACCCTGATAGATCTTTTAAATAATAACAAGCATTAAAAACAATAATTTTTGTAATATATGTCTGATAATGTTCTTTATATTCTTTTTTTGTTCCTCTGAATAATTTCAATTTTCTTCTGAATGCAAAAACGAGCAATAGAGTGATTTAAAAATAAATAAAAGTTAAATTATTTTAAATTAAAACTCAGTGGCGCGACAGCCCATAGAGGGCCAAGGCCTACTGTGCCCATCTCAGTTTTCTTGACCTTGGGCTCTGGGGTGCAGGAGCAGATGTTCCGGTCAGGTGGTCAGCCGAACGCGGAACCCCCAGTGTTTAGTTCCCAAGCATGCTTGGTACTCATTTATCGACCCACTGAAGGGATGAAAGGCTGAGTCAACCTTGCCCGGCCCGAGGATCGAACCAGGGACCTGTGGCACGACAGCGCGAAAATTATTTTATATTCAAGTGTAAAATTTTGAGCTGAAAAAAAAAAAAGCCTATTAATGTATACCATGGCTACTTAAGTTAGAACTTTTTTTTTTAATTGTGAATTTTACGCAAAATATTTTTTCATTAAGCAGATTACAACACAGTGTGAAAAAAAAATCCGGAATAACTTTTTATCTCATGATCAGATTTTCACATTCTAAAACTCCATGTTTCTAACCTTAGTCATACAAATTAATTAGTACAGATGATGTTTAAAGTACAAATATGTATTTCTCTGAATAAAGTTGCCTTTTTTCAACGGATTTGAATTTTTGAGTCTCAAAATATAGGAGATATTCGTAATCTGGAATATATAATCCCAATAGTTTAAGCAGGAGAGCAGCCATAAGTTTGAACCCCTTAAAGTGAATTATTTTTTTGTTTAATCCGCTTATATCTGGAGAATTTTTTATGCAAATCAAAAGGGTTTTAGACATAATTATAAAATTCCTTAATCCAAAAATAATTTTTAAGTTTTTTTTTTACTAATTTATTTAAATAAGAAAAAAAATTAAATTGTAAGGTATACAAATTTTTATATTCAATTTAAAGTATGTGATTTTAAATGACAAAATACAAAATTTGAATTCAATTGGTTCAATATTTTCTGTGTAATCCAAAGTTAAAAAGTTGTACACATAAAACTTAATTTCTCTGGAATTATTCAACCAATTTTGTATTTAACATTCAAAATTATGTATTTTAAAATGTCAAAACTTGTATGTATACCTTGCAATTCAAATTTTTTCATCTTTTATTGAATAAATTAATAAAAAATAACACCGATTGAAATTAACTTCTCACTTGAAATTATGTTTCGATGAAAAAATTTTATGATTATGTGGAAAATTTTTCAACTCATTAAAAAAGTTCCTGAGATATAGCTTCAGTACACACAAAGTGAAATTAATGTTAAGGCATGTAAACTTTTGATTGTTCTCCTGCCTAAACTTTTGCGACCATATTTTCCACCACATTGTGGCAAACCCCTTTCCCAAATTTTGAAGGGTCAAAAATCGAAACTTGTTGAAAAAAAAAAGGGTAAATGCTATGCTACATTTCCTGATTTTGTAACTTTATCATATGCACTAATTAGCATATTTAAGGTTAAGCCATGGAACCTTTAAGATTTGAGTCTCAGTTAAAAGCCTTGCCATTTACTAAACGTTTATTAACTTGCCTTTTTTTTCTGTGTCCTCATTGCATCAATATCAGACTCTTTAAAATGGGGATCTTCAGCAGGATCATTAGGAATAATATTTTTACTTTCCTGAAACAAAAAAATTAATAAGTCAAGCTAATCATTCCTTCACTGATATTAATGTTGATAGTTTTTATTGATAGATTGATTCATAAATATTTTCATGTAAATTAAAATTTATTGCAGAATGTAAAAAATGTGCTTGAGACATTGTGGCTTAAAAAGATTGAAATAATTGAGATTCTACTATTAGTATAGTGAAATGGCCATATAGCAACTCCAGCAAACTGAAATCAGCAATATAATGTGAAGTAGCTACACCTAGAGCGCACAAAACTGCTGAAAATATTTGGTCATTAAACTAAGAAATACTGAAATTATTTTGATAAAAGTGAAAATGCCAAATTAACTCACAATGACGCAATTTTTTTTATCTCAATCAAGTACAAATACAATTATATTGCATTTAAATTATGCGGATTGCATCTTTTAATATATCAAAATATAAGATGACACAGCTTGCTTTTTTATTTTAATGCAGCTATTTAAGAATTAAGAGGGTGGGATGGAGACTTACAGGAATCTGTTCTTTCCAAAATAATCAGCATGGATTACTTTTGTTTTTAACAATTTCTGATTTTGACCTACTTCATTCAAAAATTTTTAATTTTCATTTTAAACTTTAAGCATTACACTGGTTACAAGTCACCATTTTCGCCAAATAACTAACGTCTAGAGCAGCAGTTCCTAATTCTACTTGGCTATGCAACTCTAATTAATCAGCCTTCTTTCAGCCAACTTTATAATTGAAGTATAAAGACAATTTTGAGTGTATTAATCAATAAAAGACTACTTTATTATGGAAATATTCAATAGGAGGAATGAAAATATTTCTTCATTTTATTGGTTATAATCTTGAATTAGGTTTTATCTCTGACATGTTGGGAAACATGTTTCTTTATTCTTCTTCTTCAGGAGCGCAACAGCCCTTTGCAGGCCTTGGCTGCCTCAACAGCACGCCTTCTCCAGCTCCCTCTGTCCATGGCAACTCCCCTCCAGTTCTTAAGTTTCAGGACTTTGAGGTCGTTTTCAGCGTCTTTGAGCCATCAAGTAGGTGGTGTTTCTTTATTAACAAACTTGATTCTTTGATTTTGATTAGAAAAGCTCATTAGGAAATACTAATGCAATTTCTAATAAATACATGTCCTTTTCATTACTTATTTAAGATAATATTATTAGAAAAATTGCATAGTTTAAAAAATTGCAGTTTCTTTTTCGTTGGTATTTTGCACTAAATAATTTCATAAAGGCAACCAAAATATTAAATAAATAATGGATTACTGATTAGATTTACATGTATTAAATGTTTCAAAAATCAATATTGATAATAATAAAAAAAAGCTAGAACTCTCAGGAACCTTAGAGAACACCAGTTGGTTTAGAAAACCTTAAAATCTAAGAGAAAAAAAATCAAGATGAAAGTGAGTTCTTTCTGTTTTAACTCCAAATAAAACCACCCATTACAACATTACAGAAAAAAAAATTCTAGCAAAAAAAAAAAAAAAAAAAAAAAAANCCTTCATTTAATGTAATTTCTCTAAAAAAAAAAAATAATAATTTTTTTTATATTGAAAAATGTATTAAATCTCTTGAAATATTCCCTAACACTGATATGCAATATACACTTCTAATTCTGAAGTATGAACAGTAATTGGTATTTCACTATCTTTTTAACCATAGATTCTAGGAAACTATGATTAACCAGAGATTCTAATGGGTACAAATGTCTCAAAACTAGACCTAATTCAACAATCCCTAAGAACAATAATATGCATAGTGAAATAACAACATAAACTAATCATATAGGCATGAATAACTCATAAAAAATTCTAAAATAAAACCTAATACTAATCACTTAAATAAGAATATTCAAAGAAAAAATAAAAACAAAATTTTTTTTTTTCTTTAAGAAATAAATGATAATCTTACTACTTGAGGAAAATGAGAAGAAAAAATGTTTTTCACTGCATCCAAAGACCTATTAGGAAAAATTATTTATTATTTTCCACTTAATTAATTAAATAGAAATTTGAAGAAAAAAATAGTTTGAAGCAATAAAAAGAGTATTTGCAATAAATGGTTTAAGTCTATTTAATTCAAACATTAATAATCTGATGATTTTAATTTACTTAGAAATTTAAAGATAGGAAAATAATTACTGAAAACAATGTTAATTAATTATAAATTAATTTTTTTCCATAATAATATCAATAGTTTATTAGTTTTAAATTAATAACTATCACTGTTTGCTATGAAAGAATTAATTCGCTGTGACAATACTCTATTTTGAAACAGTTTTCTATTGAAAATACTTCTATCATTATTTTTGACCAATACAATCTTTATAATTATTTTTTTAACTTTAATAATACAAATAGTTTAATAAAGATGTTGGATTTTAACAAAAAGTAATGATAAATATATATTTACAAAAACGTACATGAACTTTTAATTTAGCAACTTAAGTTATTAATTTCGATGTAATCATTTATAAATGTAGCAAGTTGCAATCAGAATAGAAGCTAGCTTTTTACTGTAGCGACTTGTCACTCCAATCAAAGATATCAAAGATATTTTTTGCAGGTCTGAATTTTTGTTCACCATGAAAGATTTAATTATATCTACAATGCTCAATTTCGAGCAGCTTTAAAACAGAAAATATTTTTAAAAGTATTTTTTACACCTTCTTGTATGAGAGGTTTAATGAGATGTTTAACATTACACAAATAACTTAATAGGAATTTTGGTGTGTGAGTGAAAAAAAATCAGAGAGATTATACTATGGGAAAATTTATGTAGCAAGTTATATTAATTAGACATGCTAATTTTTTGAAGAATTTTGCTTTGTTTACCTAATATTCAGCAAAAAATTTAAATAGCTATTCTAAAATTAAGAAAATTTAATAGGTTGACAAGGAGGCCCACCCACAAATTATACAAATTGATTGCAGTTTTTGAATAATATAAGAAAGATAAAAAAATTAACTAATTAAATTTATTCGTCATTGATTTTTAAAAAGGTTAATTGGGAGCATATACTTATTTACTATTTTAAGAAGATGAAATCATATCTTCAATAATGAAGATTGGTTGTTCTAATAATTTGNTCGAATCTGATAGGACTGACGAAAAACTTCGACATATCGGAAGTTCGACTTACCGTTAGTTTCGGTTTTGAACTTTCAAAATATTGTCGGATTATTTAATTAATGCTTATTAATTACATATTTTCTAAATGCTTACAATATTTAAGATCATTTTTCTGACAAGCCATTTACGATAAGACTGTTTGAAGCACTTTATGATACCCTGGTCCATCGGCTGCAACTTTGCTGTTGTGTTTGGCGGGAGAAACTGCAAGTTTACTGCTTTCAAATTAGGTAGCTCACTATGCGCTGTGCATTTATCCATAAAGAGTATCACTTTTCTTTTTTAGCGAAGAATTTCCGATTGAATTTTCTTACATAGTCTTCAAATAAAACTGATGTCATCCAAACCTTTTTGTTAGACTTGTAATCCAAAGGATACGTTTTTACATTGTTGAAACATCGGGGATTTCGGTATTTTCCGATAACAAGTAAGGGCAATTTCTCTGTCCCAGACGCATTTCCTCCAACTAGTACAGTCAAACGTTTCTTGCTCATTTTACCCCCTGAGCAGTTTTTATCCTTAAACATCATAGTCTTATTTGGAAGGCATTTAAAAAATAAACCCATTTCATGAATATTGAAAACATAATTTTCACTGTATAATTGAAGTAAATTTGGTAACGTTTCATTTAACCACTGTTCACATACTTCAAGAGGGACAGCTTTAGCTTCTCCATGAAGAGTGCGAAAGACATTGTGTGTGTGTTGCAAAGGAAGGGGCAAGATATCAGCTCCTAGTTTTTTTTTCTTGCTTTAGAAGATTAAAAAAAAATCAAGTTAAAAGGAGTAAAATTCGAGTAATCGAGAATAATTAACATGAAATTGATGATAAAAGGGTCGGGACCTCATAAAAAAATCGAGTTATAGTAATATTCGAGTTATCGTACTTCGAGTTATAGCGAATTGACTGTACTAAGTGAAAATTTATATAGAGAATATAGCAAGTTATAATAATTAGACATGCCAATGTTTTGAAGAATTTTGCTTTGTTTACCTAATATTCAGCAAAAAATTTAAATAGATATTCTAAAATTAAGAAAATTTAATAGGTTGACCAAGAGGACCATCCACAAATTATACAAATTGATTGCAGTTTTTGAATAATATAAGAAAGATAAAAAAAATTAACTAATTAAATTTATTCGTCATTGATTTTTAAAAAGGTTAATTGGGAGCATATACTTATTTACTATTTTAAGAAGATGAAATCATATCTTCAATAATGAAGATTGGTTGTTCTAATAATTTGAAATGAACTCCTTGTGTTAATAATTTAAAATTATTATAGTACAGTTAACAATTTAGTAATAAATCACAGAAATTTTGAAAATGACAAACTGGGGAGTGGGTGGTTTGCAAATTAATTGAAAAAATGTTTTGTTGCTTATGAAATTAATGTAACAATTAAACTTCAGTAAATAATGGCATTTTGAAACAATGAACAAAAGAATAATATAGCTTAAAGTAAAATTTCTGAATATGTTGTAAAAAAATAGTTTTAATTACATTTATTTTAGTAATTTCTTTGACTAGGAGTTTTTATAATAGTTTAAGTTAATGATGTTTAATTTACTTAGAAAATATGTTGCCGGGGAAAAATAAAATTAAATATAATAGCACATTTTAATTACAAAATTATACTTCTGTTAAGTATGTATATTTAAATGTAGGTATGTCAGTGAATATTTAAAACTGAATAGGCAATTTACAGAAATATTTCAGATTGGGTATTAATATAATATTTATAAATGCAAATCAAATCAATATTAAAAATTTAATAAGAAGATATCTTACTTTGGAAGTGATTTATTCTCAACATTCAAAGTAGTAAAAGAACCTATTAGAAAATAACATAGCACATAAAATTATTTTGATAAATACATGTTTGTATGCATGAGAATAAATGCAACTATAAAATGACGTAAAAAGTTTGACACATTTATAAATCATATTTTCCTACACTCTTTCAAAAACTGTAGAATATCCAACTTAAGACAAGGGAAATTGGATTTATTAGGTTTTCTTAATAATTTGACACAACAATTACGTACTTCAAATTAAATACAGTTGAACCTGTTTATTTCGAACCTCTTTATCTCGAAAGCATCTATATCTCAAAAGCTCTAAAATTTCATACATTTACTGTCTAAAATCAATGTATTTTCAATGTTTATGTCGAAATTTTTTGTTTCAAAACTTCCGTATTTGAATTTTTAACAATAGAGCACAAATGCCCAAACTTTCTTCATCAGTAGAATTTGCAGACAGAGATGAATTTCGTGAACCTACAGAAAGCGAAGATGAACAGGTTGGGGTGTTTCTTGGAATTTCAATTACTATTTCTGCACTTCCTTAACTAGAAAGGAATACAATTATTCTGGCAGTAAGTGAAGGGTTGATGAGTAGAAGGAAATGACCACCAGGGGTTAGCTTTTCTACATAGATAAGAAAGCTAGGAATAGAAATTCATTTTCACTTCAAAATTGCAACCAATGGATCAAAGGATAAATAGGAGTTTCAAAGTGAACTATAGAGTTGGTACACAAACTTGTAGATGCCATTGATGAAAAAGGTTCAAAAATAAATGTGTTGGATGCTATCAGAATGACTGTTATGCCTGGAGAAATGTGTCTCTAAAAACTATCCAAAACAGTTTTAAAATGGCTGGTTTTAAAAATAGCTGTGAAGATGATGAACAAGAAGTTGAAGGAATTAATAAAGAGGAAGAAACTGTTAACGCTGGAAATGCAGTGCCAGATTTGCAAGAATGGAATGCAATAAAATAAATTTTTAATGTTGACATTAATTTTGAAGATTTTTACAAGTGGACAACAGCCTGGCAACATGCAAAACATTGACAGTTGTGGAAATCACAGATAATGTCAAAGGAATATCAGATGAGGAAGAAGAAGCTGAAGATCATATTGAATCAAAAGTGAGAGCAAAAGAGGTAGAAAAAGCTGTAGAACTCTTATAAATTATTCTTGAATCCCAGGAAAATGTTGGCTATGAGGGATTTGCTGCTCTTTTTAACCTTAAAAGAATAATCAAAACAAAGAAGGTTAGATGTCAAAATTATTCTCAGGGTTAAATGAGTGTTAAAATTTTTTATGTAAATAGATACGTGAATTGTACGTGGTATAATTAATTTACAGAAATGCCTATATTTTTCTACTAGCTAGAAACAATTAAAGCAGTTTTAATAGAATTTCTTAATGAAATTTAATTTTTTTAAAGTACCTGCATAACTCAAAACCTCTTTATCTCAAATTTTTCGTCTTTGCCCTGAGATTCAAGATCAACAGACCCGACTGTACAATAAAAATCATTAAGTGAAAGATTCTTAATAGCAGACAGAATTGTCATCATTAATAATAAATACTAAATGTTAATTAATAGTAAGCAGTTAAGAAGATTAAGGGAGCATTGTAGATTTTTGGTAATAACCAGGTTCATTCTTTCTTTATATATATATATATATATAGGAAGATAATGTGGCCAGACGTAGCGCTCACATAACTACATAAACATAAAGGTGAAATGATGTCCATTCCCCCTTTTCTGTTCTTATAACAGAAATGAATGGCAATGGTCTCCATTTTGCTCATTTTCCTAATAATATTGCTAACTTAAAGAAAAAAAAGTATTTTCATAAAAAAGAAAATAAAAAATTTGTAGCAATAGCAGGAGATTAGTAATTTTCAGCTCATTTAAAATATACAATATTTATATTTTTAACATTAGTATTATGATGGTAATTTGGAAACTAGGAGCTAAAAATAAATGTAGGGTCTCATAGCAATTTTTAACATTTGTTGTCCCTAAGATTTGTAACTAAATAAATTATTCACAATAAATGCTTGAAACTTAAGGAACAGTATAGAATATATAATGAAGCTTTTAAACAGAACTTGGATAATTTGTATGAAAATTAAAACAGAAATATGAATAGTATAAAGAAATATGAAAGTGAAATAAAAATTAGAGATAAATATCGAAAACTGAACAAAAAAAGCCCCAGGAAAAATGAGGAATAATATTTTTATAAAAACTTATTTTCAAAAAAAGATTGTAGTTTCAAATATTCATTAAATTCAAATGAATTGATAGAGTACTTAATGATAAAAAATTACAGAAAAACATCTCATTCTGTAATGCAGCAAGAAAAATAATAATCAAATTGAAATTTCACTCTCATTAAAGAGAATATATTATTAAAGTGTATCAGAAATATTAATTAAGCTTCCATTAGTCTGTTTATTGAAAGTGTTCCAGTTTGAACTATCTGGTAAATGAAAGAAATATTTATGTTAATTTCGTTTCCACCACAGAACTAATAAAATCAATTATTTGGACAGATATAAACTAAATCTTGAGTAACTGGAGAATGTTAGGTAGAATCTTAGGGACAAAAAATTCTCTACATTTCTTATGTCAAAGCTACTTCGGTATTCAGAAACTTTCCATGCATAAAATTGCATATTTTATTTTAAAAATATTTCTGAACTTTTGTTATCACTTTGTTACTGAGTGAAAAGTTTCATTCAAGGTTTCAAATTTTTAATTTTATTTCAGGTGGTTTTCTAATAAATTTTGTTTCTGAAAATTGTAAAAACTGTTATGTTAATTCTACATTGCTGGTAGTGGAGTTAACATAAACAGTGTTAACTTCATCAGCCTATAAATACTCATGCAGTGTTAACAAAGCAGCATTTACAGTATTTTGATTACCAGCTGCAAACAAGAAGAACAAGAAAATGTACTTTAAATAGGAAAATATTAAATCAGATTTAAATAAAATATTTTTGTAAATTTTTTTATTATTAAAAAACAATTTACCTATTGACTGAAAGGAATCAGCTCCAGCACAAATATATAATGGTTTATTTAAGTCAACAATTGTAGACTTACTGGAAAAAAAGTTAAAAATATAGTAATTTGAATTTTAGAAATTATTCCATTAAGATAGCATGAAATAGCAAATAATAAGAAATGAACATACCTACTGGTTGTTCCAAATACCAATGCACTAATTGACACTCTAGCTTTGTTAATTAATGCTTCTGATTTTGAGGACACAAATTGAAGAGTAGCAGCTTTAGAATGGGCAACATAGCGTAAACATTTAGAGATAAGTTTTCTTTTCTGAAAATCTTCAGTCTAAATATAAAAAAAAATATATTGAGAGTTTACTAGATTTTATCATAAAATATATATAATAGAGGAAAGTAATGAATGGTAAAAATAAATAGAATTGAAAAAAAAAACCTAATCTGAATTTTCTTTTTATAAAGGACAAATTTTTATTGCCTAAATTATTTGTTGACATCAAATTTGGATTTTTTTTAAAATTCTGATTTCGCCAGTTTACAAATTTATGAGAAAAATTATTAAGGGGCATCAGTTATTTATCAATTCTGGAAAAAAAAAAATTTTAAATAATTTCTTGGCTTGCTAAAACATTATTGTTTGGGTTTACTAAATTGAAATAAATATACATAGGATATTTTTGTAAATTTTTTGTCAAATTTACACAATGATAACGTTATAAAAACTAACACTTTAATCAGGTTAGATGGATTTAAATAAATATAGTATGTAAGATATTTTTGGTAATTTTTTTTAAAATTTACTAATTTAAAAAAAAAAAATCTCTAAGCTTCACAATCTATCTACCCCAGAATTGCAACGAGGGTGTGAATGACTGGTTATGATAATTACTCATTTTTTTTAGTTATGTGTAATTTTAGTCATAGTAATCAATCACCTATAGTTAATTATTATAACTAAAAAGAAACTATATATTAATGAGACCCAAAAACTCAAATGAATAATAATTATTTCGATTTATTAAGAACAAATTTTAAAAGCTATTTTATTCAAAAATCATAATAATAATTAAAAAAATATTAGAATAACAGTTAAAAATACCTGAAAAAGATCATATTTTGAACCCATAATTAGTAGAGGTACAGGAAAAGGATCAATGGAATCAAAGTCCTATAAAAAATAATGTTCAGAAATTATTTATAGTAATGTCGCTACAAACATGGATGGCAAAATAATGGAATGTATAAAATTATATCATATATTACGCACGTTCAATTTTTACGAACAAATTAAAAAAAATTATGCTTTACAAAAATGTCTATTTATTTCAATATTCCACATAATACACAATATACGTGATATTACACACACCACAGATACCACAGTTACAATATACGTGATATTTTAAAGAAATAATATTTATACAATATTCATATTAATACAACATTTAATATTGTACTAATAGCTGAAATACAAAATTTTGTTATAAAACCAAAATATTATGTAAGCTTGGAAGTTATTGCTCCACAATATTGAAAGTAAAATTCAGTAATTGAAATGTCAGTGCTTTATTAAAGAATGTGAAATAACTTACCTCATGATCATTGGGAATACAACTTTTTGCTTGCTCATATAATGATTGTTTTAAATTCGGGTCTTTAGAGAGAGCTACAACTTCATCAATACGTTTCTTCACAGCATCCAACAGTGTTTGCATAGTATACCATAGCTCTTCCGGCTTGGAAAGATCTAATACTAGTACAACAGAGAGATTTCTGCAAAAAATAAACAAAGGAAATCAAAAGGAAAAATTAAAATACATTATTTATAATATATAATGCCAGTATTATAAAATGAAATACAAGCACATTATGTTTAATTTTTTACATAAGATTTAAAATTAATTTTATATAAATGAATTTAACTAAATAATCTTGAATGGATATATCTGTTTGCACTTTTTTTTCCCCACATCACACAAATGCATTCTAAACCAATGAAAAATTAGAGTAGTTGGTTTTTTATCTTGTTTAATGAATCCTATTTCCTTAATTCTGTAAAGAGGAAAAGTTATTTCCTTAGCAAGAGTATGCAACACCGAATCACTTAGAGTATTAATTAGTCCAAATAATAAATTGAAAGAAGTAATGAAAATTTTTTAATACAGCACTTTTAAAAAACCACGAGCAAAATTTTGACACAAGATTTCTTTATGGTTTTGGCATTAAATTTTTATTTTAAATTAAAGCATACTCTAATTGAAATTTTATTATTGTGGATAATCACTGTTAAAAACCATAACATATTGAAAAATTATTAAAAAAATATTAAAACACAAAATTGTCTTCGCACAATGTTTTCAGCATTTTTATATTGGTAATGATTAAAAATAACATCACATGAACAGATAAAATAATGCAGAACTTTTTGGATACATGGCAAAAGAATGAAACTTGATATTTACTTAAATGTAAGAATTAGATTTTTAGAAGAACAATCACATATGCAAATTAGGAAGATGAGGCATGACATTTGTAGATGATTTTATAGATAAAATGTAAGCATGAAGATTGAAGAATTTAAATTTAATAAAAAATTTTTTAAAAAGTTATGACAAAAGAAAAAAAAAACAAGTTTTAAGATATTTAAATGTGCTTTAGCTAAAAGTTAGTAATGTGGTGATTGCTATGGCATCAAGCAATAATATTTGACAAGCCAGAAAAAGCTGATAGTTTCTATCAAAAAAATTCTTAGTCTTTATAGCAATTTTTAAAATAATTAGAATGTACTTATAAATCCTTTATAAGTTCTGTGGCTTTGAAATTCTAAACATGAAAAAAAAAATGCATATAAATAAAAAATATCGTGATAAATAAAGGTCACAGTATGTATCAACAGAAGGAATGATATTTTACTACCTTATTAAACAAGAAAGTCATGTCATGAGTGTGTAAAAAAAATCTTTAAAAATGAAATTCTTTATATCAACCATTTTGTTGTTGAAATATAAATATGTTTATGTGAAGGTTAGATGAATAATTACAAAGATAAATATATCCAACTTTTAATTTGACTGATTTTTATCTACTAAAAATAGCTGTATGCTGTCATTAGTGAACTTGAAAAACTAAATAAAGTTTCAATGAATCTTAATACTTTATTACGAATTTTTGCTACAAATCAATTATTCTCTGCAGATAAGACAAAAATTCGGTCAAATAACAGAATGTAATAAAATAAATGAAGATACTGATTCCCTTTTTCTAATTTTTATTATTCATTGAAGTTAAACTAAAAAAGAACTAATTTATGAAATTTAAATTAAATCTTACCGCAAATTTTCAGGAGTGATGGGAATTTCGAGTAGGTCCATGAATAATGTACCACCACCTAATTCCCATATGTGGCATATTTCTTTTCCCTTTAAATATAAAATATAATTTCATAAACTGGGGGACTTCATAAAACAAAAAACTCATTTGAAGAAACATATCCAAAGACACTTTCATTATATGGAATAACATTTTATAGTGTAAATGATATTTCAGAAAGTTTTGATTATCTCAAATCCTCTTTTCATATTATGAAAATGTTGATCCGTGTTTTGTTCTGTATTTTCATTACATTTTATATTATGTTTTTTTTCGTGATATATTTTTCACTTAGTGTGTTCTATTTTGTTGCAATTTTTTTGAGTGCTCCTCAAACTATTGTATTAATATATTTTGCTCTGATTATATTGATACAATATTAGAAAGCACTCCTTTTTGCGGATATAACCGTGTGAGCTGATGAAGAGAAGAAGAAGCTGATGATGAATTATCCTTTCACTTTTTTGTTTTCTGAATTTTTAATATATATATATATANTATATATATATATTAAATACTTCTTATTATACTATTATACTACTATTATACTTCTCTTTTCATTAATCTTTATTATTTTCCATATTTTCTCCATATTTTTAACTTGAATACAAAAATTATTTGCGGTCTTATTTTATCCAAGGCATCAGCATAAAAATACAATTATTTAATAAGTGCTCTCTTTATTTTAATTACCTAATGTTACAAAAAGACATAAAATTAAAAATAAATTAAACATTTATGCACTTTCTTATCACAAATAAAATACCCCAACCTCTCTCTGTAAAAAAAACTTAGTCTCTTTACAAAACATTAAACAAATCAAATATTTAGTATTAAATTAATGAACAAGATCACATATGTTTATAAATAGTATAACATAATATTATCAAATATTTAGAAAGAAACTCTTCAGAACATATAAATCAGGTATCTCTTCTTCTTCTTCTTCCTTATCCCCAAAATTAGCAGGGCTAAACAATGTCCATGAGATTCATGACTCGGAGGAAGATGGCCACCAAAAGTGGGTTATAGAGAATGTCCCTCTTGTCCAGTTCAGGATATGTTGGGGAGAAGCCTGCATGTTGTGGCACCTGTGGCAGTTTCGGAAGATCTTAACACTACCCTCGAAAGAAAGAGACTTAAGGTGGCCGCTGGTAAGCCCTGTCTGGTCCTTGCGGTTGCACCGAATGTTGAGTGCACCTCCTGGACGGGTGCTCTGGTACCAGTGATGTTTGGGGGGTACGAATCAGGAAACATTGTCTTCTTTTTTCCTTTTCGATGCCAGTTCTATGAAGGTGAGTGAATTTGGACTGATCAAAGTTTCTTCTGTTCCCTCCTTAGCCAGAGTGTCGGCAATATCATTGCCCAGAACCCCAACGTGAGAAGGGATCCACTGGAGGTGGACTTCACGCAATCGTGAGAGAGTGTTAAGTTCGTGCAGGATTGAAGCTCCTGTTTTGTCTCTCACCTTCCTCCAATGCGATAAGTACTGTATGGAATTGAGACTGTCAGAGAGTATCCAGATATTATTGTGATCCTGTAGTGTTAGAAGAGAATTCAGGGCAGTATCAATAGCAATGAGTTCCCTTCTAAAAACTGAGCAGTAATCGGGATTCCTTTTGGTGATGTTAAGGGAGCAATTAATTGATTTAATGTAGACATCCCTGCCAGATGACGATGTGTCCGTCTTGCTTCCGTCTTTGTACACCAGTTATACGTGATATATATGATCTAATGCTGGCTAGTAGACTTTGTAGCCATCTTTTATTCAAACCTAATGAGTTGGTGGCCAATATTGATAGCTCCTATTTATTTAATAATCACTTTTAGCGAACTTTTTTTTAAAAAATTAGATTAAATTATATTTTTACAATAAATTCATATTAAAAATAATGTGAGAAATATACTGAGTTCTTTAAGAACTTTATTTAAAATCTTTGGGGAGGAAAATGCATTTAATTTACACTTTACAACTTTGAAATGCATGAATTGTTAAAATGTTAATTGTGAACTCTCTTTCCAATGAATTTTTCCATCACAAATTTATGGATTCTGAAAGATCACAAATTTGATGGAAACATTGGACATTTTAATGAAAATTCTGTTTTTCAGAGTCTTTCTACATTGTAGCAATTTTATTATTAAAATATTTAAAAAAAAAAAAAACTGGGAAAAAGTGATTAGTTTACTAGTTTAATTTGAGTTGCCACTTTTTGTTGACTCACCATGTGGCAAGAGGCAATTTGTTATTTTCAGGTCCAATATCAGGAATGTCCAATTATCCGATAAAAAAAATGCATACCACTTCTAGTTTTTCCATCAAACTAAAAAACATGAAAAGCTAAAAATAGGCTAATTAAAAGATGATTATGGGTATTTTCATAAATAGTACTTTTTTTGGTATGAGTAGTAGAGTTTTGAAAAATAATATAATAAAAAAAGGGCCAACTTTATTTTCATTGCAAATAAACTTTTTTTAAGGGTCAGTTACTTATCTTAAGAGTAACTTGAAAAATAAAAAACTTGACAAACGAAAAACTCTAAACTTTAATTCAACTTAATTATTAAACAGTCAGAAGTAAATTTATATGGCTTTTAAATTTGTATTTTTTTTAAACCAATTCATACATATTAGGAAAGTTTTAATGATGCTAACAGCATCAAGTTATTTTGCTGCACGCCAGTTCATCTTAAATTTTTTTTTGCCTTTATTATGCTTTCTATAGAAAACTGAACTTAGAGTATTGCTTGACAAACATGCTTGTCATACAAGTATACAGCTTTCCAGTACTGTAATATTCAGTTGTGTATGATTAGGTATTTCATAGATATTTTTAATGTTTTTAAAGATGACATAATTATTTTTTTCAAATAATTCTTTGGTGCCAACATTGAAACTCTGCTCTGCCACAGTGTGGCATGCTTATCACAGGTTGGCCATCAACTATATAGATTAACAAGTATTAGATTAAAAGAAAAATACCTACAGTTTCAATTCCTTTACTTCTTCTTCCAAATAAATATTCCAAAGCTAAAGTATTTTTTGGTGTTTCAGTTCTTTCTAAGAACTTGTAACATATTGTTGATTTTCCCTAAAAGATTTTAAACTGAATTTAGATATTATTATAGAACAGGATTGAAGGGGATTTTAAAACAATTGTAAAAATGAATTCATGCATTGAAGGATTTAATAATTAAAATGCTGTCATTTTGTGTAACTTATTTCAAATCAAAACATTTAAATGTTCTAAAGCTATTAGAAAAATATTTTGATGAACAATTACTTAAAAAATAAAATAATGATAAAATAATCAAATATTCTAGAAATAACTACAAAAAGAGATTTTAAAAAAAAACTTTTCGATTTAAAATTTGCTAACTCTACATCACAATAAAAATATTATTGTTTAAATTTTACATAAAGAACATAATAGAATGAAATTATTTGCAATTGTTATAAACATTGAATGAATTCGGTAAGATAAAGTGACAACCGTAAAAAGTATAGTACAGCTTAAGTATTTAGATAAAAGTGTAAAATTTTCCTTTTTTTTTTAACACAAAAGTTTTGTCAAAATTATAGCTGGAGAACTGTTTATAAACCAATACGTTATGGGCTAATATAGTCCAAGGTAAAAATAAAGATAGAATGTTTTTCAAAACATTTTCTCAAAACATTATGTACTCAAACTAATTGCATTATGAGATAGTTATATTTTAGTCCAATTATATCTATGTAAAACTTGAAATTATCCTACACAATGATTTTACATATATACAGTGATATCAGGATTGTACAAGACCTCTAGATAAATATTTAAAATATAAGTCATAAGTTTTAAGCTCAATATAGAATATAAAATTTTTGCTTCATTATTAGGTGTAGAAAAATTACTTTTTTAATATAATGAAAAGCAATTTCTGCTTGAACCATCAGATTAAAAAAAAATAAATAAATTATCACCTACAGTAAATGTGGGTTTATAGTTAGAAAGTTAAAGAACTATTTTACTATGTATTATCAGTTAGAAAGAATAAAAAAGCAATATGTTAAATGAATGATGAAATAAAAATATTTAAAATGATACTATTGCATAAAGAGAAAAAAATTAAATGCTAAACAAAAGATCAAGATTATTAATTACACTTACTCCCTTTTTACTGCCAATGAGGAGGAGAACTGAATCTGATTTGTTCCTATTAGCTGTAAAATGAAAATAATCAGAAAAAAATACTTCCAAAAAATACTTAAATAATAATAGTTTTTTTATGAATATTTTTTTTTATAAAACATTATTTCATGTGATTACACAATGCAGGAACTATATATATACAACATAAATAGACAAATGCATTAACTTATTAAAAGATGAAATTATTTTTATAGAAATTTTTTATTTTGATTAATAATATTTCCATCAAATTGATTCAATTCTGTAATATTTTTCCAACAATAATCTATGCACTATAAATTTTTTTAGTTAGAGAAGAAAAAAAAAACACTAGCTAGGCATGGAATTTCCACTCGCCATTGGCACATGAATATTTAGTGATGAAGAAAAAAATTTATTTAGTGAAATTTTGTATTTTAAATCAAACTATCATGTTTTCCCCAGAATTGAGAGATTATGTTTATGCTCTAGAATGTAACAATAGGCTGAATATAACATGCAGAACTCTTTGTAGATTGAGACACTCGGCAATTACCTTAGAATTTTCATACATGGACCACCTTCTTTATTAGAGCTTGATCTTAGTGCTGCAATTGACAAATGGCATTTTAATGTAAAAAGATACGAACACTAGGTGTTAAAAGTACTTTGATATTTTAATCTCCTGATATTTTTCTCATTTTAATGAATTTTCATGCTGTATGGATGATAATGGAACCAATGAAACTTTATGGCAACCTTATTATTATTTTGAAATAAATATTAATTATTCTGCAAGATGATTTTTCTATTATTATTATTTTGCAATAAATATGATACAATTCTTCAAGTTTCTACAATCTTTTATGGTTTTGGTAAACAGAAAAAGAAAAAAAATCATTAAACTGCATCTGCTAACATTTTAAAAATTATTCACGATTTTTTGAGAGAATAGTGGCAAGTAAAAATTTTGGTTTGGCTAGTATCTGCACTAGAGCAACTGTAAAGAAAAATAATTTCTCTTGATTTTTTAGTTTTGAGTAAAATGACAATTAAGCATATTTCATTATGGCAATTAAATTTCAGATGAAAATAAATTTTAATGAATTTAAAAATGACAATTAAAATTAAGTGTAAAGCATATTTCATTATTAATTTACAAATAAAAACTTAGATATGCAACAATTATTTAAATTTAGTTTTGATCCTCTAAAATGGCTATAAAAATTTGAAACATAAATACATAAATGGTACTATGATGTCGCATACTGTCATACCAATTATTGGTGAGAGAGCTTGCTTTTTTCGAGCAATAGGATGGATATATATATATATTATACTGCTCTCAAGTTATAGCCCGAAAAGTGTGTGAGGAAGTAATAACTAAAAACATGATTAAATTGAATAATTATAAAACAAATTTACCTAAATCATTTTCTTTGTATTGCTCAACAGCAATGTCCCACAAATTCTTCCTGAAAATAATATGTGTCAAGTAGTGGTCTTAAATCGAATAATGAAACAAATATAAATTATAATTTCATACAATGCATTGGAAAAAAAAAGAATTAAAATGTATTCTGTTTATGCCTTTTGTTTAAGTAACTTCAATATTTTTCAAGATACAAGATAAAACAAAAAAGACAAGCTTGACTTTAATTAAGTTCACACATTCTAATATGAGGTGCATATCAAAGCTGTCCAGCTGATTCTTTGATTGTTAATCTTCCAAGACTGAATAGATTATCTTACAAAACATAATAAGATTAACACTATGTTGACCGGCAATTTTATACAGAAAATATTACATTATTTTGTAATTGAATATGTCTATTATAATATTGAATATGACTATTATTTTGTAATTAAATTAAGAAGTAAAATTAAACATTTTAATGATATGCAAAGCTTTTGCAATATTCTACTTGCTTTGGGTTTCATAAATTGAAATAAATAATTTGAGTTCAAAGACAAGTTAATTCCTCATCGATCAACAAAGTATGGATATGAAAAGACAAGTTAACTCGTCATTAGTCAAGATGTTAAGATGGTTACATAGAAAAATTTTATGTTTAGCACCCAGTTGCTGGAAGAAGCGCGTTACTGAGTGGTTACTGTGGTTTGTACTTTTTTTGTAGTTTGTAGTGCAGTTTGCTACTCTTTTTAAAAAAAGTAGTAAAGTGAGTAGTGCAAAAAAAGAAAAAAAAATACTAACAACTACTTTTAACATTAATTTAGTTAGTACAACAATTTTTAAATGAAGCCAATTTTTCAAATATGATTGTCAAAACTCTTCACGGGTAATAAGAATGCCTTTGAGGCCGAGTTTCAGTAAGAATTACACATTGCAAACATTTAACTAACCTTTGAAAATAATAGCTAATTTATCACTTTGATCATACCTTCCAGCATACACCCAGGAAACATTGACTTCATTTCAATGAAAGGAAACATATTTCCGCTGTAATTTATTTGTTAGAAGAAATAAAAAAAAATATTAGCACTTAACAAAATCGAAAATATTTGAAAACTCCCTTGCATTTAAATTTAACACTCACTGATGGGAAAAACTTAAAAAGTGGAAGGTAAAAAGGATAAATTTGTAAAAAAATGGTTTAGAATAAAAAAACTTGCTTAAGTAAAAATTTTGATTAAATGCAAGAGGACTATGCTTTGTACTTGCATAACATATATACAAGTTATTTTTAGCCTGCATTATTGCCTATGACAATCTTATGCTTATGATAAGAGCCAATGTAACTTTAAATTTTTTTTAAGAAGCAATTACACAGTTGATTAAACAAGTATTATAATATAAAATGTATTTGAACGTTACTTGATATCCAAATTTTTTTTTTCACTTTTAATGTACTGAACATATTATAGGAATTACGAGTAATTTTTTATTTCTTAAAAACTTAACAATTCTAAGCAAAATATAAATATTTTATTCAGTAATAGAGTATTTTAATTTCATACTTACATAATTACTTTGAACAAAGTTCTAAATCTAACTATATCTTCAATATTAACTATTCCACAAATTTCTCAATTTTGATGAAATCTAAAAAAGAGGTATATATTATAAAACAAATAAGCAAACAATCATTGAAATTTACAATATTTAAATCTAAGCAAAAAAAAAAAATAGTTTCAACAAAAATGAAATTTTAATCTATTAAATGGAAATAAAATGTACATCTAAGTTAAAAAAATATTTATCTAACAAGTCAAACATATATACCCTGGTCAGGGCTAATGCACTACAAGAAGTAGTCAAATTACTGAAGTCGCAATTTTTTTTCCGTATTTTATAGTGCTCTATGCTAATTTTTTAAAAAAGTAGCATAGTCAATAGTTTGATACAAAAAACTGTAGTTTTGTAGTTCATATCAATTCCTGGTAACTACTTTTAACATTAGTAAGTAAAAGACCATGATTCAAACACAAGTAATTTTTTGCATCTGATTGATACAAAACTTGAAGCTTTTCAGAGGTGCAATGGGAATGATCTAGTAGCCAAGCATTTTAGAATCATACTTACATAATTATGCAGTATTACGCTTGCTTTTAATTATAAGAAACAGAAACAACCATATATACATATTTAATAAGTATATATTTCTCATTTTACAGCATTTATTTTTCTGCTCACTGTGGCATATGAAACCGAGAATTATTCCATCAGGCAAGAATATGCATGTACATTTTCTTTGTGGGAGGATGAGTAGGACATTATTTGGTACCAGTTTTCACCAAGGAAATATTAAAGCTCACTTGAAATAGAGAAATTTTTTTAAAATTCAGACACAAAAAAAATTATCTGTTTTTTTTAAAATTGTAAATTAAATCATACGAATATTGAGTGAAATTGAGTGTCCCTTATAAAAAGTGAGAGGGCTAAAGCTCCCTCTGACACCCCCCTTCCTGTTTGCATAATTAATCATTAAATAAAAATGCAATAAACATTAGTAAATAGCTATGACAAAAATACTTTAAATTCAACTCCTACTCACAAAACTGCTTGTTTTCAGTAGTTGCAACTATATTCACAGATTTTATAGAATATATTATAACTGTGTGAAGTGCTTTAACAAAAAGTTTTGACCTTCACATAGTAAAATTTTTTTTCCCCGAGAAAACACAGACACAAGCTGTCTGAATTGTAAAAGTCAATCAAATGGTTGAAAAAATTGGTAATTTTTGGTTATCTGGGCGCAAGCAAACCACTTTTAATGAAATTTTTTTCAAAATTTTTATTTTGAAAGTGAGTGAAAATTAAATTTTTCAAACAAATTTCGTCTCATGAAAGGCAGATTTCTGTATCATGACCTGTGGCAGAATAAATGTCAAATTTAGGCAACTTCTGGGCAGTAACTTGCAAAATACTTAAAAAAATATCACAAACAGGGACCAACTTGAAGGATATATATAACCGCTGTTGAACAATCTACCTGATTCTGGGTTTACGACTACAAATGTTCTACTCCATATCCTTGTAACTTTGATCCCAATCCAGAAGACAAGGGAGCTCCTGGATCAGTACCCCCAGAGGCATTGATTTGTTATGGGAACTTGGAGGAAAATTGCAAGTTAAATATATTCCATCCATTTGACGCTTAGGCGATTGTAGTTGCTGCGACAGATCACAATACAGAAATATTTTCCTTTTAAAAGTAGTCAAGTAGTGACTACATTTCGAGTAGTTTGGTGTAATTTTATAAAAAAGTAGTTGCCGTTAACTACAAAAAAATGTAGTTTTTCAGAATACTATATATCATTATGGCAATTAAATTTCAGNTATATATATATATATATATAAACCCACAAATGCTTTAAAACAGTTAAATCAATTGTTTAAACACTAAACACTAATAATCAATTTATGCTAAGAAACAGCATCGCAATTTTGAAAAATACAAAGTACTGTAGGTAATGTACATTGAATAATTATATGTAATACAGTTTTAATACATTTGTACCAATACTTTTAATATACTAATAATATATGCCAATTAATTTGGAGTATGGTTCTATAAAGAAATAAAAATTTCTGACACATAAATAAATAAAAGAAGGATACAATACTTAAACATTCAATACAAATTTCTTCATTTGAATTTTTATAGGCATTCGTTTGCGTATATCGCATTAACTGTCATTAAGCTAATTCAAAACAAGCAGTACGAAATCAAAACAAATCACATAACAACAACGAGCAGAAAAATATTATTTCTTATAGTTGCCATACATTTTAAGTTTATTATGACCAATTTTTTCTTAACGAATTTAACAAAATTTACAGATATTGAAAAAAAACTGAAACTAATTAACTTGCAACATTTGCATGTCCTTTATGTTTTTTTTAAATTTATTTAACTACTTCTGTCCTTTTATTTCTAAATCTTTTCTCACCTATTTCTTCAGATCGAGGTAGAAAACACATCTTTGGCTATCTTACAAAATATGATACTCAAATCAATATGATTGATTAAAATATTAGAAATTCTTAGGTGACGAATTTTCCCCCCCTTCCGTGACCTTTTTATTTACGTATTTATTTATTTATTTATTTTTTTTTATCAATTTCTGAATGTTGTGAAAGAACAATCGATAATTTTCTTCTGAAGCTAACCACGGAAGAAATTTATTGCGCATGCCTGAAAACAACGCCATCTTGGAAGCTGACTGCGGTAGGGAGGAGTAATTTAATGTAGTGAACAGCTTAATGTAAACATTGTTGTTGGAAATATAGTATACATAGAATAAGATAAATAATAGACACTTTAAATTTTTCATTCCTTACGATATTTGCATTGATTACTCGTATAATGAGTCATAATATTCGTTCATTGGCATGTCCTAGTCATTGACGTTTGTAATGAGACGTACTACTTTTATAAATACATTGCAATACTAAATAACATTGATTTTCTTGACAAAACTAGTCAGAGTGAGGTCGATTGTAGACTAGTTATTAATAAGAAGGTGAGCATACGAATCTGTTTTAAGGGCATGGTACCTCTGTCTTGTGGACTTTGTTTATGTAATGATGCTGCAATTTTAACAACAAAACAATAAATACTACTATGTATGAGTTATGATTTGCGTTTTAATTAAATTCTAATTAAGCTTTTGCATGATCTTATTTTCTGTTCAAAAACCTAACTTATCTTATAAATAAAATGATGTTGACATAATGTCAATAATTCGTGTTTAATGACATTCCTGTCATTGAATGACTTAAAGCGTTTTAAAAATACAGATGATGCTTTTCATCGATTACCTAAATTATTGCTTACTTTTAAGTATTTTTCACTAATTAAACTCTAACATGATATAAATTGAATTAAACTTCTTTTGTAATTATACAAGACTAAGCATTTAGTTCTCAATGGCTAATCAGGATGTAAAATCAATTTTCTGAATTTATTAAAAAATGTTTAATAATTACTAAATATAAGTTTAAAATATTAAATCTAAGATATCTGTTTTATTCAAAGTGTAAGAATTTATAGGAATTTAAGCAGTGTAAAATTTTTTAAATTAAGATATTGAATTTGTTTACTCTCTTTTATTAGTAATTGCTTCTTTGCTTACTATCATCTAATTCCTTGATTTTCGTTTAAAATGAATAGTTGAACTATTGGTGTTAAAAACTGTATCCAATATTGTAGACTCAATTTACAATTCAAATATTCCCTATTATTTGAACTCTAGTTAGAAAAATAAATACATACTTAAATTTTGATACATATATAAGAAAAAACAATTGTTATAATTATAAGCATTATTAAATCAAATGAATTCCATAGTGATTAATATCGTTAGATCATATCAAGCTTTAGGTTTTCTTCACTGTCTTGTTTTGTCGTTCCCTTTTAAATTTCTATTTATTTTAAATAATTATATATTGGAAGTTAATTCAGTTATTTCTTTTATTTATATTTTTTACTATTTTATTTAAGCCAAAACTAAGGAAAAAAATTTGTGTATTAATTTTTTAAATAGTCTTCCGCAGCAAAATTTTTCGCTATTAATTGTTTGAAATTTATTTGTGTTTTCCATGGATATTAGAGCAGTAGGAGGACCATCTCTTGCTCAACTAAAGGGAATCAGATTTTCTTCCCCAAATTTTGGTGCCAAAGCTCCTACTCAAACAAGTTTTAATGAAAAATGAAGAAAAGTTTGTTTTCTTTTTTCATTCTCAACAATGTCTCTCCTCTCTAGATGATCTTTGATGAATGCTATATGCACAGATTAAGACTAAAAATATACGAAGTAGATTACTTTGTTCCTTTTACCCAAGTTATGTAAGTCACAGGTCTTTATAAATTAAGAAATGTAAGGGAAATACATTAATGTTAGCAATGGACTCATACAAAGCTTTATATTTGTAACATTAAAATAAAATGTGTAAAAATTTTTTTGATATGTTAATGATTACATGCTATGTTGTTTACTAACAACAACAGATTTAGATATAGCCCCCATTGTTTTGGCAACAACTTTAAATCATAAATAGTTCCTATAAAAAATAAAGTAATTTATAAAATTTGATTGCAAACAATGCAATTTATTAAAAATAGACATATTAAGAGACCATATAAACAAAATACTTTATTATAGAAATTTAAAAAGGCTATCTTTTATTGATAAATGAGAATTTAAAAACTTAGCTTTATGCAAGCTGTGGCATGATAATCCATCATTCACAATTTCACCTTGGGTAGAAACAAAATTGCATCTTTAATTAATGCTAACTAAAAAATTTTCAAATTTTAAAGTAATTATATATTATTTTATGATTAAAACTATGCACGCATGTGAACATATATTGCCTTGAAATTTTTTTTAAAAAAAAGTTAACAAAACATCATTCTGTTTTTGTTTTTTTTTCTGCCTTTTTAAAAAACTAAGCCCTTTTTTTTAACACTAAATATAAAATTTGCTAGTGTGTTTAAACAGCCTTTTTTTCTTATAAAATTAAAAGATTTTGAGTGCAAGTAATAAAAAACTGAATTCATAAAAATTTTTATCATCATTTTTTATTTTAGATGTTTTATTATATTCTATTACAAATATAGAGTTCATGCTTTTTAGAAAAATATGTTTGATCTTACATGGTAAGTAACATATTTTTCGTATTTCGTTGTTAGTGTATTACAAATATGTAAAATCTGTATTTAAATGAAATATGGCTTAAATTAAAGAGCATGGTTGCATATCTTTAATAGGGTAAAACTTAGTCCTTACTACGACCCCTGGGGTAAGATAAAGTTAAAGTTTTACTTCCAGGGTTGGGTTTTTGCCGTCAAAAACTGGTTTTTGACATGACAGTGGTAAAAACTGTCAAAAACCTGCTGTTTTCTTTAATTTATGGCATATAGCGGACAATATATTATTTTCACTTAATTGCCTTTATAAATGAGTGTTGTAAATGATTGCTATTGATTTTGCAACTATATACATGTATTCTTATAGAAGGATATACCTTCATACAGAAATATTGTAATATACTTATTGAAAATAGTGATACTTAACTTTTATCATTATAGCTTGATTTGCAAAGGATTCAAAATTTTGCACTTCTTAATTGTTAGAAATAANCTGTATAAAAGAAAAGATGCTTGGAAATGTTGAAAATTTTGTTTAGTATCCTAATATTTTACTTCAAATAGTATGATGTGATATAATCATGTTGGGAAAATGCAAAAATCTGTTCTTAAATATCTTTTAACAACTTTTTTTCTAATTTTATTGCCCAAAAATGAATTAATTTTAAATCATAAGCAGCTGAACTCAAATTAAAATACTGTTTTATCAAAACTATGGGTTTTTGACAGAGGTTTTTTTGACATGACAGTAAAAACCCTCATGTGTCAAAAACTTGCCAACCCTGACTTAAACAGATTTTTAACTCCTGTGGATTCGACTGTGGGTTTTAAGTCCCAGCTGAGTCATTTGTCTTTTATTTCCGATCTAACAAGATTGATAACTGTGTAGTATGTTTTATTCAATGTATAAATTTTTATTTAATTTCTTATAAAATTTTTTATGAAATTTGAACTTTAAAAAAAAAAAAATAATAAAAATTAGACGTTTCCACATATCTCTGGGAGCTGAGAAGTTTTTGTTAAAATTTTTGTAAGCAAATGAACTAAAACTGTAAAGGGCAAATTTATTGTAGTGACAAATTTTTAGCCTATTGAAGTTCTCAACCATGCCCTCAAATTTATGTTAAATTTCTTTTCAATTCAGATTTTATAGATGTGCATTTCTCTTATAAGTTATAGTGGTAGAAGGTAGCATATTTATAATGCCAGCTCATTTATTAGTTTTTTAACTTTTTATTTATTGTTATAATTTGAAATGACTGTTTAATAAAAATGCTTGTTTTAAGCCTATTAAGATCTATCATTATTAATTAAATTAAACTTATAGATGAATGTTTAAATGGAACCTCACTTTTATGTTCAACTCATTATTTTATATATTTTTTAATGACATTTCATGTTTTAATCGAAGAAAGGAAAGTGTAGCATTAATTTCTTATGAATAAAATTTTGTTTTTAAATGTACTTATTTCTTAAAGAATAAAATTTTTGTTTTTGTAGAATGTAGTGAAATCATGAGGTTGCTTTTATCATATTTGTTGGAGAGAAAGCAGCAATAAGAACATTTTGAAGTCTTGCAAATGAAATAATTTGGTTGGGATTACCATGCCTTCTTTACCGAGGTAAATATATGTTCAAGATAAATAGATGTAATTTGTAATAACTGTTTGATTTAAACTTTTATTTCTTAATTGATAAAGAAGTTTCTATAAATTTTATAAATGATCAAGCATTTGAAAAGTTGAAATAAAAATATTAAAGGAATAAATGTTTTGTCTGCAGTTGGCTTTATTTTCTTAATGTTTTAGTATGATTTGATTATTAAAATTTTATATTGCATTGTCTGATGAAACAATTAAGTCATGATAGTAATCTGAGGTGTTATAATGAGCTAGTTCTGTGATTCAAAACCAGTGAGCATGTACCTGAAAAGAAAAGAGAACTATTGTACTATATAGAGTTAAAAAAGTTTAATATCAGAAAGTGAAGATTTTCTCTATTTTTTATTTCTCTTTTTTTTATGCCAAGAAACACTTCAGAACTGGATAAAATATTTTGATAATAAACTTTTATTTGTAGAGAAAAGTATTCTTGTATTTTTAAAATAATATCCAGTCCAGTGTGTTCTTTTCAAAATTCTATCCCTGATTTATTAATTTTGTTACTTAGCTCCTGCTTATTGTTTTGAATATTCAAAACTCTATTCTTTTACCATAAGTACAATAAAAACTGATAACTGTTGTTTTTTAAACACAATTTAACATCTGTAAAGCTTGTTAAAAGTTGAATACCTACTGCACATTCTTTGGAAGTTATGTTATAATAATTAAATTTAATTTATATTTGTTTTTTTCCCCTAGACCTGGTAATTTGAGGGATCCTGAAATAGCTGAATTGTTTGACAGAGAAGATCCGGAAAAGATATTTATTGACCTAAGAGAAATTGGACATGGAAGTTTTGGAGCTGTATATTATGTATGCATTTTGTTTGATGTTGGGAATTTAAAATAATAGTTTCATTCAAAGATCCATTTATTTTTTTTCTAATTTTGGAATACCTCTTAAAGACTTTAAAAATACTAAGAAAACTAGCTTTGTTATTTTCAGCTTATCAGCTTAAGGTGGTTTCTGTTAAAATAATAAAATAAGTGTAATTTGATATTGAATAGACAAGTGTGTGAATAAATGATTTCTGAATTAGGTAATTAAAATGTGTTTTCTTTGGAAAAAAATGTTTTTTTTTTTTGTTTTGTTTTTTTTGAAATAGTTATGAGTATTTTTAAGTGCAATTGAAAAGTAAGTATCCAATTTAGCAGAGATATTTTCTCTAATTAGAACATTTAAATCTGAGCCTTATTATTTAAGTCTTAAAAACTTTTAAATTTGCCAAGCTTTTAATCATTTTTAAATGTAAATCATTTTTACATTTTTTGTGCTTAAAAAGTCACTGGACGATTTTTTAATGTTTGAAAGAGACATTATTCAAACATTAGTTAAGCAAAGAAGATTGTCTTTTCTGATTGAAATAACACTGAATCAAATAGTGTTTAAGAGATCCAATTGAATAGTTTTAATTGATAGCAATAAATGAAATTATTTGTTATAAAAATAGTTTATTTCTTTAACAAAACTGTTGCCAAATTATTAATTATAGCTTTATAAGTGATTTCAGTTTTGTTTTACTTGAATAGATCCTGAGTACAATATGTTCTGTTATCTCTCACACACAAATTAACATTACAATATTTACTCAGAAAATTATTTATAACTGTTCAGATTGGTATAATTTTTCTTATTACAGCTAATAGACATTTGTAAAAAATTAAAAAAGTTGCTATTTTTTGCATAGGCAATACTTTTTAAAAAACATGAAACAAAGGATAATTAATATTAATAATTATTATGCTTTCGATTATTTATGTAATCAGATGTAGCAAAAATCAATTGATTATAGAATTAAAACCTTTCCATAGCATGCGTACTAATACAAAATAATTCTTCCACTTTTACTGTTACATTTCTCCTAAAGTCTATCTAATTAAATGTTAAATTTTTAACTGATATAATAAAGCTAGTTAGTTCTAATAAAGTTAAATGTGCTGGGTAAACTCCATCTTTACTCATTTTTAAATATGTATGTATATGAATATATTAAACCTACCTATCATAGTTGACTGCTAAATTAGCTTTTTCAAAAATCTAATAGTTCAGATAAAATATGACACTTTGAGGCATTGTTGACATAAACTTTATATCGAATATTTATTTTTTATATGTGACTTAAGTTCTTTTTATGTAGGCAAGAAATGCAGTCACAAAAGAAGTGGTTGCTATCAAAAAGATGTCTTTTACTGGAAAGCAATCTGCTGAGGTATGTAATTTAATTTTTTGCTGTTTTTGAAAAATTGTTTTCTATATTTCACATCTTTATGACTCAGAACTAGAGAAATACTGCTGGAAGACAGAAAAATTGCTTTTTTTATTTCGCATGTGAATAAAGGCTTATATTAGTATGTCTCCTAAAGTTTATTTACTAAACACTAAAAGCTTTATTAAAATGTCTATTTGTCTTTTTTATTATGTTGTGTAATGAATACATCAAGCTAGGTATATTACTTCTGATAAATCACATTAAAGTTTATTAATGTAATTTAATTATCTCTTATTTGACTTCAATAATAAGGTAGAATTTATGTTTGAAAAAACTGTTAATGTGACACATTTTGCCTTTGTTGTGGCTCATGTATACAATATACAAATTTTTATATAGTTGTATGATCTAGCATTTTCTTTAATATCTAATTTTATATTAATTTTATAATTTTTTTTTTAAGTTAAGTGCATTTTACACAAAAGTCATCATAATGACTGATCCATCAGTTATTTAAGAAATGGTTACTTTCTTCAGATTCAGTAACTTGAAAGTTTTTAAAACTGGCTCTAATTAATTTTAAATATTAGTTGTGATAGTTAGTATCACTATAAATAATTCAAAACTTATGCAGTTTTCTGGAACAGTATAATAGTATTTAGGAACTAGAGATTGAAATTACAGTTGAATCATTTCAAATTTAAATGACTTTTATATAATCACCCATTACTTATTTTTTTATTGTTTTATACCAGTTATGATTTTTATATCTTTTAAGTTATGCTCTGCAATCTTATTTGAGTGATCCATCAGTTATTTAAGAAATGGTTACTTTCTTCAGATTCAGTAACTTGAAAGTTTTTAAAACTGGCTCTAATTAATTTTAAATATTATTTGTGATAGTTAGTATTACTATAAATAATTCAAAGCTTATGTAGTTTTACTAATGATATAAAAAATTATGTATAATTGATACTATATATATTTTTACGTATTGTTTTTAAGAAAACACTCATAATGTAATGTTAGAATTAAATTTTTCTATCAAATAAATCTTAGCTAAAAATATGTTTAACAAATATATTTTTGTTTTAGAAATGGCAAGACATAATTAAAGAAGTAAAATTTCTACGCCAACTAAAACATCGAAATACTATAGATTACAAAGGATGTTATTTAAAAGAGCATACAGCTTGGGTATTTATTATAATTATTTTTGTCTTCTACTTCTTTGCAAAACAAATTTTTTTACTAAATATTTTCAATGTATTTCAGCTTATTATGGAATACTGTCTTGGTTCAGCTTCAGACATAATAGAAGGTATTATTTCAAATTATTTCAAACAAAAAATAATTTTTAATAACTATCTTCAATAAAGACTGCATTCTATCTGAAATATAAAATTTATTTGTAAAATATCAACTATGCATTAAGCCAAATTTCTTTCTTTTAAAAACCACTTTTTCAGGATAACATATTTTCATGTAAGAGAAAATTAAGCTATTATCTTCTACAAACACATAAAAATTAATCTTTGCTATGTTTAAACCTTTAAATTAAACCAAGTTCAATTATCTTAAAAATTTATATTGAAAATCTATTTTTATCATGCAATTCTTAAAATCAGGTGAAATGACTTATGTATCAAAAGGGTTTTTATCATAAATTACTGTTTTTTTTTTACAACAGCTTTTTTTATGTAAATATTTTAATATCATAGGTGATTAGTTTACCTATGGGATGCATCTAAAAACTGGGGAATTACCCAGATATTTTGCAAAATAAGTTCAGTCTTAAAAAAAAAAATCCTGCTAATATTTTTATTACAACTGAATTGGAAAGTGATTATTTTAAGCAGTAGCAGTTGATATATAGTCAGTGCAGTATGTGGAAAGTCTCTAATTTCGCAATAAGTTTTATTTTTGATAAATGTTCTTATGTATTTTAATTTAACAAAATTTATTTTTAAAAAAAAATGCATTTTTTGAAACAAATTGTGATAATAAACATTTTTTTTACTGTTCTATGAAAGTATAGAATCTGTTGATTCAAAACATAAGTATATGTTAGTGCTCTCATTGACATCTGACTAGCCTTAGAAGTAAAGTTAATCTTTAGAGTAAAAATAGTTAAATAAAAAAAATAATGTTAGCTTAATGAATTCTTGCTGAAGTAATTTGCTGGAAAAAAATAATTTTGCAACTTCGATTGTTTTATTGCCCATGGAAACAATTTTGTGCAATGGTAATCAGAATTGAGAACCCTGATATATTCATTCCAATTTTGTTTCCATTTAAAACCCATTTCATTCCATTGTAATTTTCTTCCAAAGTAATAAAAAAGAAAATTTTCTAAAGATTTGGGCTTTTATATATATATATAATTCAATGTTGCAGGATTTAAGAGGCCAAAGGATAAATCTAAAAAATAAAACCGACGTGGAAACACTGAATTATTGTTTACTCGTGAATCTTTAATTATTATTTCTTCAGTACTTAAGCTAGTTACGATTAAAAGGAGTTGGTAAGTCTGTAAATAATGTATGTATTTAAGTTTAATGGTAATATCTTTGGTGTATTTTTTTCTTAAAATATTCTTAAGATATCTTTATAACTTTTTTAGCTAACAAGAGAAATAAAATCAAAACTTGTGCTGTTTTATTGAAGAAGTGTTAATTATTTTAGATAAGGAGATAGCCTTTCACATTTTTTAAAGTATTTTTCAAATTAATACATATTTTTTAAATATAGGATTAACAAATGCCTGTTTAATCAATAAAAAATGACAATAGATTACTTTTTTATTTTTATTTTACTACAGAATTAATTTTATTTTTTACAATTTTGGGGATGTTTTAGCCATATATGTGTGCATGATTTATAATTTTGTTTTCAACAGTTTCAAGGAATCCAAACCTAAGTCTTTAATATAAAATCTTTTAAGTATTGTTGAAACATAATTTGTTTTTAAAACTATTTATGCTCTTAAAAGTATGCCTCCATATTTGCTTACTTTAGAGTTTCTATAATTTTCAAGAAATTAGTATTTGAAAAGTGTATTTACATCTACAATTTTGTCAGATTTTTGCTCTTTATTGAAAACTTTCTCAACTTAATAATAATTTTGTTAGTAAAAGATTTAAACTAATTAATTTTCTTTTACTTTCAAGTTATGTTATAAAAAATCTTTTTAATTATAGTGCACAAAAAGCCTCTCAAAGAAGAAGAAATAGCAGCAATTTGCCAAGATGCTCTTCAAGGTTTGGAATACCTACACTCTCTTGGGAGAATACATAGAGATGTTAAAGCTGGGAATATATTGCTAACTGAAAATGGCACAGTTAAATTGGGTTAGTTGAACAGTTTAAGTGTAATGTTAACTTGTACAATGTGTAGCTGATATTTTTTATTAATTTTTGAATTTTCTTTCAATTTAAAGCTGATTTTGGGTCAGCGTCTATGGCTTCACCCGCTAACTCTTTTGTTGGCACACCATACTGGATGGCACCAGAAGTAATTTTAGCAATGGATGAAGGACAGTATGATGGCAAGGTTGATATATGGTCACTTGGCATAACTTGCATTGAATTAGGTAAATGTCAAATATTTTTATTAAGTAGGAATTAAAAGTGAATAATAACAAAATGTGGCATAAATGTATTTTAGTTTAAAGAATCTGTGCTTAATAATTCATATTATTAAAATATTAATTAAAATTATAAGGATTGATATATTTTAGTAATCTAAGAGTTCAATTAACATAACATGTAATGTTGATTGAAAGAAGAAAAACAAGAAAAAAAAGTTAGACCTAATACAGATGGTTGATGTGATTCATAAAATATGTCCTATTTTTTAAAAAAACTTTTTAAATGTTTTTTCATTTGTTATAATTATTAGCAAAATTATTATGAACTTTGTTAATAATAGAAATCCCTCTGCCTTTTTTTTTCTTCAAAATTCGCTGCATTTTGAATAATATTAAAATGCTAATCTTCAGCAAATGATTTGTGATTTGATTGTTTGTCTTTCACAAAGGTTTACGTTTTTTAATATAATATTCATAAAATATATATATTAATATTTTATCTCAAGGCATCTGAAGGAAATAATTTGTTTCACTTATTTTTCTCCTATTAAAGATATAAAGGTGTGTTTTGTTGTACATCATATTGTGTCAATAATTTGTGAGTGTCAAAATTTAGATTAACCAATTAATCATAAAATTAGAAATTTATTGTAAGATTTTTTTTAGTTCCAACTTATTTTTATGAACTATATTTGTCAACACATTCATTTAGTGATTTATTAAAATTTTGTTTTAAAGTTTGACCTTTTTTTTGTACAATAACTTTAAACTGACTTGTGACTCTTTTTCAAATTTGTTGTTTTTAATTTTAGCTGAACGAAAGCCACCCTATTTCAACATGAATGCAATGAGTGCCTTGTATCATATAGCCCAAAATGATTCGCCATCTTTAGGGCCTGGTGACTGGTTAGTAGCTTTATTTTTTTAAAATTCTATTTGGATATATGATAAATAAATATATAAAATATTTGATTGGTAGTTTTTTATATATTTGGTAGTTTTATATATTTGGTAGTTTCATATATTGGTAGTTTTTTATTTTTTATATATTATAGATACACAATTATTCCTATTGTGTACGTATTTTGATATATGCTAGATACCAAAATTTTTTTATTTAGTTATTGAAATCTGAATGAGAAAAAAATTAGCTTAGGGAAATGTTTCTTTTTTATAATTTAAATACCTGATTTTGAATATTCTGTTTTCCTAATTGCTTCTTAGCAATAATGAGAAAATCAGATAATTATCAGGATATGAACTTTGCCGCCTTTACAAAGAACATGACTTTACCAAATATATCAGAATTTTAAAGAGAAAATAGGCTGACCATCTAACGTAATCACCTGATGAATGTACATCTAAAAAAATTTTTATGACTTGGCCATCTGAGGATTGACCAAGGGGAAGACCCAAACTCGAATGGCCCGCCCGTTTCTGTAGATAAGGAGTTTCTCGTACTGAGCTGTTAAAACTAAGAACCGTTGCTGAGAACAGGCGAGGATGAGGGAGAATCCTCTAGAAGGCTAGAGCTCATCCGGGCTGTCATGCTAATGATGATGATAATTATCAATGTATGTATATAATGGTGCAGTAGTGACCTCCTCACTAAACTGTACACCCTTATATTGCTCATTTTTTTCAATTCTTGCCCTAACACAATTTTCTTTGAACTTATCTCTATCTCCTTTTATGGTACTACAGCCGACGTTGGGCATTTGCTTGCTGAGTAGCTTTGTTCCAAACCTTTCTTTGTCTTGGATTTCCACTAAGTAAGTTTTATAATGGTTAGATTTTTTGTTCCATCATCTAACCAACTTTTGAGTCTCTGTCCTGATCTTTTTTAGTTTTTTTTTAAAATTTTCCAATTAATAAACTTTCTTAGCCCCAATTGAACTTATCTAATATATTGATAAGAAAAGGTTCATAAAACATCAAATTATTTGCAATTGCTACAAGTTGTGCTAAATTTATCTTTTATGGATAGAAATATAAAACAAAGCAGCTTCACTGTATCGTAAGATTGTGTGACAAATTATTTCATAGCTTATAAAAATTAGTCGAAAATACTCAAGTTCTGTGATATATCATGGCAAAAATTCAAAATACTATTACTTTTTTATATAATGCTTTTTTTATGTCACATTATATGATGTGTTTTACTTTTTTCTTGTCCAGCAGGCTGAATGCAATAAAGGACTGCTGTTCATTGTTATTATTTTTTTTAAAAGTATAAATTATATTTAATTATCTTTTATTATATATTGTTCTGTAATAGTGTTTCTATAGTATTTCTTATCATTAATTAATTGAAAAAATGTAAAGATTTTATATTTTGGAATAATAATAGTTTATTTTCAATTTTGAAAAACAAATTTTTTTTTATTTATTTTATTTAGGTCAGAGTCTTTCCATCACTTTGTAGAAACCTGTTTACAAAAGCATCCTACTGATCGACCGATAGCTGCCAGATTGCTACAGGTAAAAACTTTTTGATTAATAAATTTGAAACTAATCTTCAAAAATAGAGTATTTTCTAATAATTCAATGTTTAAGGTTTTGGTTTTGTTTGATTTCTAATGTAATGGTAGAATCTAAGGTTACATAAGGACACTTTAAGAACAAGTACTTTTTATTAATATGATAGATTTTTGTACTCAATTTTGTTTTAACTATTTAATTCTGGTTCTATTTACTACTCTTAATTAGTTTACACTTGTTCTATAATTTAGTAATAATAAGTCATAAAAATATATATAATTCTGCTAAGTATGTTCAAATTATAATTGAAAATTATAATTGAAAATTATAGTTGGTCAATTTTTTGTTGCATCATTAGCTGTCAAGTTTATGCAGACAAGAACAAAAAAACTTTTTTTAAAAGCTTATGGCAGCATTCTTAGACATAGTACAGCACCAAACTGAGCATCCTAATTTGATTTATAGCTGTAGCATTTTTTAGGTTTAAAAAAAAATGAGGAAGCTGAGTGAGATTATTTCTAAAAATGTCATCAAGCTTTATTTTCTGATTGATTAGTTCTATCTCCTGTTATATTAATTTTATGTCCTTTAAATTCAGTTTAGTGTTATTATTAACTGTAAAATACTTCAATAATAAACTCCTATAACTCTGAGACTCCTTCCCTAAAAGAATTGTTCAAATTAAGGATTTTTGTTGATGCAAAAATAAATAAAATTAAAGCCTAATTATAATAGAAGCCTTATATTGTTCATTATCTATAATTTAACATGTAAGCAACTTATCCTATGAAATGATAATTGTAAAGCTTTCTTATTAAATCTTTTATTTTTAAACTTGCTACTAATTAAATAATTTATATGTTTTTTAGTCGTACAAAAGAATTTCTGTTATAAGTACTTATTAAAAAGTGATTTAGAAAACAGTAAATACACTACATAATAATTCTTATAATGTTTTCTTTCAATGATCCTTAGTACTCCAGAATTTATATAAATTCTTCAATTTGTTTGATATAATAATTTTACTTATTTCATATATACTTTCATAGCTAAATAGTTCCAGCATGTTAATATTTTTATTGTTTTTATTCTCTCACAAAAGACAAAAATCGTGTATTCTTATGATCAATAAAGGCATTTATTTTACAATAGAATCATTCCATATTTCAGAAGTAAAATTATTGCTTTTTAATGAGTTATATAAAATAGATTACTCTAGTTGACTATGATAACATGTCATTAATTCATGTGTTGAGGCTTGCATAACCATTCTTTTACCTCCTGTTTATGAAAGATATTTCTTCTTTCTTTCAGCATCCATTTATAATTAGCCCTCGACCTTCCAGAGTAATAATGGATCTTATACACCGTACAAAAGCTGCAGTTAGAGAGTTAGACAATTTAAATTACCGTAAAATGAAGAAAATCTTAATGGTGGATTCCCAAGAAAACGAAGTGAGTACTGGCGAACCTGAAGAAGACAGTACTGTAAGTACTAATTAAATGCTGATTAGCAACCATCTATAGAACTGTTTTTATTATGTAGTTTTGTTACGGATGTTCATACTTATTCTTTATTATTTTAGTCAATATTTTAAATATCCTTTTTTATGTACTTAAACAATTTTAATTAATATGGAATTTTTATGAGTAAGGTTTATAAATAAAAATTAATATTAATAATATTTAAAACTTTTTCAGTGCATAAGTATTTTATTTTACCAAAAATTTGCATTCTGCTATTTATTTTGTTAAAGATAATAACCTTTTTTAAATTTATTAAAATTATTTAACTGTAATCTAATGTGATTTCAACCTTCAGAAATTTTTAATATATTGCTGTTGTTAATAATGTACTCATCAATTCATTGTATTTAAGTTTAGTGTAATATTTTAATAATATATAAGTTTATTGTAATATTTTAAGTTACTTAAAATTAAAATTGATTTTAAGGCTTTGATTTGTAATTTTTAACTGCTTATTAAAATAAGTTTCTGAAAATTTCAATTCAAAAAATGTGTAACCCCTTTAGTGATACTTTTTATTATTTTAGATTTTTATTATTATGTTTTTTTGGAGTAATAAACTTACAAAGCTTTTGCTTCTTATTTATTTCTTACTGAACTTTAATTATCTGTAATATATGTATGCATGTTTATTGTGGTGTTAATTCAGGTCAATAATTTTTGTTTTTAGGAAGATGATCAAATTGGTGGAGATAGCAGTAAAAGCAATAGCATTGCTAGTACACACAGTCAGCAGAGTGAAAATATAAGTGCTGGAAGCCAGAGCAGTAGTACGAGTAGTCTTCCACCAGCGTCTGAAACAGATTCCACTTACAATTATCCAGCTTCATTCCGTGAAAGGGGTGGAATTCGTCTTAGTCCATCGGTAAAATTATCATTTATTGCGTATTTACGCTAGAAAATTTATTTATTATTGCATGTTTTGTGGGTTGGAGACTTAAGTCATTAATGTTCATATTTGATACTTTTTTTCCTTGCATTTTAGAACATTTTTGGCATTGAGTCAATCATGGGTGCAAGTCTTCTGTCCTCAGGACGGATTTCCGTCTCTCGAAAATGTCCGCGGTCGGAAGTGAGACGGAAACAAGACTGACTTGAAGACGGAAATCGGAATTTTTTTTCTTTTCTGACCTTAAAAATATTTTTTAGGTCTACGTTATTGGTCTGCTTTCTTATGTCCTGTTGTTATTTTATCAAAAGACAAAATGAATAAATATTTTTTGTACAGTGTTTAAACTTGATGTATTATGGTAAAGCTTTCTTAGATAGTTTGCATATGTCGAGGGGGTATTGTGTATGTTAGGTATAGTCAGAAAATTTTCAGTCTTGGTCTTTTTTCCAACTTGCACCCAGGAGTCAATTTTTATATGTTAAGTTTTTCTGATAGTTTTTTAAAAATTTTATCCTTTTTAATTACTTTTGACTTGCTGAAATCTTCTGTCTTATAAAGTAGATTTGATAGTTAATTTATTTCAATTTGTTTAAACCAAAGGGACAAATTTGATGTGAGAAAAATTTTTATTTATATTATTTCTGAAACTTATATTGTTTTGAAATTATAATCTTTTAAAATATAATTAGTTTATCTGAACTGAAAAAGGAATTTTTTTATTATTATTATTTGTGTAGAATTCATCATCTACCAGTTTGAATAGTGCAGATGTTGGAGCAAATAATTTTGCTACAATTAGAACAACATCAATTGTTACTAGACAAATCAAGGAACATGAACAAGAGAATCATATGCATGAACAGATGTCTGGCTACAAGCGAATGAGACGCCAACATCAAAAAGCTCTCATACAAGTAAGTAAAATCTAATAAATCTGCTTGACAAAATTTTACTAGTATATATATTTATTGCCGCTCATTAAAATCATCATAATATTTCTTCAAACAATGACTGTAATTATATAGAAGCAAAACTTCCCACTCCCTTAATATTCAATTTCTATAAATTTTGTAATATATATTGAATAGTATGTAACTGGTTCATTTAATATTTCATTCTTGTATTTAATTCACACTTATAATTTTTTTTTCTTTTGTGGGAATAAATTGTTTCATTAGCTCTTTTGTAACCATTTTAGTAGAAAATACTTTCTATAATATAAAATATTACAGTTATTTGAGGATAATTTTCTTAAATAATAGATCCCAGTCAATAGTGACTTAACTATTTCTTGTAGACTTTTCGATTGCTACTATTTCTACATTTGTAAAAAGCTTCAAATTAAAAAATTTTCTTCTTTGTGCCTGTTTTGCTCATCATAAAATTTGTCGTAAAGTTTTAAAACAAAGATGACTATTATACCTGTTTTATTGTTTTATGTTTATATATTATTTATAAAAATTACACAACATATATAAAATATACTTTAAAAGTGTTGTGTGTTAGATATATGTATTATTCCTGAAACTTTTAATTTAAACCTCTTGTTAATTTAAATTTTGCTTTAGCTTGAAGCCAAATGTCGGCAAGAAATGGAAGAACATAAGCAAAAATTAGACAAAGAATATGAAAATATTCTCACTCAATTCAGTAAGGAACTTGAAAAACTTCAAATGAAGCATCAGCAAGAATTAGAAAGAAAGGTAAATATTTTTGAAATTAATTTTCTTTTCTCGAAATTAAAAGCATAATTAAATGATTTGCATGCATTGATGGTATATCTATCAACCTATTATGTTTATCAAAAACAATCAAACCAAGAATGCTCATAGAATCATTAAATGTTACTTAAAAAGAATCACCAACTCACTATTTTTAATATTGTGATCTATTAATGTGATGAATCCTAGTTTATTTATTTTTTTAAAATTACAAATGAAAGTTGCATTTCATGATAATTCAGCAATTGATGAAAATCAATTGTCATTTCATAATTGCTTTTGATTATTATATTCATTCAGGCATTATTTTTATTGCAATTGGTATAACTTATAGTCAAGCAGCATTGATTATTTTTATTGGGTTTTGTCAACTTAATTTTTCTTTTTTGCGTAAATATCTAACAATAAAAAAAAAAAAACATAACACAAAATACATAGTGTGGCTTATCAACGAAAAGTTTGGAAACCTTTTAAATTAAGAGCATATTTGGTTTACGAGCAAATTGTTAAATGTTTTCTCTAACTTCTAAAAATGGCTTCACTTCAAGCAAATAGAAAATTTTCTATCATTTATATTAAATGAAATTTTGTTTATAAAATTGAATAGTACTGTTCAGCTTTCACGAGAACTTCCCCCAACTCAAAATTTTGTCTGTTGCTGTAAAAACAAGAATAAAATCATTTTTGGCACAGAATTTTAAGAAATGATTCTTCCTTTATACACCAAAGAGAACAACCACATCCATATTCGAAGCAATTTATCTTCATATCACCATAGTGATTGCCAGCAGACTAGTCTTATGCCTTTAGAAGTTCTTGTTACACTCAAACAGTACATATTATTTTCATACTTATAAAGCAGCAAGTCTATAAATGAGACTGCTTAATTTAAATGTCTTTAAAGTATTGTTGTATCTTAAGTGTCTTAATATGTTATATTCTTATTTATTTTTTTTAGCTCAAACAAAATTTAGCTAGTGAAAAGCGAATTAGTAAAAATATATCACAACAACATGAAGATGAAATAAAACGGTATCAAGCTCAACAGAAAACAGAGTATAAGTATTTGAAAGACAGGTTAAAAAGAGTGAGTTAAATTTGTTTCACATTTATTTAGTTTGCGAAATTACTTTATTTTGTTTTATACCAAAACATACAAAATTTAAGAAATTCGAATGATTTTTATAAAATGCTTAATCAAAAATTTTGTCTAGTTAAGCCCTTATTTTACAGTAGAAGTTAGACCTTCTATTATTATTTGTATTTTATATTAAGAAACAACTAGTTTGCTTTAGCATCGTAATCTAAATAATTAAAATTATATATATTCAAATTAAATATAATTTATTGCAGAAACAATATTTTTGTTTCTTTCTCATAAAAGAATTATCTATATGAATTTATTAACCTGCGTTACTTCATGAAAATTCAACATACATAAAAATGTCCTGATGACTAGAAGTGCCATTTCAATGTTTGCATTGTAATTGAAGTTCAGAAAGTAAATTATGGTTTTTAAATATATATTTTCAGTTTTATTTTAATTTGTTAAGTAAAAATTTAAGTAGTTAACTTGTATTTATTGTTTTTATAATAGACTGAGTTTTATAAAACATTTAAAAAGCATAATGAGTTCGAATATGCATTAAATTTTTTCATTATGAATATAAAAAAATGCTTTGGTTGAATTTTATAGACAAGTTCAGAGGAAAAAAAAAAGTGTCAAATTATTTTTTAAAAATATTTATAATAGCTGAAAAGTATGTTGTGGTTAGCTGTAAGTTATAATATTAATTTCTAAGTATAAGGCAGTTTTCAACAATAAAAGATGTTCTATAAACAACTTTCTCCTGTCGCTATATTTTCTTTATTTGACTTTCCAAATTTTACTGATGCTTAATTTGTTCTTCAAAAAACTGGAGAATAAGTAAATAAATTATGTTCTAAAGATATTTTAAGTAGAAGCTTCATTTATTTTAAAAATATTGGTTTTTAGTAGTAAAGATATATTTTTTTTAAAAGAAAAAATGTGTAGCTAAATTTTAATAGAAGTAATTTTTATATTATTGAGTAGTAGCGATTTTTAGTTATTTAATGTGTTTGAACTTACAGGAAATCAGTGGTGATGGTTCTTCAAGGCAAAGAGACGATGTTATTCGAAATCACAAGGAAGAAGTTCTCCAACGCCAAACAGCATCCATGCAACGCCTTCAAAGAGAACACTCTGATACACATCGCTTAGAAATTAGAAAGTTTCGTAGACGAAAATTATTACAGTATCATCAAATGGAACAAAATCTTCTAAGAGATGTGAGTATGTCTACTTTAGCCTTTGAAGTAAATGGATTGTGTCTGCTGTTTTTAAATGCTTAATTAATTCTTAAAAATTAATTCTTTTAACAATGCTTAGCTGTTCATGGGTGAAATTTCCTCTAAATTAAAGTTTTATTGTTACAACATTGTAATTTTGGACTATAACTAGAAGATGAGAATTTAAAAGGATATCATTATAAGCTTGCCTTTTAGGATACCTTATTAATCTTTGTATATTTATCACTTTCTTAATTACAAATGCTTTCATCATAAATTATCTTAAATTTTCTAGGCTTTAACGATCATTTCACATTAGTTAAATGATTAACTTTTAAAATTCATAATTTATTAATAATATAATTTCCTCAAACAGTTTTGTTAAAATTTCTAATAAAAGAATGCTTTGTTTTATAGGAATTAAATAAGAGACAGTCTCAACTAGTACAAGCCCATTCTATGTTACTTCACCATCATGACTGTACTCAAGAATTAGAATACCGTCAACAAAGGACTGTTCATCAACTAAGAGAAGAACATGTTCGTAAACAGCACCAAACTGAATTAGCCAATCAACAAGAGTATAACTCTAGAAGAGAAAGAGAGCTTCGAAAAAAACATGCCTTAGAAGTTAAGCAGCAGCCAAAAAGCTTAAAGGTTTGCCTTTCTCTTGTAACTTTAATAACAAAGAGTGTTTTGTATATTTTTTTAATAATTATAATGTTTTCACAAGTAATCAACAATCTTATTCAAATCATTAAAATGGCCAATTTAAATAATATTTTAATTACTGTTTTGTTAATGAGAATCATTAATTTCAATTAATAAGGTAAAAAATCAATAATTATGAAATACATTGATTTTTCAAGATATATATTGAAAATTAGAAAAATAAGATTCATTCTGAAAAAGAAAAATGATTCTAAATTCTATGAACTATTCTGTAATACTTCTATATGTACTACTAACAAAAAATTGCAAAATAAGTGCATAAGATAGGAATTTTTTCTTGGCAATATGTCGAGGCACAAAATTAATAGTGCAAATCCTGGCTTATGCTGATGATTTGGTAATAATCGCACAAACAAAAAAAGCATTGTTGGAAGCAGTTACAGCTTCTAAGAATTCTTCAGAAAAGATGCGTCTAGTTGTTAATGAAAACAGTACCAAATACATGCTAGATGTTAAACATCTGCAAATTTTTAGAAACAGAAAATTGTAAATTCAAATTTGTTGACAATTTTACTTATGTTGGTTCAAATATTAATGCCTTAAATAATATAAGCACAGAAATAAAGAGACACATTATAGCAGCTAATCGATGCCTTCAGGGCTTAAACATATTTCTAAAGTCAAAATTTATTAAAAGAGGAACAAAAATGATGCTATATAAAACAATCATTAGACCTGTCTTAACTTATGGATCCAAAACATGGTCTTTAATTAAATCACAAGCTGACTTGCTTGCTGTTTTTTAGAGAGAGTTTCTGTGCTATAAATGTGGATGGCTTATGAAGACAACAACATAATTTTGAACTATATAGCCTATTCAAGGAAGCTGATATCAACAAAACCTCAAAATAAGCCGATTAAAGCTTGCGGGTCACATCTGTGGAATGAACCCTTCTTCCTTGACATTTAAGATTTTCAATTATAAACCAATGGGAATTAGAGTTAGAGGTAGGCCTAAGATCAGATGGCTTGACTGTGTGGAAGAGGATTATGAAATCCTAAGAATTTCCATGAGAACAATGACAAAGAAAAAAGAGCAGCCGGGAAGAAGGCTCTGGCCCACAAAGGGCTGTCATACCAATAGAAGAAGAATATTTATAAAATGTTCTATTTCAATGTTCAAGAGTTACTCAAAGTTATGAACATAGTAAAGATATTTGTTATTATAATATGCTAATTAATCTTCCTATGTATGTAATTTATATAATCTTGAGCAGAATAAGTGCAGAAAGGAAATTAAAGCAGCGAATCAATTTTATTTATTTGGTAAATGTTAAAGAATTATTAATCTCATTAAGTAAATTTACACTTAAATGTAAGTTGTACTTCCTGAAAGATCTTATAAACATTTACTTTAGTTTAAAATCCTTTAATCTTGATAATAATAAGTCAGCCTGGAAAGAAACATATATAAAATATAACTTTAGTCAAATATTTATATATATGTGCGCTAATTTCATATCTGAACATCCATTTACTGGAAAAGTCTATTTTTCCCCCCGATTTCTTACTAGAAATCTGGAAAAATAACTCTTTTTCCAGTTTCGATATTATTATTTACTTTTTTTTATTGTTGCTTTAAAAAAAAAAAAAGGGTCTGAGGGATAAGAATCCTCCACTTTTCTGTTAATTTCCACTTCTTTATGATTTTTACCAGACTTCTGATTTTTGTTAGGTTTTAATCCAATTTCCGATATAATAGGAAAAAAAGGAATATCATCGAAATAAAATCTGGCATGTCACTACAATGCGAAAAAATTCGTGTATTTTTTTTTCTCGTCTCACACAAAGTGATTTTTACAGCCAGTAATCATGTTCTCTCATTCAGAGTGTACAAAAGTTTCACATTTTGAAAAAATTGTGGATTTGAGATTAAATTAAAACAACTAAAGTGGGTCATTAAGTGATTTGATTAAAGTGGGTCATTAATTCGAAAATCATAATAATATATTAAAATGAAATCAAAATTTAAAAAACTATGCGGTAATTCTAAACTGCTGAAAATGCGATTGACAAAACCACATGGACGATAGAACCGTCGTAAATCATGTTTGGCATCAAGAAGTAATTGTACAAATGGAGGATTCAAAATTTCCCCTTATATGAAAATCTAGCATTAATAAACTGAAAATCAATGGCAATAACCTTAAAAAATATGATCTTAAATTAAGGGTGAATTGTCAATAATTTAATGCAAAATGGGCAATTCGAAATTTGCCAAATGAAATAATAGCGGAAACTTTGAAAAACCAAGTAAAAATCCATTTTAATAACTACTGTAAAAACAATCGGTATAAAACATAATAGATTTACTGTGGAATCGTCGCTAATCAACTGGATAAAAAAATGATTGCTGACTGAAATCTGTGATTCAGAATTTGCAGTATGTAATAATGGCTTATTAAAATATCAAGATTTTAAAAACCATGTGGAAATCTGTAACAAAAGCTACCAAAGTAGCACGACCACACAAACCATGTGAATTTTAGGCTGTTGATTGAAGTTGATGTTAATTATCATCTGTTTGTTATTTTTTATTGAATAAGGATGTTTTGATATTTACTTCGAGACATTATCCGGAGAAATATATTTTCGGACTTGCTGAAGTCCCAAAAATTACGAGTACGGGATTTTCCACTATATATTTATGTATGTATATATATGTGAAATATATCATATACATGTATTTACTTATCTGCTGTGTGCCTTTGGGCCCTAAAGGCTCCTCTTATGATGGGCAATTGTAAAATTCCTTAATTTTCTGTTAAAAAAATGTTTTATCTATAAATTATTACTTGCAAAACTCAGGGATGAGATTAGCCAAAAGGCAAAAAAGCTGAATTTCCGCGATAGTGAATTTTACGCAAGCGCAACCCTTTAATAATAAATTCCAGACAGTTTAAGGTAATAAATAATGCGTCGACATACAATTGTGTACTAATCTATTATTATATAAATGCTTACATTGATACTTAACATTTAGTGAAAATAAAAATTACCAATTGAAAAAATAAAGCTGGAAATTATATTTTTCCTCAGTTCACACAAGACAATTATTACTTGAAAAACTACTTGGTTTAGCAAATTAAAACTACTGAGAATATACATTAATATTTCATTTCTTTTAATAAATACTGTTATGTGATTTATAGCAAATATATCAGTAATATTACTTTTTAAATTATATTGGGAAAAAAAAACTTTAACAATGGACCGAATCATTATGTTCATATTATAGTCTAATCTAACTACAGCCCTTTGAAACATATCAATAACAGTGAAGTAGAAATATATAGTAACTCCTTAACATACAAAAATTGCTATTTTAGTTTGAAAAATTACATGACAATCAGCAACTGTTTAGATAATTGTTTTTTATTTGATAAGAATTTTGCATTTTATAGCATAAATAACAGCAATTATAAATAAAATTTTGATGATGAGTTAATTAACTCTTTTTCCAAAAAAAAAAATTAACTAAATCTCTTTTTAAGTGATTGCTTTTGTTTGCTATATTTAGTCGTTAGTCCATCTTCAAACATTTTGTGACAAATCCTATTTTTTCTTCTTTGCTACCACAGAATGTAAGTTTTGAATATATTCCATTCCAGTTTCTCTGATGTTCTAACACTTACATATACTAATAATCGTCGTTAGAAAAACAACCACCTTTATAGTAACTAATTTTAAAAAAATTTACTTCTTACAAGAATCGCGCTAGTTGATCTTAAAATTGCGTGATTATGAATAGCAATTATGGATTTTGAAATCACATGAATATGAAACTAGATATACGATTTTGAAAATGAGAAAATACAAACTGGGATATAGAATTTTTAAAAGGCATAATTACAAATCACGATTCATAATTTTTAGATCGCATAAATACGAATCATGATGCATAATTTTTAGATTGCATAAATAAGAATTATGAATTTTTAGAATGCGTGAATGCGAATCCCAATGCCTTATTTTAAAATCACGTATAAATACGAAAATCAATGTTTGATATTATAAACCGCAAATGCAAATCAAGACATTGAATTTTAAACTTGCGTGAATACAAATCACTACATAGGTTTTTAAAAAGGCGTAAACACGAATCACAATATTGGATTTTTAAATCTCGTGAATAAGAATCGCAACGTACAATATTCAAATCGCGTGAATAAGAATCGCAACACGCAAATATGAAAAGCTATGTTTGATATTAAAATCATATGGATAAGAGTCGAGATATTAGCAGATTCCAGGCTTGGGACCTTTAAAGGTTTGTCAGACGCAGCGTCGTTTGAACTACGAAAATTGGATTTATCTGGAGGGCGGGTAAAAAATTCGGAAAATCTTATCTGCTGCGTGTAAAAAGGGAGAAAATAGCTAAAATAAGTAAAAATGAGAAAGGATTGGTAGCTATGTAGTTAGAATTTTCTGTTTCTCTTTGAAAATCGGTGGATTTTCCGAAAATTTTTAGAAAATCTGAATTTTTGATAAAAAAGCTGAAATTCAAGAGATAAAAGTGAAAAAAGCGGAAAAATCTCATCCCTGAAAACTGTAATGTTAGTAGTTCTAATAATGTGAACATGATACCATAAATCACTTTGTTCTTTGATTTATCTATTTTCCTTCATTGTATGAATATTTTTGGATCATGAATAATGAATTCACTTAAGCGTTCAAATGTTGACTTGCACTGTCTTTATTTCCTTTGTTGAATATTCATTGCTGTAGTTGTTGGTTACTGAGTTCACAAAAATATATTTGTTTTGGGTTCTTAATTCTCTTTCTACAAAATTATTCAGCATAACATTTTGGATATATTTATTAAAGTTTAATTTTTAGCTTAGTTTCAAACATTTATACTTGTATTTTTTTGTTATTTAAATTTTTAGCAAAAAGAATTGATGATTCGAAAGCAATTTAGAGAGACTTGCAAAATTCAAACAAGACAGTACAAAGCTTGGAAAAATCAAATTTTGGCTTCCACTCCTAAAGAGGAACAAAAATTAGTTATTAAAAAATTAAAAGAAGAGCAAATGAGGAAGCTAGCCATCCTTGGTGAACAATATGAACAGAGCATTGCTGACATGCTACAAAAACAATCTGTAAGTATTTTAGTTTTAATAACAAACTAAAAATTTTAACATCCTCTAGCATTTATAATCTAGATAATGATTGTTTATTATTTTTTTCTAAACATTTACAATCAGAATAATGGTTGATATGAGCTGCTTAAGATGTCATTCACTTTCCATTTCGTTTTTCTGCTTATAAATAGTTTTTTTTTTTAAATATTGTCTCTGTCGCTGTCATTTTTTAGTTAAGGTGAATTTTGTAATTATAAACTTCATTGGTGACATTGAGAAAGTGCATTTGTCCACCTTTTTTCCAAGGGTTCTGTGCTTATTTATTGATTTTGAAGTAAAAAAGCAAAATTTCTTCGATGAATAGCATTTCCCAATTGATAGTTGTAATAAGAAATAGTTGTAACAAAGTAAAAATATTATTTTTGATATAATTAGTGATGACTATTTATTTTGCTTCATTTTCAGCAAACTAAGCCAAACTTTTATTTAAAATTTCTCTTATCTAATATATCAAATGTATTTATGAAAAACTTATGGTTGATATTTTGTATTTTAATGTATTTTAAGAAACCTTAGCATAAATGACTTGAATCTTATCTTGCTGATGATATAGTATAAAATTAATTAACCTTTTCCCAGAAATTTAAGTTTATCACATTAAAGGTAACTTATAACTTTCAATGTAATAAACTTTTTCCTTGCATGAAGACACAAGAAAAGATCTTTGAAATATTGATCGTGGATTTATTATCATAGATAAAATAATTTATTATAAACTAACAAAGATAATTTTTTTAAATTTATTTTTTCAAGCTAACAAATTTCTTCTTTTTTTTGTTTTGTTGATATAACAGCAATATGTATGCTCTAACTATCAAAAATTGTCTGTGACAAATTTTAATTAATTTCAACTGATTTGCATTAAGAAAGTATATTATTTATGATAGTATTTAATACACATTACTAATTGACTTACTGGAAGAACATTCTCTAGTTTGTATTAAAGTTAGAAGTTTTGCTAATGTCACTAAAAGTCTTGTATTCAGTCTCATTACCTAAATCTGTCATATTTTACTATTTTTCTGTAATATTGTGTTATCTTTTTTAATCATTTAAACTTGTTTAACTACCATTTTCCCAATATAATTTGAGCATTTTCAAATGTCTTATTTGTTCTGCTGATTTATTATTCATATGGCTCATTCCAAGTGAAATGGGCAAAAATAAATAAATTTTGTTCCTGTTTTGTAATAAAAAATGTTTTTAGCGCAAATATTACGAAAAGTTTATTCAAAGTTGTCTGATTGCAATCAAAACAAATGTGTGTATATATATA